TTTCATATTTTAAATTCACTCGATGTAACTTGAATTCATCTTGTTACACAAGACATTGTCTTCACAGCAGACCAAATGAGAGTAATCATGCGTACGATAGCTAATAAAGAATATGCTTGAGAGATGATAATAGATAACGCGCACCAATTAAAACCGCTAACCAAATAGTTCATGTTGACTAGCTGAGTCATATTATTGATTAAACAATGAAAACAACGACCGGAAAGCAGAGAAATCGATTTGATTAAGGAGCTTTATGAGGCGTCTCGAGCTTTACGTGTCAGCCCCGCACAACGTTCAATTTCGATTGGTTCCACCGGATAAGATTATCATATAAAATTGCAAGTTGAATAATGAACCTCGCAAAAATTAGCACATTTTCCCAGCAAGCCAAACTCTTATGTATATGCAATAACACGCACGGATGGTCATCTAATTATTCTCGTACCCCATGAAAAATGGGGGAAAACTATAAACAGTTCTTTGCACGATACTGCAAGAAATGATTCCTTTCGTACTGTAAACTTCTGCTATTTTTAGTGCATTTTTGTTATATATCTATCGACATAAAAAATTATTTATAAGATGATTGACAACATTAAATGATCCAAAATGATCGAAGGAGGGGAAAGATAGATAAAGTGTGCTGAACATGGTAAGGGCGAGGCTCACATACTCATCATTACAAGTGTCGAATTTTCAGGGTTCTAACGACAGCATCAAAAGAAGGGAAGCCCTTGGGCGTCTCAGGAGTCACTGCCTCATGCGGGTATATATGTGTGTCCTCTGCTTCTTGGGGATGCTGTGCGATCACCAACCAAATTAATGATTTCCACTGTCTCCATTTAAAAGCTTATTTCCACCCCCTTCATTCATCATATCCCCTCGGATCCAGGAGTCCTTGCTGCTCTGATATATCCTGAAGTCCATATTATCCTTCCTACACACACACACCCCCGCATATATTCAACTCATCACACACACACACACACACACACACACACACACACACACACACACACACACACGAAGATCCTCCTATAGCCTCCAGCCAGTATGTGCAGGTGCAGCATCAGCAAGATTCACATACACGCACGAGGGCTTCGAGGATGATGAGCTTACAAATATGCCACCCTACAAGTCTTCGTTGGTATGGGAATCTTGATGATGCTGCATCGGCGTATACATGACTCTCTCTTTTTCCCCCAAGCAACCCAAACACATACGCTTCCCCAAATTCTAGGTAAATTGACATGTCTTCATACTTGTTATTCTATCCATCATGTTCTTAATTAGTTTTACCTATGCATATATGTATGATTAATTTTTATAACATGTTTATATATATATGTCATGTAACTGTCCTGCATGCTTCCGTTTGCAAGTATATAGCTAGGGGGCGTGGACGCTGAAAAGCCAAGAATTCATCAAGATTTACATTGGAAAACTACAAAAAGCAGGTATACTTTGGATGATCTCTTTCATCTCTATAGGACACATACTATCGAACTTCTCTTTTTTTCATATGAACTGATCGATTCATCGAGGTGTGCTCGTCTCTAAAAACTTAATTCTGGATGTATCGCTCATAATCTGATATGGCATGAATCTTAATTAAGATACCTGCATGGGATATTACTAAGAATGTTAATGCCCAAATATTCTAAGAACTCGTTGTGTCCTAGATAAAGGCAAGAAAAAGTACCTAAAAAAAAGTTAACAAGTTGTTAGCTGGCGCTGGAAAACTTATCCTAGCCTTTTTGTTTCAAGAAAATTTTTGGCCCAATAGCTAGTTTAGTAAAGAGAAAAGCCATTTTTTTTTATTGGGTCTTCATGTCAGAAAGATATATATGGCCCTTTTGTTTAATTCCCCCCCCCCCCCAAAATTTTGGCTGGGAGTAAGGGGAAATAAGTCAATAACTATAAGGGTGGCTGCTGGTAGGAAACTTTCTTACTTCGAAGTTCCCTCCAACTCTCCCTTACTCCCCACAGTTAAATTCTTTTTTTTTTTTTTCAAACCGTAAACAAAGTGACCCCTAATGTCTTTTAATTAACTCAGTTGGAGAGAAACACATGAAGAGAGACTGAAAAGTCGGAAGGAACACCCACAAGGTTTCTCTATGAGTGGACAATGAACGAGCATGAGACATGTTATTAAGGATTTAAAGAGGATGGGCAGTGTGCGTGTGAGGACATATAGAGAGACAGACGAGACACGCACACACTGGAAAATTTGGACAGCATACCGTGGTTATGTTATGTGGCATGCATTCTTAACGAAGCTGATGCAAGATTATCTGTTAAATTAAATTAAATAGATAGCCTTTGATGAGTATTGTGTTGGAATAACTTTCCGAATTTAAAATAATGTCAGGTAAGGAGAAATGTACAGCGTGTGTCTTTGATAGATCTAACCTGTAGTGTCAATTCTCTTTCACAGTTAATTGAGCAGACAATATATCATATGGCTGACAAAAACCATTTCAATTTGCATGCATATCGTGCCTATAATTGTGGCTTTTCTGCAAAAGTAGCCATCAGGCGTTCCATCAACAAGTGTTTTGGTTTGTTATATGTATTTTCGTATGTTACTTCTGCTTGATCGATGTTTAATGACGGAAATGGGGGGGGGGGGATGCTATGCAGTGCCATGTGTGGGGCTATCAACCTGATAATGTCTGACTCGATCAAGCATGTTTTGATTGCACCACTAACTTCCATGCATTCATCTCACAGCTGGGGTCACACAGATTATATATGTTACGTTGCTTTCATCTTTCATTTCACATTTATAAGCCTGTTTACTACAAAATGTTGCTCATATTCATCATTAGCTTGGAATTTTTTTTGACCGCTCATAATTGACATCTCCTTGTGAAAAAACACGCCTGTTTTCAAATCATTAGATTCCTCCTCGACATTAATTTCGCTCATCCTTTCCTTCCCTTCCCTTTTTCTGATCTGGCCTTTTCATTACCCCTCACTCAAAGACAAGAAAAAGAGAAAAAGAAACGACCCAACAAGATATTAAACCGCATGCTGCGATTTCAATATTGATAATACCATAATAAATTGATTAATTCCTTCACATGCTGAGTCATTGTATAATGCAGGACTCTCCGGTAATAATAAACTATTAAATTCAGGTTGGAACATTTGAAATTTGAATTGATACCCTCACTATTCTAACATCAGTTCCAGAATTTGTAGCCTGGCTGGGGATTTTCTATTATTGGTCCGTAGAAAATGGGGAACCCGTATCTACATTTGCAGCACCAAACAAACAAAACCTCAGAGGTATATTTAAAACAGTGGAAGGGAAAGACAGTCAAAGGTAGTAAAAGGGGAAAAAAGGAAAAGGAGAAAAAGATGCTTTAGCACCGAATCAGTGGAGATGAAGCAGGAGTACAATTATCGGCCACTTGCTGATTAATTATTCATTGATCTAAAGAATGCTTTGACAATGAGAATCACAGAGAGGGAAGAAAGATTATTAAAGGGAACAGCAAATAATGGTCCAGAAATTACTTATATTTTTCTTTTTGGGACAGACAGTCAAAGGTAGTCGTATTTCAAACGCTGTTTTAATTGACCATGGATCAAGGATATGTCAGGGGTCTCCTTCATCTGAATTAGATAGAACTAAGACACAATCCATTGTACAGAGCTCTAGCCTGGGAGGGTCGCAACTCTTTCTTTGACCATAGTGCTAGTGAGATGTAATTTTACAGCTTTTTATTTTCTCTCGGCTGGGGGTTGTATCATATTCTTTCCACAATCAGACTGTTTCACCTCTAATCTCTTAAAAATTATAGAGTGTTAACTAAATATTTAGAAATAAATATCAAAAATGGAAAGTCGGCCTACTTTTATACTTTATCTTTTGACTGATATGTGCACAATGGTTAAAAAATACTATCTGGTAAAATGGGTGGAGGGAGTAGAAAACAGTACAAATGATCAAAGAAGGGTAATAAAAATGTGGGGAGAGTGTGGACACAAAATGCGCCACCCTTCACATGTCTACTGTACATCCATCCACAAAGAAGTGGTTCTTATCCAAGGCCACTCAATAATACTTCTGGATCCTTGTCCAGGAAAATCAGATTATTGCGCTGTGACCTACTTGGATTACCTTAATCTTGTGCAATTAAGTACTATGATTCTTAATGTTCGCGGCAGTGGGCTTCCTCTATAATAATTACTCCTACATGCCTTTCCTTTTACTGTTGGTTGTTTCTATCAACACATAATCCATTCGCTCAGAAACCAGAATATTAATTAACGTGGAAAAGTTTAGAGCGCTGCTTGGCCTTTGTAACCGACATTGTTAGGTTTTTGGTACTTGTGCCTAATCCCACATAAATTATTCTTCCCTAACCTATATACAGGAGTTGGTTAAACCGTACATGTGATTTCTTTGCTCTGTTTTTTTTTTTTTTCCCTTCTTGGGAATATTTTTGGTACTACTTTGATTATGCATATAACAAACTTGAGAGCTAGCATGAAGAAATAATTTATTCTTTATGATATATTTGACTAATCTCAGAAACACTTTCTTAAAATGATAAATATGAACCCAGTTAACGTATAAGTTAATTCCATAACATTTGAAAAAAAATGATTTTATGCCTGGACCAACGTGAAAACTGAACATGTACAGGTATTGATGCACAAGCATGCGATATTTAATGACAACTATTTTATGGTATTTATTTTTACGAGAACCAGTAAACGTTGCATTTCGCCGACATTAATATACACGTAGGTTCATCAACTCTGCGAGACTAAGTTTTAGGGCTAAGTACAGTATATTAATATGTTGCACAATTTGATACAGTATATCTCCCCTGAAAAATGTACCAGTAAGGATTAATTAATAATGATAGCTCACTGAACCGTTATATATATACAACTCCGATCCGTCCAAGCAGATGCAACTTTCTTTGCTCTCTCATCTCATCTGGCTAAGTGGGCGTTATATATATAGCTGTTGATAACTGTGAGCTTGTGTATTTGGGATGGAAGAGAAGTGGAAGGCATCAAAGAAGGTGGAATCAGATTCGAGCAGCCATGGGTGCAACAACCCAACCTCAAAATCTCCTCTCCTCAGGAGCTTATCGTGCAAGAGTTCATCTTCCTCCTCTTCCAACAGCAATCTTCCCAGGAGCCACTCACAGAAGAACCCTTCAATCGGCCGCAAGTACAGCAATTTAGCTAAGGAACATAAAGCCAGATTTTACATTATGAGACGTTGTGTCGCCATGTTAGTTTGCTGGCACAAGCACCGTGATTCTTGAGGGAATTTAAAAGCCCTGCCTTTTTTCATAGATCCCTCGCTCACATGTTTAACTTTTCAACATCTGATCTACAAGGGGTCCATTCTTCTTTCCTTTCTTTCAACATTTCTAGATATATAGCTTCAATTGTAATTACGAATATTAATTGATGTGAGTTATGGGATTTACATTTATGTTAGCTGGACTCCACTTCTAACCTTAATTTATGCTCATATTATCAACAACGTCAAAACCTTTGTTTTGCTTTTGGTTGGGGATCCTCAAAGAAGTCTTTTTTCCGCCAAACTCGTCTCTGTTTCTCCTGGCTCGCGCTCTCTATCTTTTCTCTATGCGTGTGTAATGATGGTCCTTGCTTTTTTTATCCTAATTTAATGGTAGCAAAACTAGTTCATTGAATAAAGGATGATTATCAGTGTTAGTGGCTTCCAGTCACTAGACAATACATGAATAACATCTTCCAAGTTAGCTTACAGTCCTGCTAATCAACTGTCTAGTTTCCTCTAGCTCCAGCTCCTCTGTGTCCAAGGTGGATTGGAATATTTTTCTTCCAGTTGCCAGACAAAAATATAATTTCATCCTACCAGCACACAGTACAGGTTTGACCCCATATCCTCCTGTTGCTGAATCATAGAATGCATAGGATGCTCTGTACGTGATGTAGCTCCGAGACCGGTATGGGCTATGGGTCACAAGCTCTCCCCTAATGGCCCTTACATGGGGTTCATGTCAGACGATTCGATTCTTTAAATCATATTATTCGACATCAAAGGAATTCCAATTATTTAATGACCAAAAAAAAAAACAGAGAAGTATTGGCAGTCAACGGTATCAATGGCATTCTTGGCTCTCCAAAGAAAATGTTGCAAAGTTACCACTGAAGGCGGAGCAGAAAATATTTTCTTTATTAGCCAAGATTCATGGGGAAAAAAGGACCAACAAATAAATAATGGACTATGGCTTATGGGTGGCTTGTCTACTTTCGAAGACCTCTGAGCCACCTTTTGTCCGAAGAATTGGTGCAAGAACAACATCATCTTAATCAAGATCCCAGCACTTACATGTGTCCAGTCATAGGTATCTAATGCCTGATCCACCCCCCCCCCCCGGGGGCAACTGCTTCTATATTTAGCAATTAAAAAGTGCAACAACTTGCTTGCAAGGTTCCTTGTGCCTGGGGATGATGAAAATAATGAAGGGTGCTTGCAAAGGAGAACCCCTGATCACAAGCTGAGAACCTGACAGAAGGGATTTCCTCTCAAGCCAACACTTGCGAAGCTGGACACATTAGTCTGAATAAAGTTCGAATGGGGCAGAGTCATGCTGGATCGCCCGTCCAATAATCCACTCCATAATCATGTCACTCCAAAAGAAAGTAATGTCTAATCGTTGCGTCGGTTTAGCATATGGAGAACATAATAGGAAAACATCCACATTACGCTGAAGTTCTGCGTCATTGTCATGCCCTCTTGGAATGCAACAGGTTTTGTAGCCCCATGCCATTGGATTGGAGCTTCCCAAGTGAAGGTCGTATGGTACAGTGTCCGACGCGACGGATTGTAAATGTAGCATTTTTTTTCCCCAGTACTAGGAGAACGTGACCACTTGTGCTTCGTATGGGGTAGATAACAATTAGAAGAAACGCAACCCTTGATTTGGTGATATGAAACAATAATTTTTGCAAGAAATTAAAGCACTGATCACTAATGTGATTGTTCTTGCAACTATATTTGTCACGACTATGAAATTTCAAAGCAATAATATTGACACACTTTTCAAACTCTTATGGCTAATTATTTGTTTTCTTGATCAAAGACCACAAAACAGGGTCTTAAAAAGTTGACTCCATTGAATAGTCATTCAAAAATTCAGAATCATGTATCCAATTTGAAAATTTGAAACACCATACAGATGAAGGATTAAATCACAAGGTCTTAGCTAATTAAGGGCCTGTTCGGAACAGCTTATAAGTAGTTTTTCGATCATAATTTACAGAATACAAAATAAATATGTGAGATGAGTTTTATCTTGATTTACGTGAAACATACTTATAAGGAATTTTCACCGCTATCTTAAACAGGCTCCAAATTGCTAATCCAACTATTGAATTCTAGAAAATATGATCAAATTTTATTTTACTGTTAGTTAAGGTTTCTGCCGTTCTATTCAATCTGCATTCCCTCCTCTTCCCATGTCAACTTCAACAGAAACAACCTAAAATATGTATAAGCAAATTGTTAGGACATGATGCGACAAGTCGAAAGGGAGCTCACAAAACAGTATCGATTGAATAACAATAAAAAAAAAAAAACAAGCAAGTAAATAAAATACGATATAAATGGATCCATAATTTAGAAACACAAGGAATACGATTGCATTCCGTCTTTTTCACTTTTATGCCCTGCATACTGCCCTGCAACAGCCGAGCTCATCTCGTTTAGTACGCATATGCTTGTTTTTCCAGCGACACCTGCAGGAGCAAAATTGCCCCCTCCGATGAGTATTTTCACGGAACCAAAAACTTTGGCTTCTGATGAAATCTATTGAGCCCAATCGTCAAGAGACCAGCTCTCCCATAGTTCACATTTCATCCTTTGACGATTCATAGTTCACAGTTGATGATCCTCTGATATATTTTCACTATAAATTTCTTAACTGGAAAGTGTATGCTCTGATTAAAAATTTTCCTTTCAGAAATTGCTGGAGTTATTCTATTTAATCTTCCATTATCCAATTTCTACTTTGGCTCTGCGAGTTCCTTGTGAATACCGAACTCAACTGCCTGAGGCTTCTACTCATGGTTCCATCTTGAGAAATGGAATATGAAGAGGAGGATGAAGTTGACCTAGACCCTAGCCTCCCGAAGAATGCCAAGAAGTTGCGAGATATTCTGTTCAATCCACGACTTTCGTGAAGTCTGATACCTCTCATTGCTCGGGAGACTCTTCTAGGAACGCTATTTGCGCTGAGCACACCATCCATTTCTGTGGATACAACTGGCAAATGACTCTCTCCATCACCTTCATCGTGGGGAAACCTTCCTACGGCGAAGTCTCCGCCTGGTAGCCTCCATATCGTCAATCCAATCGTTTCTTCATCGATTTGCCTGGAGACTCTGCTTTCCCGATTGTTTCCATCCAAAGGCAACCCGTTGCGACACACAGGGCACGAGTTGCACGTTGAAAGCCACGGAACAATGCAGTCCGAATGGTAAATGTGCTTGCAAGGCATTTCTCGCGCCTCTGAACCGAGCTCAAACGCTTCTTTACAAATGGCACAGTGTGTATCCGTACTCACATGGCCCTCCCCTATCTCAATCGTCGGCATTGATCCAATGGCCGTTTTGGACGCCGGTAGGTTCTCCAACCGCTCGAGGCCATTATTTCCTGCCTGAGAAAAATGCTCCAACAACCGATCGAAGCCTGACCTGAGCAATAAGTCCGAGATATTCGGCGGTAACGGTTGGAGACCGGAGCCATCACCGTCATCATAGTACAGATGGAAGCTGCTACTTCTTTCATGACCTGCACCGTCTTCTCCAGCACCACCCTGGGCGGGTCCGCGAAGAACAATCACCGGGTTAAAGGAAGAGTGGCCGCCGGCATTACGGCTTCTCCTCCGGAGCCCTTGTCTCCTCAAATGGAAGGAATTCTGAGGTTCAAGGGTGAAGATGGACATGGTCGCAGACGGAGATGGGCTGAGACGACGGTCCGATAATGGGTTGGCCAGGATCTCTTCGACGAAGCCACTCCGGCAGAAGGGGCAAGAAATGTGGTCCTGAGCATTGGAGAGACGAACAAAGCGGGAGCACCTGTAACACCAGTGCGATGCCGTTGGGGATGACATGCCGGATTCTCTGAGGCTCAAGATCTGAGTTTTAGGAGTTCACTCGCATAGGCGCTTATGGTGGGGAGAGCGAGAGAGAGGGAGAGAATAAGAAGTATGAATGTATGAAGAGGAGAAACACAATATGAGGCACGCCAAGAGAGGTGGAAGGACGACGAAGGAGCCACCCGCTTGTCTCTGTGTCATCAGCAGTAAACGGCATTTTCCGAAAGCATTCGCCTTTCTTTTTGGTCAGGATGCAACCATGCTTACACTTGTCAGTGTCTTGTTGAAACTATTTTTGTCCCCATCGATGCTGAAAAAGTCCATTATTACCTCAATTCCAGTTTATTTATCACAAGAACCATTTCATTTAATCAAAACACGCAAGTTCTAAATTACACGGATGAGTTGGAATCCCATAATTATTGGCCGACAAAAAAATCGCACAATCAAAACAATACTCGTATGAAAGTCCGAAGAGCAATTAATTCTCTCTGGAGGCACTCATGGATAGCCTAATCCTTCCGTTTTCATAACTTGGGCTGGAGCCTCTCTACACTAGACCCGAGTCTGAAGGCCGCCGCAAGCCAACCCAACCACGTGGCTGGTCATGATGGCACGTTCCCCATTTCTTGGGCACGCACATCGCCTAAACCAACATTTCTACTTTTTTTTTCTTCGTGCTTTTTGGGGGACAAAAACTCCTAATTTCCACATAGGGACGCCTAATAACCAAGGCAGATGTTTAAAAATGACAGGACATTTAGGTAACTTCCTCTGTATGTGGACTTAGATGTCAACGTGTCCCCCAAACGATCTCAATTTTTTTTTTTTAGGGTGGGGAGTAGGCACCACTTTTGCAATTTTCGTCTGCCTATTTTGTTTCTTCATCCATCAGACCCAAATAGTAAGCATTCTTCGTCTTTTTTTTTTTTGATACAACAAATAGTGAGCATTCTTAAAGTAAGTGCTGGTATTGAACTGAGACTAATATCAGTATTTTTTTTCCAATTAAAGTGCAACTTTTCAAGAAGCAAGTGATTTGGCTTTGCTTCGTTTGAAAAAAAAAAAAAAAAAACCAGAGAAGTTCCTGGAACACTGAAAGCCTAGCTTCCTCAGTAAAATACTGAGAAGTTGTATTCGAATATCTTGCAATAATAATACTATTAACTCCTGGCTTATTTCCCACCCTCACATATTAACTGTAAGCCCGATTGGAATTTTGGGTAGTGTTTGGAAGGGTTTCAACCCAATTTTAGCTTATCTAAAGTAAGTTCCAAAACATGCGTTGCAGTAGAAGCTGGATTTTGTAGCTTATTATTAGAGGTGGGAATCAGAGCCGAACCGGCCTTTCAGGGCTAGGGGGCTTAAAAGGGCTGGCCCTTTAGGGCTGAAATTTTAAAAATACTCCAATTTGCTAGGCCGGTCCTTAAGCTACAGGGCTTAGGGCCGGCTTGCGGGCTTTTGGCCCTTTTAAAAAAATATTATTTTTTATATTTATCATATTTTTTATAAAAAATAAAAATAAACTAATGAAATTATTAATAAAAGACATAAATATGAATAAAATTAAGTCACAAATATAAAATATCATCATATATAAATATCCATAAACATCCAAGAATATCTAAAACATTCGTTAACAAGATAACAACATCTAAAAGTTTTATCTATAGTGCAATTATGTAATAAATAAACACTATTATTAATCTTTTGAAATTTTATCATCACTATAATTAATTACTCTTCTTTATAAGTATGTTTTTTTTCGTAACAAAAATATCAAGTTTTTCCTTCTTTGTAGGAATTTTACTTTTAAATTTTACAATCTAGCTATTATTTTACTTTAATGTGATAAACATTGTTGTTGAAACTCATGAATTTCTAATTCAAATTATAGAATCACATGTTATATAAGTATAAAAATACTCTATTATCAAATATATATAGTTTAAAAATATCAACGCATATAATATAAATCAAATCATTATTAAAGTCCAAATTAACTCATTTTTTTAAAATTTAATTGGATAAATTATTGTCTAAAAGTAAATTTAATTTTAAAATAATAATAACTAAATATTTAAAATATTATTAACAATGTAAAAAATTAATAACATTGGAATTATATAAAAAAATTTTTAAAAAAATTATAAAATGCTTAAACAGGCCGGTTCGCAGCCCTCCAGAGCTAGCCTTTTAAGCCCTCAGCCCTACAGGGCTAGTCCTCCAAGGCTTATTCCCATTTGAAGGGAAAAATATCAAACCCGACCCTTATAATTCTAGGGTCTAAACGGGTTCGACCAGTTTTTCTGGTTTTACTTATTATTGCCTTTAACCGTTGTGACGTGTCAGAGGCAATTTTTCTCATTTCTACCCGAGCTTTTTTTCTCTCACTTCTGCCCATATTCCCTCATTTCTCCCAAAGGCCATAATAATAGAGGTTTTTTTTTTCCGTATAAAGCTTTTTCGTCTGGGCAGATTTTTTGGTTTTGGAAATTATGAAATTGGTGTCAGTCTTTTCAATATTGTATTTTCACGTCTGGATGGTAGGCAATTTATTTATTTTTAGAAGGTAAAAATTATTTATTTTTATTTTAAAATTAAATGTTTGTTTTTAGAAAATAAAAATACAGTAACATGAACATAAGACTTGTCCATCTAAATTTATTTATAGTATTATAATTTTTAAACATATTTTTACAGAAATTCAAACAGTGAAAATATACAGTAAACACTAAAACGTGTACTATTTGTTATGATTAAACAATCAAAATTTTTTTTATCACGTTTCACATTATATTTAAAATATTTCTTATGATTTTTCTAAAGTTTTCAATTTTAATTGACTTATTAAATTTCACTTATTCGTTATATTATCTTAATTCATTTTTTTTCATATTTTACTTTATATTTAAAATATTTTTATGATTTCTCTAAAGTTTTAAAATTTAATTCATTCATTAAATTTGACTTCTTCATATTGAATTATTTTAATTTCATCGTATTATGTGAATAGATTTTTTTATCATGTTTTATTATTTATTAAAACTCATACATATTTTGATTATTTTACAATCAAACTTACTTTTACTCAACCATAATTCAAATAATTTTTTACCAATCTCACTTTTGTAAACTAACTTTTTCTGAATTCTAATCTAAACACAATTTAGTTTATCCAATTTAGTTTTTACCCAACTTTACTTTTTTATAAGTCAGATTCACAATAAACTACTTTTTCAATCACTGTTCTAAACAGATCCTAAATGAATAGAGACGTTAATTAACAGAGTTGAAGTCTATGCACCTACATGCAGATGTAGCCCACTCGAAATGCTGAGCCAGAGACGCGTGTGTGTAGTGCTGTGTTGCGAAACTTAAGCTTATCGGATAAAATGCTCAAAGTAGGCTTCTGGCTGCGTCATCCCCCACTTTGATATTTCACTCACCATTTCGGCATTTGATTGTATTGTCAGCTGAAGTCCGTCCCTCTGCTGCTGTGTGTTAGTGAAACTATTGGCTGAATTGTAGCCCTACTTCCTCGCACAGCTGATGCAACTATGCGCCATGCTCTTCTTACCTCTACAAAACTCGAAAGATGAGTACTACCCCACAAAAGGAAAGGACCGTAGATGCGAACCCGAATCAGCACTGCCCAAATAAGGGGTTATATAATATATTCAATTTAATATAATTCGACATGCATGGCACTCCGCCCCCTTCTTTTATATACATATTTTTACTGCGCCCTTCTACTGTTACTGACATGGTTTTCCCGTTCTCAGCGGATGGCTTTTCCTTTTAGGGTGACCTCATTCCTGCCCATCAAACTAGGCGAGTAAAAGGTCAGCAATTTTCAGTTAAATCAATGAAAAGCTAGCTCTTCACAAGTCAATAAATTGCCCAACCAGCACTGAATTTAGGGAAATTTTTGTTTTTTTTTCCTTTTTTTCCTACCAATTTAGTAGCAGCAGAATAAACAAAAAATAAAGGAAGGTATTAACGCCATCAGGAAAATGAGGATTTTTTTTTATATTTGGGAAGTTTTTTGGCGGCGCTGTGTACGGGGAACTGGAAGCCGAGTAATTAAAGGGGGAAAAAGGGCGAAGAAACTAAAAAACGAGAGAGAATGGTGGGAAGCTGGAAGAAATGAAGTGGTGCCAATTTAAGTGTACTTGCTTTTTTTTTTATAAGAAGTTAACTGTACCCCCTGTTTGCCCCAGTTTTACTGAACCAACGAATCCAATAAGCCGACGTGTCAGCCGCTCGCATCTGGAAAACGAGGAAATAAAACAGCAAGCGATTCTACTACACCAGTCGGTTATCACTTGGTCAATTACCCCTAACTTTTAGGAAATAAATAAAATATTTTGGATATTTCCCAGATTGAGAAAAATGGAAACTTTCGGACCCAAATTTCAGAGAGCATAACCAAGTATAAGTTGGGTTTGCCATCACTTCCTGTATTTAATCCGCTCCAAAATGGAACAAAACCCTAAGGGTTCTTGTCAGAACCAATAGCCGCCAGATTGATCTCTTACATTACTGTTCTCTCATTCTTCCCTTATTTGATCTTCGTGCATCAATCCTCATCCCACTATTTTTTTTGTTCTCCTGTTTTGCCACACTTTTCTTACCTTAATTAGGTTCCTGCTATACTTGTTATGGACATGAGATGAACAACATAACATGCTTTAAGAACAGTAATTTGTTTTCAATAATTATGAAAGCTAATTCAGGCAAAAGTAAATTCTTTCTTGAAATCTCTGTTTTCTTGTAGATTCTTCAGCTTTCCTGTCAGCTCCAGGAATTACTTCGGTCCAATATTTATGAAGCAGCTGAAATTGAGCATTTCTGAAGTTGTTTATATGAGTTTTAGGTTCTTAGATGGGAAAAGCTTCGGTTTTGGGTTTGTTTTAGGGTTTAGGGTTTGAATATTATTGGTTATGAGTGGAGATCAGTCTTGAGCTGTATCGGGTTGAGAATAATTTCCAGATGTTGAAAGTCTGATGATCAATTTCAGCTTTTAAAATGTTGTCTGAATTGGGAAGGAGACCGATGCTTGGCGCTAGCGATGGGTCATTCGGAGATGAATACGAGAAAGAGGTTGGGATGTTGCTTCGCGAGCAACGTCGTCAGGAGGCCGACGATCATGAACGTGAACTCAATTTGTATAGAAGTGGATCAGCGCCTCCGACTGTTGAGGGTTCATTAAGTGCCGTAGGAGGCTTATTTGGCGGCGGAGGTGCCGCCGCCGCCGCCGCCGCCCTTTCTGAGTTTTCCGGTGGTAAACATGGAAATGGATTTGCGTCTGAAGAAGAGCTTAGGTCTGATCCAGCTTATCTTTCATACTATTACTCGAATGTGAATTTGAACCCCCGGCTTCCACCTCCGTTGCTATCAAAGGAGGACTGGAGATTTGCACAAAGATTAAAAGGGGGAGCTTCTGTCGTTGGTGGAATTGGAGATAGGCGGAAGGTTAATAGGGCAGATGATAATGGAAGTAGATCATTATTTTCAACTCCTCCAGGTTTTCACTTGCAAAAACAAGAGAGTAAGGTGGATAATGAAAAATTAAGAGGCTCGGCTGATTGGGGTGGTGATGGGCTGATTGGTTTGCCGGGTCTAGGACTTGGAAGCAAACAAAAGAGCCTTGCCGAGATTTTTCAGGTGGTTTTCTACTTGCACGCTTTTTTATTTTTGTAACTGGTTAAGCATGATGCCTTACTTTTTGACTCTGCAGCACTTTTTTTCTGCGTTGCATATCTTGCTTGGGTGCTCCTGTTTTTGACCTGTTTTGTTATGAACTACTTATTAGTATAACTTTGCTTTTAATGTTCTGAGGTATAACTTTATTTGTGTAACGTTATTCTAATGTTTTGGCGTATAACTTTATTTGAAGTTAGCGTATACACTGTTTTACCTGTACCTAGTGCTGATGGTGTTGGGTAATGGCAAAATAACTTAATGTCTCAACTTAATGTTTCTTTTTTGGTTCTACCTTTGCTGTACTTATTTACGTGTTCTGAACTAGTTGACGTTTTTAGTTATAAAAAAGAAGAAGAAGAAGCTGAAAATTGATAGTTATTGTTCTGTACATTCTTTTTATTTCAGTAGATTCGTTTCATTCACAATGAGTTTAATTGGGAATATTCAAATATTTCAAATCACATTGAAGTGTAAGATTCATAATGTTTATGACTTGGCTATCTCATGTGATATGTTGCAGGTGTGGGATTTATATCCATGGTTCCAAAAATAATATGTTTTGGCACATTTGTAAATTTTACTGTATTATAGTATTAAAGAATCAGAACACATGTTAATTACATTATCATGATCTTTGTTTTACCTAATGTCGTTCAGTCTATTATATGTTTGAATTGGTGATAAATTCTTTCTTGCATATTGAGACGTTGATTATAGAGCATAACCTTCTGACGGAGTATATGTTGTGGCGAAACTTTTCTTTCTGCTATTAAGTGTCATCATGTTTGGTCAAATTTAACACATTTCTGTTTTGACTGATTCCCTATGCCTCTTTATTCATTACCTTGTTACTTCTACCCATCATTATGAATAATAACCATGCAGGATGATTTGGAGCGTAACCCACCTGTCCATGGCCTTCCTTCTCGTCCTTCCAGCCGTAATGCATTCAACGAAAATGATGATATGATAGCTTCAGCTGAGGCTGAGCTGGCTCATTTACGCCATGATTCCACAACTACTGATGCCTTCCAGGGATCATCTGCAGCTCAGCATATTGGTCCACCATCTTCATATACTTATGCTGCTGCTCTTGGATCTTCCTTATCAAGAAGCACCACTCCTGATCCGCAGCTTGTTGCTAGGGCTCCCAGTCCTTGCCCTACGCCTATTGGAGGGGGGAGAGTTTCTGCTGCAGAGAAGAGGTGTGTTACCAGTCCTGATGCATTAAATGGCGCTTCATCTGGCATAAGTGAGTCTGCAAATCTGGTGGCTGCATTGTCTAGTATGAATTTGTCAGCAGATGGTGTGTTAGATAGGGATAACCATTTACCCTCACAGGTTGAGTCAGATGTTGATAATCACCAAAGATATCTATTTGGTATTCAAGGAAGTCAAGATCATGGCAAGCAACATGTGTATTCAAAGAAGTCTGAATCAGGGCACTTGCAGAAAGCAACATACTCTGATTCTGGTAAAAGGAATGGAAGTGGTTCTGACATTAACTCATCCTTGGATAGGCAAGTTGAATTACAGAAGTCTAATCTTCCTTCCAGTAATACGTATTTCAAAGGATCACCTACCTCTCCCTTTAGTGGTGAAGGCAGTTTTCCAGCTCAATACCAGCCTTTAGATAGCACAAATTCATCATTTACTAATTTTGGCCTCAGTGGCTATGCTGGAAATCCAGCATCTGGATCCCTAATGGCTAACCAACTTGGCACTGGTAATCTGCCACCCCTGTTTGAAAATGTTGCTGCAGCATCAGCAATGGCAGCACCTGGAATGGAATCAAGAATTCTTGGTGGTGGTTTGGCTTCTGGAGCTGTTGCTGCGGCTGATGCACATAGTCTTGGTAGAATGGGAAATCAAATTGCGGGTGCTGCTCTTCAGGCTCCTTTCGTTGATCCTATGTATCTTCAGTACTTGAGAACTTCTGATTATGCTGCAGCTCAACTTGCTGCTCTGAATGACCCCTCCATGGACAGGAACTACATGGGTAATTCTTACATGAATTTACTTGAGCTGCAAAAAGCCTATCTTGGGGCTATGCTCTCACCTCAGAAGTCACAGTACAATGTTCCTCTGGGTAATAAATCCGGCGGCTCCAATCATCTTGGTTACTATGCAAATCCTGCATTTGGTGTTGGTTTGTCTTATCCAGGAAGTCCAATGGCAAACTCAGTTGTATCCACTTCTCCAGTTGGATCTGGCAGTCCTGTGAGGCACAACGAGCTGAATATGCGGTTTGCTTCTGGGATGAGGAATTTAGCTGGGGGTGTCATGGGACCATGGCACCTAGATGCTGGAGTCAACATGGACGAAACCTTTGCTTCTTCCTTGTTAGAAGAGTTCAAAAGTAATAAAACCAAGTGTTTTGAGCTTTCAGAGATTTCTGGTCATGTTGTTGAGTTCAGGTATACATTTTGTCTGTTAAGTCTTTTGATGCTTTAATTTTAATGCTTCAATTTTTATGTTCTCATCCGTTAAAACTAAAGTTAATGATTTTACCCTTGTGAGTAGTGCGGATCAATATGGGAGTCGATTTATCCAGCAAAAACTGGAACAAGCAACTACAGAAGAAAAAAACATGGTTTATCAGGAAATTATGCCTCATGCTCTGGCTTTGATGACTGATGTCTTTGGTAATTATGTGGTTCAGAAGGTGAGATGAGATTCATTCTCTTTTTCTGATGCTGTTTGTATTCTTTTTATTCTTATTCATGGACGTGGTTTGAATAATTTCTGGTATATTCCAGTTTTTTGAGCATGGACTTGCACCTCAGAGAAGAGAATTAGCTAACAAGCTTTTTGGCCACGTTCTGACCCTTAGCCTTCAAATGTATGGTTGTCGGGTGATCCAAAAGGTATTGACAGCTTGGGTATCAGCAATGGAAATTTTTTTCATGTGGTTATTGTCCTTAATGTTTTCAATATCTCATACTTTACCTTTTCTTTCTCCTACTCTGCATCCTCCTTTAGGCCATAGAAGTTGTTGATCTGGATCAGAAGATAAAAATGGTTCAAGAGCTTGATGGTAATGTTATGCGCTGTGTTCGTGATCAGAATGGAAACCATGTCATTCAGAAGTGTATAGAATATGTCCCCGAAGATGCAATTCACTTCATTGTCTCGACCTTTTTTGATCAAGTTGTGACACTTTCAACCCATCCATATGGTTGCCGGGTTATACAGGCAGGATTATTTAAGTTGCTCCTCTTATGATTATTCTGCATTTAAAATCCCTGTTCATATAATAATGCTTTTCTAAATGGCAGAGAGTACTGGAGCACTGCAAAGATGCTAAGACACAACAAAAAGTTATGGATGAGATTTTGAGAGCTGTTAGCATGTTAGCTCAGGATCAGTATGGCAATTACGTTGTTCAGGTTTATTTACCTCACCTTTTTTAGTTTAAACTAGTAGCTGCAATTTGGTATGGAAATTAAATGATGCTTATCCAACTCTTAGCTTTTGTGTAGTTTACCTGTCATTTTCTGCTGCAATTTAGTTCTGAGAGAAAAGATGTGGTATTCCCCCCTTTCTTTTTTGGGTTATACTGGTTGAAGTTGTTCACTTTTTCATGATTTTTTTTAAAATTTTTTTCCTTTAAAGAATGTCTTTGGAGCGGATGCTTTTTATCAATTTACTTTTATAGTTTTTTTTAATCGAATTTGAATATATTGATTTATGTTATATATCATGCCATCCAAGCTGTGCTACTCTTATACACTCTGTGCTAAGGTTTGTTGTCTTGTAATTTGGAGCCTGGGCATCTGTTTGCTGCTGTAACTATTAATATAACACTTCCAGCTGGCATCTGTATATCTTGTAGTTTATACTTGTGAACTGATCTTTCATTCTGTCTTGCTCTATCCTTTGTAACAGCATGTGCTAGAACATGGGAAGCCTCATGAGCGTTCAGCGATTATAAAGGAATTAGCTGGCAAGATAGTTCAAATGAGTCAACAGAAGTTTGCCTCCAACGTCGTTGAGAAGTGTTTGACATTTGGAGATTCTTCTGAACGCCAGTTACTAGTGAATGAGATGCTTGGCTCCACGGATGAAAATGAGCCCCTTCAGGTTTCTTGGAACCTTTAGTTTTGCTTTTTGACAATATATGAATCCTTACTCTTTCCTTTGTGGCAACTAATCAATGCTTATTATCATATTTTAATCATCTGAGAGACACTGGCTGTTGATACTGGGAGTCTCCTTTTACCTATGATCACTTCGGGTTTGCATCCTTCATGCTTTTACTCCCAGAAGTCTGCGCCATCGCAACGAAACAAAAAAGAAGTCATTGCTTTGAGTTCATTGCAAAACCTGGACTCCTGCTTTCTTTTCCTTCTTTGTCAAATATTTCCTTCACTAGAGTTGAGATTAATCATTCGTGGGGGCATGAAAATTTAATGTAACTAACGTGAGGTTTTGTGAAAGACGCAAGTTGACGGTCTTATTTTTGCATCTTGGAACATGGACACCTAAATGTAGTTATCATGAAGGAATGTGTTTTCCCCCTCTAAACATATTAAAATCATTATTTGTTTTAGTCTTCTACTAGAGTAGTGATCCCGGGTATTGTATGTGCCTTGGTTTTTCAAATCCTCTAGCATGCCTTAACTCTTGACCGAAAAGGTGGCAATGTCATTCTTGCATTGATGTTTTAACCTCTTCATAATTCTTGCATAATGATCGACTGCATTCCTCCTCTTTTAATTTACAGGCGATGATGAAAGATCAATTTGCAAATTATGTTGTACAAAAGGTGCTGGAGACTTGTGATGACCAGCAACGTGAGCTGATTCTTTCGCGAATCAAGGTTCATTTGAATGCTTTGAAGAAGTACACTTATGGAAAGCATATTGTTGCACGTGTAGAGAAACTAGTTGCTGCTGGAGGTACTTACTCATTCCATGATATTTCTGATTCACACATCCTTGGTATCTGACAAGCATGGTTGCATCCATGAGTGTAATATAGGTGCATGCTTATGAAGAATGTGCATTGATCATGATACGCTTGTTGAAGTTGGTCATCACATGTAATTTTTGTTGCAGAAAGGAGGATTGCTGCTCAGTCTCCTCATCCTCCTTAGGGCGCATATAAAGAGAAGGTTGTTTGTACAGCTAACTGGGGCGAGTGTGGGCTTTTCCTGCATCTAGAAGAGGTGATGAAAAACCTATCTTCTGTTGAGATAGGCAATAAAGTTGTCAGTTGTAATGAAGAACTGTACATTTTGTAGTGTTAAGTTTATACGTATAAATTAAGCGGAATGGGTTCCAGATGCCTGAACACAGCTGATGCGCCTGCAGAGTAGATCAAATAACTATACGAAGGACTTTTAAGGTTGTAGAGATTATAAAGATGCTGAGCTAGGTTTTTTAAGTTGACGTGACTGTACAAAAATGTTGCCTTGTGGAGAGCTGTTCATGTTTAGGCCCATTAATTGAGGAAGGATTTTTCTTGTTATGCTTGTTTGGCGGCCTTATTGACTGTGTCCTCTTATTTCTTACATCCATCGAATTGATGAAAATATATACATACATACATATATATATAGATCTGAAGTACCGCCCGACTCCTTATTTTGATGAAAAAAGAAAAGTCAACAAAGCAGAGATATCGACTCTTTTGAATTCGGGTAAACAATCGGTTTTTTAGGGGGCCGCTTCGGTTTTATGCCGCGTGTCTGCTCCAAATACTATTTTCTTCCTTGAGGTGAATCTCATGGTGTCGAAGTGCTTTTATCATGTTCTGTTCGCGGAGAGACACTCGCCAATAAATTTCGAACACTCAGTCTTCCAACAAATTAGTAACTGATCTCAGCAACGCGCTTTATATAGAGAGATCACTTAACCTGAAATGAAAGGAATAGAGATGGAACTACTGGCTCATCGGAAATCTCGAACCAAGAAGCAATGTGCTTACAGAAGCGGGCTGAGGTTTGCGGAAAGAAATTCAGCAATTTCAGTGTGAATTTGACTTGGCCTTAGTCGGCTTTTGGGGGATTGTTTGCGTCTTCCAAATCCAAACCACGTCATGATCATTTTGCACCCTCGGGCTCTTCCCTGTTTCCGACGTTTTTCTTCGATCGTTAGCTGCATTTCTCTCAAGATTCTCTCTCTTTATAATCCTGAATTCTTGGTCGCTCCAAAGTCGTAAATCAATTGAAAATAATGAATAATGCTGCCATATCGATTGCGCCATGGTGGGAAGTTGCGATTTGCGTGGTTGGAAGCTGCTAACGTTAAACTTCCATCTGATATCACTAGCCAGTAGCCACTAGGCTTCTTCCCCACGGCACGGGGACGGAAGTCGGGGGAGGTGATAATTATTAGCTGATGAATAGGGTGTGTCCTTTGAAAGAGGCGGTCAGTGTCTCTATTGGTTTTTAGTCTGATATGACTTTCTTCTTGTTTTTCTTGGACTGCTAAGCGTCATTCTTGCACCCAAGAAAGGGGGGAGAAAAAGAAAGAAATAATATAGGGGTATGAAGTAAGTGATGTACGTCACTGAAAGCGAATGCTTATGTAATATTTGGTATGAGAGAGAAATGGAAGGGAGAGAAGGAGGAAAAATTTCAAAAAACTTCGTTTAAAAAATTGAAAAAGTTTGGCTATAAAATTTTAATACAATGAAGAAGTGGTATAAAAAAGTAATAACAATTATTTAAAGGTTTTTAATCTCATTTTCTCTCTTTTTTAAATTGAGCTTATTAAAAAAATTTTTTTATCCTCTCCTCCAGTCCATTTCCCTAATACCAGGTGGACTCTTAAAGTCAATACAACATTGATATTGATGGGAAAGAAAAAACTTATTTAGAGAGTGCAATATTATAATATTAGGATGCTATAAAATATTACCTCCAATTCTTAATATAAGAGTTAATTTGACTTTTAGTTTGATTCTAAATATAAGGTCATAATCCATTTTATTTCTCATATTTATCTATTTTATTCTCAAATAATTCTTATAGTAGTTATATATGTTAAGAAATTACTATTAATAGGTAACACACATAATTAATAAGGGTAATTTAGGAAAAGTAATATTTATTTACTACAAACAATTAACTTAACTAATTATTTTAATATTTTCAAATTAATCCATTAAATTTCATATTAAGTATGGAGTTAATTAGTACATAGATATTACCCCGTTCATATTCTTTCGATATGGGAAATGAGTTTTTTAGACAAAAAAAAGAAGATATTTTCACTGAAAAAAGATGGCATGAGAAATGAGTTTCAATTCCTATTTGATAACAAAACAACAGTAAAAACCATAAATAAGAGCAATCACATGATCAAAAGATGTTGGGAGGCCAAAAAAAAAACATTATATATCAGAATATGAAAGATCCTTATTTGAAAAGATGCAGCCAATTTGGACCAAAAAAGAAAAGATGCAGCCAGAGTTTTGTTTTTGCTCGTGCAACTTTCAAACTAACTTCAATAGTGATCAGTGCGTTATCTGTGTCAGGTTGCGCACGCGGAAGGCCCTTGTAGCACTCTTTAACATTTCCAAAGATGAATGAAACTGGATATTCTAACCCCTTCTGATTGCAGATAAGGCTTGCTTCGTATTGAAGAATGTCTAGTGAAGTCCTCTCCAGTTTTCAACTTTTCATCACATATAGTGTTAGGGAAGAACGAAGGAAATGATGTCGTCTGATGTCTACAATAGGAAGCTCTCTGATCAGTTGATGAACGGGAATCTAGTTGAAACTCACCATGTCTGTTCCGTGTATGATATATTTTAGGTCCAATGGTGGATCTCACGAATCTGGATCAACTTGTTGCCTTGGACGACGTCTACAGAGAGTTATCATCCTGCCATTTGTGAACCAGCACATACTCTTACGTACACTTCTAGCCACGGACGGAGATGCAGCATATTATCATTTACCCATCTATCATTGTTCTGTTTTTCCTTTTTTGGGGCACATAACTCGTCTATCATTGGTACACACTATTTATCCAACTGCAACCGGTAAATTTTCTCGATTTCCTTCTCTTCAACATTTTCTTCACCCTCTCGACCTTTCCCCATTCACCAGCATCAGCGTATAAGCTTGACAATAGAAGACGATTCCCGGCACTCTCAGGCTCCAATTCCAGCAAATGCTTGACTGCCTCTTCTGCAAGATCCTCATGTCCATGATTCCTACAAGCAGCCAGTAGGGCACCCCACACAAATAAATCAGGTTCAATGGGCATTGCCTTGATCATCGCATATGCTTCGTCAAGTTTTCCAGCCCGACCTAGAAGATCCACCATGCATGCGTAATGCTCAAGCCGTGGATCAATCTCGTATTTTTCTTGCATGATCTTGAACAAACTTTGCCCAAGTTCAATATCTCCCGCGTGACAGCACGCAGTTAGAACTGCCGTGAAAGTTAGATGATCAAGCTTGCCTCCCCCTTCTGTCTCTCTGAACAACTCGATTGCCTTGTCAAAGTACCCATGATTTGCATAACCGAAGATCATTGAGTTCAACGTAACCGTGTTCTTCACGGGCATCTGATAAAATATGGTCCCTGCCTCATATATGAACCCACATTTTGCATACATATCAACAAGAGCACTCCTTACATATATATCTTCCCCAACACCAATCACCAGCGCGTAGCTGTGAAGCTCCTTTCCACGCCTCACTTTTGCTGCAGTAGCACATGCAGGTAGAAGACTGCTAATGTAGCCGAAGTTGGGCAGAATCCATGACCCAACATCTGTTTAAACGTATGAAACGCTTCCTCATGTCGAAAATTCTGCACAAAGCCAGATATTAAAGAAGTCCATGATATCACATCAGGCTCAAAACCATTGGCGGTCATCACCCTGAAAAGCTCTGACACCGTTGCTCGGTCACCTTCTTTAGAAAATCCAGCAATCAATGTATTCCAAGTTATCACATTTGGCTTCGTGCCCATCATTCTCATGCTTTCCACCAAAATCAGTGCGTCCTTGGCAAGCCCTTGTTGTGCATAGCCAGACACAATAGCATTTAGCGCCACTAAATCTTTCTCTAACATCCCGTCGAATACTTTCCGCGCTTCTTCAACTCTTGCGCATTTTGAGTACATATCAATTAGAGCACTGCTGACAAAAGAATCGAGCTCGAACGAACATTTCAAAATCACGCCATGCATTTTCTCTCCGGTCTTGAGATCGCAAAGGTGCCCACAAGCTTTGAGAACGCTGGGCATCACGAATACGTTGGGTTTCAGCCCTTCCGTTTGCATTTCAGAGAACACACTCAGAGCCTCCTTATGGAAGCCACAGCGAGCAGAGGCTCCAATAAGAGCGATCCAGCGTCGAACATTTGTTGCCGGAATTTTTTCGAACAACTTGCGTGCAAGGGACAGTGTCCCACACTCGATGTACAATGTTATGAGCTTCGATGCAATGACTGCAAAACGAGCGAAACCGTTTATGATTAGGTGCGCATGAAGTTTCCTGCCCAAGTGCACAGCTCTATCACGAGCGTAAATGTCAATCACTTGGGCATAGACATTAGCTTCTGTTGGAAGCGTCGATCTCTGCTGGTATTGAAATTGAACCATGTCCGAGGAATCTTAAAAAATGAGCGCTTTTGATGAGTGTGCGCAGCATAGTAATATACAGACGCTGTCTTCTTTCAACGTGGCTGCGTGAGGATCGTTGGATCGTTTCAACGGACAGATTTGCGCGATGACGAGCGCTCTCGGGAGGATAGGAGTTCGGAGGATAAGATCCGCTTCGTTGGAAATCTCAGCCCAACGATTTCTGGTAACTTGATTAACATGTATGGATTTGCTCTGCCTCTAACTGGAAACAATTTCCTTTACCGGGCTAAACTGTGTTTTAGATCCATCGGACCTTCCTTGCTCCTGCAAAACCTAGCTAATTCTTCCTTACCCAATAGTGCATTCGGTCGTCGACGTGATTTTAATCCCGTCCTATTCCAGTCGGAATCCGTTTTTCCTTCCTGCTGGAACTATAAGCATACAAGAGGTAGCATCATTCTTCTGAAAGCCAGCCGTCGGGAGTCTCCTTACGAAGTTTTGGGCGTATCTCCATCAGCTACAGCAGATGAGATCAAAAGGGCATACAGAAAGCTTGCTCTTAAGTATCATCCTGATGTCAATAAAGAGGTAATTGGTATGTTTGGATCCTTCCCAAATGTTGTGTTCAATCCTTTTAGGTGTCGCTTAAGAATACATCAATATTGTGTAATTTTAGGTGGAAATTAGTCCTCTTTAATTAGCAATAGGAAAAATCAAATCTTTTCTTCCCTTTTCTGCATTAAAGCAAGGGGAGGCAAATATTATGTATTATACGGTTGAGATGTAAGAGAATAAAGTTGGGAATTAAATCGAACGTAGAAAAAGAACATGCAAATTCACACAAGAAGGAAGTGTAGAATTATTAGAAAGGGTAGTGGCCCTTTAATGGTCGTAAGATGCTGCGAAGTGCACTGTTCATGTGATTCACAATACTGATAAAAGGTTCCCGAAAAGAAGAGGAACATGGGAAGTAGCAGCAACAATTGCTCCTAACAAACAATGGATTGCTTTCTGTCGCGAATAAGAACTTAAAATGGACAAAGACATGGGGAGTAAGAGCAGCAAGATGCAGGCGCTACTAGATTTGAATCTTACTGGTCTATTTAATGGATTTTACTACCCTGTCTACTTGTACTACTTTGAGCCATACATTGAAGTAAGTATTTTTCATCTTGTCTTCACAGGACAAGGCGCAGGAGAAGTTTATGAGGATAAAACACGCATACAATACATTGATAAATTCTACTTCGCGTAGAAAATTTGATTCTGGAAATGGTGGTTCCGATTCTTATTATTCCTCTCAGAGAAGCCAAAGTGGTGATGCAAAAGTAGAAGAAGAATTTTATGGATTAGGTAAAGAGCTCTTTCCAATACTGGATAAATATCTACGCGGTTGCCTTTGCAACTGTGGACCATACTGGTTCCGGGAATCACAAATTCACGTACTTAATTCACAGGGCAAAAGTTGTCGGGAAGCATATGGAATCTTGATTGCTATGTTTTGTTAGTTTGTACTGGATAATTTTTGCCAATTCCCTATCCCTTTCCCATTTTTCTGGAAAGATGCCTGTTGAACATGTTGGTTTTACATCCACGGACCTCAGTTATAATTTGTTTTTGCCTTGCATATTCTTATACTATATCTTTCCCTCCAACTGTTGAAAAGTAATTTTACAATCCTTTATAAGCTTCCTGATTGGATTGGATGTCTGTCTTATGGTTAACATCTTTGTGCTGCAGGTAATTTTTTGAGGGATGTTCAAATAACAATAGGTAGATGTGTACTCTCAGACATCGTATCGACCATAAGTTTAACTTGCATGTTTACAAATGCTTTTGAACATGAATTTTGTTTTTCCACGCATTTTATTTCCACGCAGGTCTGTGAATAGGCGGAGAGGAGAATATCTACTAAATTGTTATTACCTTGTATAATTTGGCTGATGTAATTACAGGGGAGTTTTTCAAAGATGTTCAAGAAGAATTCAGGAACTGGGAAGCAAACTCTACTTCACAAGGAAAGCCGAAAAGCCTATGGGAGGAATTGGCGGTAAGAATTCGCCTCCCCCCCCCCCCCCCGTGTTGTGTTCTTATTCCCACACGATGCTTGGCTTCTGAGCTTCTATAGTTGCCTGAACAAGAGAGAAGCCCCCCCCCCCCGGGGGGGGGGGGTGGTTCTTATTCGTGCAGAGTCTATTTAGTAATTTAGTTCTTGATTCTTGATGGCTGATCCTCGTCTTTTGAAACTGTGGTTAACAACAGTGATCAACATTGGAAACTGATTATATGGGATTTTACGTTGCAGGAAATAGGAGAAGAATTTGTGGAGTTTCTGGAGAAAGAACTTGATATAGTTGATTCGGGTGATAATTATCAAAAGCCTCGGGGAGGAAATCCTTCTCGTACTTCTGCTGGCAGTGGCCCTCAAGATGAAAGTGGCAAGGGGAACAGCAGCATCAAGGATAACCTTGATGAAATAGAAGCTACTCTTGCTCAGTTAAAAAAGGAATTAGGTTTGTAGCCGAGATAAGTTTACTTTTATTGCTGGTTGACTCCATGATGTAGGATATTCAATTATTAGATATAAATTTCACAGGAATAAAAAACAAATGTTTTTACATAAAACAAAGCTATATCCTACATTATCCCCAGTCCATGGGATGCAAGTCGGAGAAGCCCTTCACTGAATGAAAAACTGTCACTAAAAAAATCTTGAACATTTGAGATGTCGTTGATGGTTCACTCATTTAGCTAACTTGTCTTGAAATTTTTTTTATTTTTTGAATTGAAATGGGGACTAAACTTGCTCTGTAGGAGACAGAACTCACCACCTCTTTTATGCAGGAAAATTAATTGGCCACTAGAACAATGCAGTAAGTGCCACTACACATTTGCGTGCAATGCCCTTTTTTTGGGATGAATTTTGGTGATTGATTTTGCTGTATACACGTGTTTTGTTTCCAGCCTGAGATGCTAATAAATCGACAAATATTCACCCCCACCATACTGACCGCTAAGTCAACAAGTTCGGGTGGTTTATTTTGGTCTGAACCAAGTTTGGTTAATTTTTCATAAATTGGGCATTTATTTTGGCAGCAGAAATAGATTAAATACATGAAAATAATAACAATAACCAACAAGATATAATCTGTCACAACATTTTCACATAAATTCTATACTAAATTTTCGGGGGAAACCAAAAAATCAGGGAAAAACGAGTTCAGTGCTAGCACGATGACCTCAGAATATCCACAAGCTTTTGCCCAATCATCAAAGGATGGTTGCAAAAGTTCTCCCGCAAACCATGACAAAACCTATTATTTTTAGCGATATACCATTTAATTGACTAATTTCCGCTCAAAATCTCTCTCCAAAACGGAAGAATAATGCACCAGTTCCTGAGTTGTGGTCAACGGCGTATTCTGCTCTAACCAGACCAAGCTTGAGACCAACTCCGTAGGATGATCCGTGTCCCATTCGCCTGTACACTTCTGTGGGATTCCCTTTGACGTTCTTCGAACTTCCAAGATCATTTCCATGTTCTGCAAAGGCATACACATGGGTACCTTTGATAGGTATCCGTAACTCGGCGGCAAGCTGTAAAAGAAAGAGATCAGCTCGCTGCTCAATGACTGGCTAGTCAAAAAAAAAGGAAAACTAACTACCATGAAATCTCTCAATCTTCATGATGCTAAAAAACAAACAAACAAACAAACAAAACCATGATACGTCCCAATCACTCCTACCTCAAGGATGTTTCTGGCTGCGCCAAGCTCACCCATGTTGTAACCCCTCACAGAATAGGGACCTCCAAGAGTAAAAGCATCGTAACTAGGAAGATCGCCTACACAACCACCATAATGACTATGGAGAACAAGCACTGGCGGTGGTGCTTTGCCAGCACCTTCCTCCACCGACATCAACTGGATAAATCGTGTCACAGTTAGCTGGTGACGATTAAAGAATGGGAAATTGCTGCCAATCCCAAGGCCTTGATCCACCTGACATTTGCATAGGACATAGCTGTGTCAGCAGATAACATAACTACGGCATACTTTAAGACTACAAATTCAGGGAACACTCATTTCTTGCTCGTATGATAATTGCAAGATGACCAGTTCATCCGCTTAATTTGACCAACATTACCATTCACTACAGTATCTACAATTAGGTTCAACTCAGTCACCGTTTCAAGAGTCTCTCAGAGCTCTAATGTTAACCAAAACGATAAAAATCATCTCCAGATGATCATCCCCGCAAACTCCAGCAATGCCATCAAGTCATCAACCCATCACGCTCGAATAGTATACCAAACATTGCTTTTGTCCCACCACCCCAGAAATTTTTTTTTTTTTTAAAAGCAATGTACGGAATCTTCACTATCATTGTTTTGATTCCTGGAATGGACCTGCTATGTCTTAAATTACTTATGAGTACATGTATAACTCAACCTGGAAGATAGTGAACCACTTACTCATCATTGCTTTAATTTTTATATGCCCTTCGGTCTAACAGCATTTGATCTAATTGGGAAAGGGAATTTCCTCTTCTACCACCATCAATAAACAGTAGATTCAGATTCTTAGCAAAACAAAGTGCTGGCCTTTCAAGAATGGTTCTTTTGCCAGGCAATAATTCTTTTAGTTTCTTTTCTTTTCTTTTTTGTTGTGGGGTTCAGGCCCACCAACCACAAAGCTGACAGTGTAGTGAGCCCATGTTGATAACACCAAAAGTAAATGTACACTCACCTGGAACACATTTCGGTCTCCAACGATAGTTCCATTCACAAACTTTGTGTTATCACGCGTAATATTGGCCTGTAAAAATGCCATCCGATCAACGCCAGTGCCACTGAGGGTGGTTGGAGGTCCATCAGCACTAATTCCTCCACTAGGCAATACTCGTTGACCATTTGCACAGATATGACTACTTTCATCACGAGTTGTTATCTCTTCCATCACAAGTCCATAAGTAAATTTACTCTGACGTGTGAAATTCTGTTTTGCACATGAGGTTGAAAAAAAATAATAAGATAAAGAGCACAAAATTAAAGGAAAGGGATTTAAAACGACCAATTGCCTGAACCATCAGCAAGATTACCTCAGTGATATTGGCTTTGACACCAGCACGATCAACCCATATTGGGGGTACTTCATCAACCCCTGGCCCTCCAGTGAATACAGGACTCAGCTTTCGACTGTTGAAGCAGCTTACACGAAGAGTACGGTTACTTGGATTATATACACCGTCCAAATACGGATGTGCATACTCAAGCTTAAATGCCAAATCATCCTAAGGGAAAAACATGAGCGCCGATTTAAGATAGTTGATATTAATAATAACCATGTTGGTGACATACCAAACTATTCCTAGAATAAAATGACATGAAGTCAATAGTCTAGTGAAAGACAACCTGAGGATTGAAGAAATTACTAGTTGTCACCGAACCAATAAGAGATCTATTCAATCCTTGCAAATTCCGGTGTTCAAAGGTAACAGTGCCTCCTGGCTGCAGTGATGCCTACACAGACAGTGAATATAAATACATGAGATCAACTAATGAACAAAAACTGATGGCCGATGACAAAGTAAATTTTTAGTTAGACATGAGTACCAATGTAGGACGTCCTCCTCGTCCAGGGACAATACTCCACTCAGTACTGACTTCTGCTGTCTTCTGTTCTAATTCTTTAAGCTTAATCTCAACGATAATTCCTCCCTCATTCTTCTCATCAGGCCGTGGATTCACTTCAATGTTTGAAAACAGAGCAAGGGAGTTGATGTTTCTTAAAGCTTGCTTCCCTGCCTCGATGTTGAAAATGTAACCTGGGCGTAGCTGTTATCCATACAAATATCCACTAAGTAGTCAACAACCGATGAACAAGGTAAAGACCAAAAACCAAGCGCAAAAGTCAATAACACCAACGCCTAGAAATTTGACACAAGAAACAAATGCCATGATGTGTTTGCCTGAAAGATCATTTTCTGGCGGCAGTCGGTATTGATTATCAAAACTCGAAACAAATGAAATGGAAAAACGGCACAACCTGCAATGTAACATAACCATATGTACCTGTTTCGGCAGTTCTCTTTCGACCACCGCGACATCAGTGTTACCTTCAACAACATTGCCAAGCTTATCCTGGAATTGAATGACCAATTGGGTGATATCCCCTTCTACAACCTCACAGACGACCTCCTTCGTGTTCAGGTTCCCAAAATTAACCACCTGTGCGCATGCATAGCCTTCATCCTGATACCACTTCTGGACCCGATCCCTTATCTTCTGCAATAGCCTGGCACTCACTTTTCCTTGCTCCTTCAGCATCTGCATAATCTCCATGTGCACAGGCATCGGCAGAAGACACGCCCTTGCCCTCTGAATTCTCCTCTTGTAGTCCTCCTCCTGACTTCTAAAGTACTCCAGCTTTTCCTTATCAGTCATGTCCGCGTCCATCTCAATGGGCTTCGACTGCTGCATCAAGCCCACATTAATGCAGCGGAACCGATCGGCTGACTGCCACGTGCTCTCGGTGAAAGATATTGTAATTCCGATGGTTCCATCGGCGTTAGTTTTGCCTTCCATATCTACCTTCTCGAACATTCCGCAGGTAGCCAGGGTCTCAAGCTCCTTCTGAAGCTGGGCCTTGGTGTATACGCCACCGGGACGCAGTGAAACCATCTCGAAGAAGGAATCTTCGGTGCCCACTGTTTTCCATCTCCTCCGATCGAAGAATAGAATCTCTGAAATTTTATACTTTTTAAATCCACTGAGCTTATTGAGTTGAACAACAATGTTGGCCGGCAGCCCATGGGAATCCCACTCCTGAGAAGGGGATTCATCGGCAATAGCATCTGCCGGGGAGAAAAGTCTAGAGAAGAACCCCCATTCCCATCTCCGCCGGTGCCGCCGAACCAGTTCCATCCGCCCCCGCCCCCGCCACCACCCAGGCCATTAGCACCGCCGCCGCCGAAATCTCCGGATCCATTGGAGAGGAGGAGCGGGAGGCCGGTGGAGCTGAAGAGGAGGGCGGCGGCGGCGGAAGAGAGGGCGAGGGTCTTGGGGAGGGTTTTGAAGAGGGCGTGATTAGAGGTATCAGAATCGTGGGAAGAGGAGAGATGACATTTGAGGGAGGAGGGTCGAGGGGAATTGTTGCGGCGACGAGGGAGAGGGGCGGAGAGCGTAGCACTCAAGTGCTGGGTAGCAGAGAAGGAGGAGGACATCGGGACGGATACGATGGGGTTTGGCAGCAGGAGGGGATAAGGGTTTTTGATGGGTTTTCTTCTCCCTCGACTGTTACTTGGGTAGGACTTGTCCTCTTCTTCACTCACTCAGTCACTCGAACTACTCCGATAATTTTAAAAAATTTAAAATATTTTTACTAATTAAGTGTACTAATCAGAAGAATGATTATTTTTAAAAAAAACATAAATAATAAAGACAAAATAAATTAAGCTCTTATATTTAAAATCAAAATAAAAACCTAACAAAACTTTATATTAAATACCAGAAGTAGTATTTCGCAAAGAACGTGAGAAGCCAGTGGATGGATCTGCTAATGCCGCGTGATAACATAAATGGCTAACAATTTCTAAAAACCACTCTATTAGTAATACTACCTCTTAATCTTAATTATAAAAATTTGTTTATAATTTATGAGACTATAAATAAAATTTTTTATAAACAAGGTATTATAAATAAATCGGAAGGAATAGTATATATATTTTTAATTATTACCATTAGTCCAATGGCATGAATCAATACATGAATCATTTCTCTTAAATTATTATTCCCTGTTTCATGAAAGCCGGCCACAACATTACCCCACTTTCTACTTCTTTTTTTTCCTTCTCAATTTTCTACTAAGGTAAAACTCACACAAATTTACTATCATACTTGAAAAATTCCAGCACACCATAACAATCGACATTCCATTATTAGCGTCCCGCCGTCCTGATAGTGACTTCTTCATAGGACTGCTCCCGGTGCCGTTACTATCAATCTTTCTTTGGTCACCATCAAGAAATGAGACCGCGCCAGGTTCCACATTCTTGCTCAAACCCCTATTCATTCTCTTCCTACCAATCATGTCCAAACACCACCGCGGTGCTGCTCAAAATGACATTGGTGAGATTTAATGTAATGTCACGACACCATACCCTCCAATAGTTTTGGCAACGCGTTAAGTTTAACTGCAGCAGTGTTCTCATCCATGTTGTGCATGCTCCTCTATAAGTGGTTAAATTCTTTGCACTCTGGAATTGAAGTGCCTTTACTCACGCATATACCACCTAACCTGTACTAAACTAAATCTAGTATATTACATCATACACGCACACATATAAAGTATTTTGCAATCAGATGGGACTACAAGCCCAAGAAAGAAGTTCCTCTGTTTGCTCAAAATTACACAGTTAAGCTTAAATCCTATCGAAACCTCCATCAGCACGGCAGCAAGTGTAGGAAATATACTACCCTCAAAGCAAACTCAGAACCCAGGCTATATTATATATACATCACGGTTGACATTTACACATATTTTAATATATAATGTTAATTAAGCGTGGAACGCGCGTCGTATATTTCAGTGTACGAATCGGAGCTGGCACCCGAAGCATACAAAGAAAACGCCAGGCAGCATCCAAGAGCGACTCCTGTAATCGCCGAGAACCATGTTTTGCATAACCCTTTAAAATCCAGAGGTGAAATGGATCGTCAAAAGCCGCTCAGCGGCTGTACGGAGTCAAAGAGAACAACTCATCATCATCATCATCTTGCAGCGTCCACAAGTTCTCTTGCTTCAAACAAGACAATGACCGGAATGCAGCTGAGAAACTCGCACCAGCATATACGAAAGCATCATCAGACACAGGCCTTTGTATTTCCTCTAAAATGCAAGGCCTCACGGTTTCGAAACACTTAGATACTCAAACCCCATCACTGACCCCAGCACCATCTCGTAAATCTCCCTTGTCGGTGACTACGACGAATCCGCTGACTCCTCCCGCCAAGACGGCCTCCAAACTTTCTCCGGTTGCGTCAAAGGCTCCACGCTTTTCATCAGCCCCATCGACTCCGCGCAAATCATCACCATCCGCGTCTTCTACGCTGAATATGAAGAATGCCACGGCCGGCCCCGGCGACCAAACATGGGACAAGGGTGTATCGGTGAGAGAGTATTTCAAGAATAAGTTGGAGCCAGGGGAAGATGAGAAAGCTCTGTCTCAAGTGATATCGGACGCAATGAGTCCTAGGAGAACTCCCGGTGATGTGGGCGTCATGGAGAAGGTGAGAGAAGCTGTTACCTCATTGCTCATATGCTCCGAAATGAGGAACCACCGCAATATTCTGTCAGAAGTCCAACCTTACGTGCCTCGTCTCAAAATCATGTACTATCTAGCAACGTTCAGCAAGGTAATATTATGATGATCTATTCCGCAGTTTCATGCCTAATATCATATTGCTACTACAGGATTGCATTTATGAGTTTTTTTCTTTTCGTTGGCAGTTGCTGAGGAAGAGAACCATGGCAGAATCCTCCAGACAAATTGAAAATCTCGACAGGGATATGTCTCTGACTCTTGCTCATTTGTATATAGCATATTCAACTATTTTCTCTCTCTGTTTTTTCCCCGGCATATGTCTGTGTATGTACCCCCAATAATTACCATCGAAAATCATTTCCATCAATTTGTAAACTAAGGTTTTCTTAATAAACGTGTGTGCCCATGCCCTGATGACTTTGAAGGGTTCCTTGTATGAAATTCTGTGTCTTTATGCTTCTGATGAGTGTTCTTCAATTACGGACATCAAAATTAAAGGCTTGTCAAGGAAAAACTCAGTTGAGTGGGCAAACGAAGCTTGCTTTGATTCTTAATAATTGCCTTAAGCAAGTAAACATCAGTCATTGATGACAAATTTTCAAGAAGCAAGAGTTTAAGGTTGTAGTTCGACTTCTCTCATCATATTCAACAACTTATTTATGGAATGTTAAAGAAAAATGGTACTATAGAAACTGATTTGCAAATGATATGCTTCGTTTGGAGTGAAACCACTCTATCCCCCACCAATTTATCCCGCGTCAACTTGTCAAGGGCGCAATGAGGATTTAGTCAAAGAGGAGCATAATTAGAAAACACGTATAATTTAAAGTATGTATAAATTCTCAGATGATCAGTAATGCAAAACATCAAAATAGCATTTTAAAAAAATTGAAAACTCGAAGGGCTACTGTTTCCGATAGTCACTCTCCCTCCATTAGCGGAGGCTCTCCTTCACATTTTTTATTAACAGCTGACGCTATATTTGCAGTCTTGCATTAGAAGAATATTGCATATTTTATGGTATTTGTAATCCCTTGTAGAGGATCATCACCGTCTACACGGGGGCAGTGGATAAACCATTTTTTGATTTCCTGTGTTATCCTAGTTTCCCCCACTACACAAGTTGTCCGTATCACGTTGACTGGGTCCAAATTGTCTCGTATTATTCTGACAAAAAAAATCATATTAAATATCTTAATAGTGATGGCCTCTAATCAATGATAAATTTTTGTGGCTTAAATTTGCTGACTTCATGAAAAAAGGCATCATCTTTGGGTAGCAAAAAATGGGGATTATCATGCATTTTATCGGTCATCCCTCGACAATAGAAGACACCGGATTAACTTCACTCCAGCACACTGGCGGCGGAAATCACCATCACCTTCAAAAGTCCTATCTCCGCCACAGCCTTTACTCGCGGCTGCTGCATACTGTAACACTTTCCTCTGTGTTTACCTGCATCTGCCGCTTTCACTAAGAAGCACATGTATCTTCACTGATCCATTGATTCCTGTCCCGGCGAACCTGCACTAGACTATACCCAGATTGCCATGACGGATTCAAAAGCCTCTGCCCCTTCATGATTCAGTTCATCACCAAGTTCCTCTATACACGTTTGATTTTTATGATGTCTTCGTCAATACTGGTCAGTGACTGTAAAAGCAAATCAAGTTTGGCTAACAAAATTCAAGATGTAATTCTTATTAGTTATTCTCCTTCCGCCTCCCAGAAAGAAAAAAAAACAGAGAAAAAAATTTCTCTCTCTTCTCGTTGGCCTCAGCTATTTGTTTGCGAAAAAAAGAGAGATAATCTTGGAGGAAAACATGGACCTTAGCAACTCATTAACGGATGATGAAACATTCAACTGTATAAGTGCGAGCAGGGCATGTCATTCTCAGTAACATTAAGAAGCAGAACGCTTGGTGTTGGATAATTGCGCACTGGATAAACCCCATCTACGTGGCTCCCTCTTATTCGCCAGATTTCTATTGCCTCTTCCTTCAAGATAATTCACATAACCCCGCCAACAAAATTTAGCTCACAAAAAGGCCGAGCCATGTCGTGCGCGATCGACATGAGAGATATTACCCCAACTGAGCGCGAGGGTCGTCTGGGAATTCTCTCTATCAGCCCATGGCTCCCACCCTCACTTCCAATTCCTCTCTCTTCACCACCACGCCCCATTCGAGACCGAACCCCAGGAATCCAAGGCTCAGAGTCATTGCCAAGAAGTCCGGATCCTTCCCTCCCCTTCGGCTGGGCAAACCCCGAGACGATCCTTCTTCTGAAGGAGGAGCACAGCCCGAGACCCCCGCCAATTCCAACCCTTTTCGTTTTAGCTTTGGCAAGTTACCTGATGTGACATCTTTGATCCCACTTCCCAGTAACCCCACTTCGCCGGGTTTGTCATTCGGCAACCCCAAGCGCAAGGACCCTGCTACAGTGTTTGTTGCCGGCGCGACAGGGCAGGCCGGTATTCGCATTTCACAGACACTGCTTAGGCAAGGTTTCAATGTCAGAGCCGGTGTCCCCGAACTTGGTTCTGCTCAAGAATTGGCTCGTCTTGCTGCTGAATATAAGGTCAGCTTCATCCAATCCCACCTCAGCACATAGTTTTAAATTTCTAATTCCTGTAATCTGATTAAATCAACTCAAGCTCACAATTGTCGCTCGCAAACTCATCCTGCATTAGACTATTTTCTTCCTTTCTTATGCTTGTGAATGACGTATAACCATTGGAAATTTCCCCCTTTTTGATGTGCGTGTTAATTCATTGGGCAAGCAGAATGAAATCATGGCTGTTATATAACATCGAAGCTAATTGACATTTGAATAAAAACCTTAATATGCGAAGATGTACTGAGTTATGTGTCAGTTCCTACTGTGTCATCATCGCAGATCATATCAAGGAAGAATCAAAGCGCCTCAATGCAGTACAATCGAGCTTCGAAGATGCCGAATCAATAGCCAAAGCAATAGGCAATGCTAGCAGGTAGTTGTCACAATTGGTCCCGCAGAGAATGGTCCAACTTCGGAGGTCTCCACATCGGACGCCGTACAAGTAGTCCAAGCCGCCCAACTGGCCGGCGTCAGCCACGTGGCTATTATCTACGACGGGAACACTTCCGGCGCCTCAACTTACAATGTACTGGATGGCATCTCGTCATTCTTCAACAACCTGTTTCTCACGGTCTCAGCCCTTGAGCATACCAGAGTTCTTGCAGAAAGTGATTGAGACAGACGTCAGCTATACCTTTATCAAGACAAGTTTAACCGATGATTTTGCGCCGGAGAGTTCCTATAATGTGGTCGTCTCAGGTGAAGGAAGCGCCGGAGAAAACGACTATAAAGTAATGTAATGTATGAGATAATGTCTAATATATATGTTGTCTCCCTTTTTAGGTTGTCTTCTTTCTTTTCTTTTTCTCGCTTAATATCCATGTTTCCATCTTTGTAGCTAAAACTTGGTAGAAAATGATGATGATCAGGTTGCCAAGTCCAAGATAGCATCGCTAGTGGCGGATGTTTTCTCAAACACAGAAATAGCAGAAAACAAGGTACCGATTGTTGCACATGGACATTTGCGCATCATTACCAGAGATAAGAGAAACGGAATAGATCCAAGCTGGATGTGACTAATTTACTTTTTGGCAAATTTTGTTTGCCTTTTACAAATAGGTTGTGGAAGTGTGCACGGATCCAGAAGCCCCATTGAAGCGCGTAGATGAACTCTTCAGGTAAGCGCCGTATCATGTTTGTTGCCTGCCAGTGATGACTATAAATCATTTATGAGTCAACTGAGGTCAAATTTAAAACCCAAACTCGGCAATGATCTATCAATGTTTGCTTGTCTTTGAATAAATGACATGAAGAAACTTCTCGATTTAATTTGCTTTGTCCTGGAACGATGCAATCATGTAATGCTTAATTATCTTCTCTCATTGGAGAACTACGAGCAAATATCTGAAAGTGGCACTCTGGTCCTTCATTTAATTACATAGAATATAAGTAGAAGAATCTATACGGCTGCAAAACACTAAGCGGATATGCAAGACTGAATTGTGAGTTTGTTTACAGGACAATCCCCGTGGATGGAAGAAGGGAAGCCTATGCAGAAGCAGTTAAAAAGGCCAAAGCAGAGGAAGAGGCAATAGTGGCTGCTGAAAGAGCCCGCGAAGCCGCAGAAGCAACAAAGAAGCTGGAAGAAGAAGTGGAGAAGTTGTCCAAGGAAGAAGCGAGGGCTGCTGGTCTAGCTTCAGAAGCCCAACAGAAGGCCGAGGCTGCCGGGGCCTCTGTAGATGCCCTCTTGACCAAGGCAAGAGATTTTGGTGCGGGCATTTCATGGCAGAAGTTGAGCTTACAGTTGGCCACCTCGATGCAGAACCAAAAGTCCGAAGAGGATGAAAAACCAAAAGTACAGCTTGCCACTGTGAGGGGACAGGCCAAGGCTCGAAGTCTCCCGCCTAACAAGGCAGTGGTTAAGCAACCAAGCGGCCCTACCGCTAAACGAAAGGAGGATAAGTCAAAGAAAACAGAGAAACGGCGGAGGTCAGGAGCGTATTTGGTGGCCTGTTCAAGCAGGAGACTATCTATGTTGATGATGACTAGTGATCATAACTTGATTGGGGTAGTTCTCTGTTTTTGAGGCTATGTCATTGCAGGTTATTTGCTTTGAACTTGTGTCTCTGTAAAGTTGTATGACTCTGAGCCAGATATATTGCGCACTTCTGCTAGTTCCAGATTTCTAATGAGATTATGGCCAAGGCAAAAATAATCAATACAGCTATTTTCCGTCTTCTAGGACTTCAGCCGATGTCTGCACGTCTGGCTATTATTTGCACTGACAAAATAAATCGACCCAGGCCACGGGCCTTCCTTCTCTCTACAACTACTTCTCAATCCTGCTTTTTTTTTTTTTGGGCCAAACTCAATCCTGCTTATTTTAAAAAAGACAAGAGGAGAAAACCCTTTGCATCTTATAAACGACCAGTCGCTCTAAGCTACTTCTAGGTTAGTGGATCACTTATTCTGTGGCAGATGGGTTTTTTAAAATGCTAAATAAATTGTTTCTGGGTGGATGAGAAATTTTTAATTCCACCCCCCCCCCCAAATTTTTTTTTTTGTGGTTTTGTGGGTTTGCGGGTGGGTCGGAGCAAAAGACCTCGCGGAGAGCACATCCTCGGAAAATTTTAGACATTTTTCTTCAAGATAACAGTGGGCATCACTTCGATTTATTCAACTATAGATTTCTAACCTTTAAAAAAGTGAGATAAAGATAATAAAAGAATACAACCAAAAAAGAGAATAAAAACAAGAATAACACTAACGTGAAAGAGAGGGGGAAATTATATTTAATTTAAATTTTATTCAAAATTAATTAATGGCATACAGAGTGTCATTAGGTCTTCAATACATTTCTTTCTTTAGGTTAAATCAATAGCATGTGGAACCTTCATGATTAGTAATCAATATATCTATTAATTCTCTTCCACTCAAGCTGATGCTTTTAGACGGCTCAATCATGGCTCCACACTCAAAACACTGTTCACAGAGATTCATGCTCAATACTAAAAAAAAAAAAGGCTTTGGGCTCCGTGTCAGCTGCACAGTTCATTAATTATTCATATGGCTTGGTGCCGGCTATCAAACTAGAAGTTAAGGAGCCCCCGAAAGTACAGCTTGCCACTGTGAGGGGACAGGCCAAAGGCTCGAAGTCTCCCGCCTAACAAGGCAGTGGTTAAGCAACCAAGCGGCCCTACCGCTAAACGAAAGGAGGATAAGTCAAAGAAAACAGAGAAAACGGCGGAGGTCAGGAGCGTATTTGGTGGCCTGTTCAAGCAGGAGACCATCTATGTTGATGATGACTAGTGATCATAACTTGATTGGGGGTAGTTCTCTGGTTTTTAAGGCTATGTCATTGCAGGTTATTTGCTTTGAACTTGTGTCTCTGTAAAGTTGTATGACTCTGAGCCAGATATATTGCGGACTTCTGCTAGTTCCAGATTTCTAATGAGATTATGGCCAAGGCAAAAATAATCAATACAGCTATTTTCCTCGTCTTCTAGGACTTCAGCCGATGTCTGCACGTCTGGCTATTATTTGCACTGACAAAATAATCGACCCAGGCCACGGGCCTTCCTTGCTCTCAACAACCACTTCTCATCCTGCTTTTTTTTTTTTGGGCCAAACTCAATCTTGCTTGTTTAAAAAAAAGACGAGGAGAAACCCTTTGCATCTTACAAACGACCAGTCACTCTAAGCTACTACTTCTAGGTTAGTGGATCACTTTTCTTGTGGCTATGGTTTTTTTTAATGCCAAATAAATTGTTTCTGGATGGATGAGAAATTTTGAATTCCAACCCCCCCCCCAATATTTTTTTTTTTTTGGTTTTGTGGGTGTTTGCGGGTGGGTCGGAGCAAACGACCTCGCAGAGAGCACATCCTCGGAAATTTTAGACATTTTTCTTCAAGAATAACAGTGGGGCATCACTTCGATTTATTCAACTATAGATTTCTAACCTTTAGAGTGGGAAGTGAGATAAAGATAATAAAAGAATACAACCAAAAAAGAGATAAAAACAAGAATAACACACTAACGTGAAAGAGAGGGGAAAAATATATTTATAATTTAAATTTATTCAAAATTTAATTAATGGCATACAGAGTGTCATTAGGTCTTCAATACATTCTTTTCTTTAGTTAAATCAATAGCATGTGGAACCTTCATGATTAGTAATTGATGTAGTATATAAAATGAATTGACTTGAAAATATTATTTTTTTTATGCATAACTGCATATATTTTTAAAATTTTTATGTTATTAAATTTTGCACCAATACGAATGATGCTAAACTATACATGTAAACACTAAACAGAGTAAATGCCACAACACTAGTATTGTTTGTAGTTTATAAACAGAACAATTTTTTAAGAGTTTTTATATATTTTATATGGACTCGATCGTGTATTTGGCAATTGATATGGAAAGTAAAAATAAAAATTGAGTGCAGAGAGGGAAATCATTTCTATATCTTTTGCAAATTTTATGTAAAAATAAAAATTTATGATGGCCATTTTCAAACAAAATTTTGAATATAAAATACTCTTTCATTCCTTAATATAAGACTCTATTTAATTAATTTGATTAGATTAAGAAAATTAAAATAAGTTAGTTAACTATCATAAATATGATATGTTTTTTTCTAAAATACCTTAATCATCTTCATTATATATTCCTTCCCTCTTATTCTTGACTATAGTTGAGGAAGTATTAATAGGGTGATTTGAACAAAAATTATAAATATAAAAATAAATTTTATATTTAGGATCAAAATCAAATTTATAATTAAATCATATATTAAAGACCGAAAGAGTAATAATTTTATTAGTGCAATTTATTGTTCCGACTGTAGTATATCTTAAATTTAAAATATTTATAAAATTACACGTTGATCTTTGCTTGACAATTCACCGGATCTGCTTCCCGCGAGCCCAACCCGGATTCGGGATTCCTCAAACCGAGAGACAAGGTAGCGCAGCGCGCAAGTCCGAACTGCCCAAGGTCCTGTTGCCATTGCTGGGGCATGCGAGCAGGATGCACCAGGCTGCTTCTTCTGCCTTCCCAACAGCTGGGAATGCTATTCTTCATTCACAGTCCCGCCGAACCGGTCTTAGAATAGCACACACGATTCGTGCAAGAGCTATCAGAAGCCAATTGCAGAGTCAGAGAAAAGAGGATAAATGGTCCCTTCGCGGAATGACAGCCCTCGTCACCGGCGGAACTCGTGGAATCGGGTATCAGCATTTTAACTCCAGTTCTCTTGCTTCCCTCTATTTCTTAACTGTTTGAGCTGCTTATACTATCATGTAATTTGGAATAAGCAAAGCCGCGCGATTGTGGAGGAATTGGTTGGATTGGGGGCTCGAGTGCATACCTGTGCTCGAAATGATACTGAACTCAGTAAATGCCTCAACGATTGGAATGCTTCGGGTTTTGAAATCACTGGGTCCATCTGTGACGTGTCCGTTCCACAGCAAAGAGAGGTGATGATGGAGAACGTCTCGTCTATCTTCGACGGGAAGCTCCAAATCCTTGTAAGTCCCTCTCCTCTCCCATGGCTGGTGTTCATAACTGTTGCGTGCATTTTATTTTCTGCTATTGCGGGTCAAAGCGTGCACTTTTCGTAGCAATCGGAGTGATCATACGTCGCGATGGTCACAAACTTACAATAATAATCACCGTTAGAATGATATACTTTGTGCTATTTAGCGGTTTGCACTGTTATTGACTGGCATCTGCATGCGAATTATTAGGGCAGACGAGTCTACAAGTGTATCTGATTTTGAGTTAAATTTTTAGTTGATACTTTGCAGACGAACTTCAATTTCTTTTTGCTAATACTTCAAACACGATCATTTTAATGTGTAGATAAATAATGTGGGGACAAACATTCGGAAACCAATGACAGAGTTCACGAGTACAGAGTTTTCCACTCTCATCGACACTAACTTAGCATCCGCCTTTCATTTATGCCAACTTGCTTATCCGCTTTTGAAAGCATCAGAAGTGGGAAGCGTTGTGTTTGTCTCCTCTGTCTCTGGTTTTGTCTCACTGAAGTCGATGTCTGTTCAAGGAGCTACCAAAGGTAGTTTTCCTATTTTTGCCCGCTAACAGAGCTGGAAGTATTAATCAGATTCTGAAATTTTTATTTGTTTTGAGATTGACAGGGGCAATTAACCAACTAACCAAAAATCTTGCCTGTGAGTGGGCAAAAGACAATATACGGTGTAATGCAGTGGCTCCCTGGTACATAAGAACTTCAATGGTGGAGCAAGTAATAATCTTTTTCCTTGTCATGTGACAATTAGTTTGATTTAGATCCTGATGAAACTGGTTCAGCAATGCTACTACAGTAATATTCATTCTTTTTCCTCTTTCGGCGTATGTTTTGATGTTTCTTTCGGAGTAGGTGGGGTGTTGATAGTGGAGAAACTGGTTTGGGATATGCATCAAGCTTGTAACGGTGGGAAATTGGAAGTGAAAGTCAAATTTTGACCGCAAGAAAATGCCTTTGTTCTGAGTCTTTGACATATCGGTTGATAGATGAATTCAATCTCTTTCCTCAGTGTGGCACATTGGTTTCTGCTAAAAGCATCTTAAGTTGCAAATTTGAAAGTTATCGCCTAGACAGTTGATAAACACCCAATTCGTCTTGAACCTAACTTTCAGAGATTCTATAAAGTAACTTTTGTGCAAGCATATCTTGCAAATCTGATTGACAAATGCATCCGTCTTTCTGGGATTTGAAATTCTCTGTGTCTGATTGCAATTATAGACCAATCAAATCTGTATGGCAGAAAAGAAACAGGAACGATTCTAGTTTCTTTTTAAGTAACATAGCAAGAGATTTTAAGTAAGTGAAAGTTCCAATCCCATAATTGGATCCTCTAGGATTCATGCTCAATTTTGTATAAAGATTTGACTTGTTATCTGGAGCCTAAACCATCCTTAGGCAGGGGTATATTACTCTCTCACAGATTATAATGATGTTTGCTTGGAATAAAAATTGCTGCTTTGCGGTGCTTTAGATGTTGCTGCGAATCCCTGAGTTCAGTGCAGTTGTAATATGAAAATCTTGATTTGACCTTTTCCATTTGGTTCAGGTGCTGAGCAACGAAGAGTATCTGGAAGAAGTATACTCTCGAACTCCTCTGAGGCGGCTGGGAGACCCAGCAGAAGTGTCTTCTCTTGTTGCGTTTCTTTGCTTACCGGCGTCATCATATATCACTGGCCAGATTATATGCGTGGATGGAGGAATGACCGTGAATGGTTTTTATCCAGCACACGACTAGGAGTTTCGATATGCATCATACTCCACACGCCAACCATGGATTTTATTAGTTTGAACTTCCAACAACCATCCGTGTAGAATCAATGTTCTGATATCAGCAAAATTTTATTATGGGAAAGGTGAAGGTGTTGATCAACCTTGCAAGGCGGCTTTTTTAATATTGCAATAATTGATTAATTTTTTTCCCCCTTAATGTGCATTGTCGTCATTGCGGGACCATATTTTTCCTTCATCCGGGGACGAATTCGAAGGTAACTAATCATTTTCGTTCTAAGAGTTGTGAGATGAGATCTACCCTTCGTGAAGAATTAAACGTGGGAAACAGTCCGAACTCTGAAGACGCGAATGGAGAGAGAGCGAGCGGGTGAAATCATGCTTAGAAGCTGTGGTTCATTGAGGCGTGAACAAGGCGTGTGCCATGTGGTATTGTGTCGAACATTTTACGAAATTTGCCAGAAGGCGGCAGTTAATTTCCGCGGAAAGAATGAAAGAACCCGAGAGCAGTATGAATAAGGAAAGGGGAGCAGAATTAGTGGAATAATGCGGGCGGCCTGTCTTGATCAGTATCTTGGCCGCAAAGGAAACTAGAGGCCCCTCAGAAGCATACGCGGATAGTCCTCCATAACGACACCGACCCCAGAAGGGTTACATCACCTTTTCGTTCGAGACGGGCGTATACTACTTTGTAGATTAGGCCGTTTCGACGTTCACTTCACATCTTAGTATTCTGTCCCTCTGGTGTCTTGTTTATCACGGGCGCCGCAGAATTTGGCCAAATAATTTGTTTATTAGGAGAATTAAAACGAAGGACCTAAAACAAATAAAATTTATTATAGAAGATCTTAAAAATTGTAATTATTTATGAGGATCAAATACCAAAATATAAATCTGAAAATACCAAAATACCCTAACTTAATTCCCTATATTTTCTCCTACATTCAGAATTTGGAAAAAAAAAAGCTGAAACTAAAATTAAAATTAAAATCACCCATCATTTCCATTATCATATTCCTTTTTGAAAAGAAAAAAAACAATTCTCACGAAGATTCAAATTCATACCATCAATATCATTTACTCTTGCAAGTGTCAGATAACACCATATTAAAAAATTCTTCAATTTCTTATGGTCATGAAAATAATATCTTGTTCTTGTGCATGGCATTTTTTAATCTCATACAATTAATTTGGTATTTTTTTCATTTCATTTATCGGCTCAGTGTATAATTAAATTTTCATGATCGCTGTGATAGAGTTTTGAATATTCATAATACATATGGTGGTGAAACAATTATTTGTGATTTAATTATTATTTAGATTGAGTTGAAACAATTTTGATTTTTAATCTTTAATGTATATTCTTTTTTTTTTAATATTTGAATTTGAAGTTTGATAATAATGGTAATAAATTTATGACTTTTGACTGATTATTTTAAATTAGTCCTAAACTCTTTTGGCTCCTAGGAATATATGTTCATTTTTAGGGGTCGAGTTACAAATTCAAACCCACTCAATTTAAGATATGATGGATATGTGAGTCATAAAAATGGATTCGAATTCATCAAGCATATTACTAGATCTTTTTGAGAATTTGACATTATATCAATATAAAATACTACAAATAATAAATGTTATACTATTAAAAAAAATAAATAATACAACTGATGCTCTATGAAGATTCCATATTTAATCTGGTTTGATAGGCAGAATGCCATGTATTGTAAAAATACGATGTGGTTAAAAATTAATTTTATTTTTTTATTATGAAAACTAATTTCATTTTAGTTTTAGTTTTTTATTTTAATTTTGAAGTGGGAGGGAATGCAGGAGGTTTGATTAGGGTGGTTTAGTATTTTAAATTTCTTATTTTGATGTTTGGTCTTTTTATATAATTACAATTTTTATTGTCTTTCATAATAATAAATATCATTTTTTTAGGTCTTTCATTCTAATTTTCCCTGGTTTATCATAGCAGATGGCGGGTCACCGAGATATTTTCTCACCACGTGGTTCGAAAAAGAAAGAAAGTGCTTAATGAATGCTGGGCCTGGTGGTTGGGAGAAGAGGACGTATGACATGAGGTGGCGAAGCCTAAGTCAACACATCCTTGATATCCACAGTCGGTCGAGGAAAATCGGTGAGAAAATGGACATTAATCAATCTCGGTGGGGATGGGCTAGTTGCGCTTTGTCAATGATAGGCCGAGGGTTTGATCTTCCATGGTTGGTTTAGGCCTCCTTTTCCTCTGGAAAAACAAAAACGATGAACGAGTCAAAAACCCAGAAAAAATGAAGAAGGAAACTAAAACAGGTGATACTGAGATGGAAATAGAGACTCAAATAAAAATAAAAATATGAATAATTTTTATTTATTTCAACAGTCCGTGATCGTGTTCGTGCAAACCCAGATTTTAATTTATTTAGTGTAATATTATATTCAGTCTTAATTATAAAATCTCGTTTGTAATCTGTAATGATCTTATAATTAGGATCAACCTAGTAGTCTGCGGACACCGTATTCACAGTCACAATACAACGAGCGGGGAAGTAAAACGAGGCCAAAGGTCCCATCTCAACAGGGGCACAAGGACTAACGAGCCGTGTGAAAGGCGTAAAAATGAGGAGGACCAGCGATGATTGGGCCCTTCCACATCATCAGCTCATTGTTATTTGATTAAAATATCTAATTATAATTTATTAGAACCAATCAGATGCCAACATGTTGCCCTCATTACAATTAAGGAGGCATCATATCGATGGGGTGAGCCGAGACCCAAGGGAATTGAAAACATACCCTCTTTGATTATTCCGCCCAAACGATGATTAAAGATGTTGTTTTGGTGAGTATTAGCAGGCCGACCCCAGCAGCTTTTCCCGGATGAAATGGCCATCCCGGGCGATATTGCTTACGCAAGTCCCACGTGTCGGCCTGATGCTGGTGTGTCACTCGTCAGAGAATCTTTGACCCAGATTATGATCCCCCGTTTGAATGGTTGTTTTTTTTAAAAAAAATTCGGCTTTAGTTAGGCCCACTGAACGCCTGCTTTAAAGAAAAGTAATGGTCTTCTTTTATTATCCCTAAGATAAGATAAACAGAAGCAACCCGGAAAGATTGGAGGCTGTAAAATTTAATAATTGATCCGAGGGCAGGGGAGAATGTCAGCTTGCTTTCAGATGCTTCCTTCTCTCTCTTTTTTTTCAAAAAAAATTAATTACTTTGTTTATACCATGCCTATCAACGAACTCGGAGGTTGAAATTCTAATTAATCCTGGATGATATGGTCCCAGCAAAACTGGCGGTATTAAATTCTAATTAATTATAAGATATAGCATGTTGGGTTAATGGTATTTAGTAAGAGATGCGTGATGGGCACGACGAAGCTATTGATTTCTTGTCGGGATTTCCTCTGCTGCGAGCGAGCTGTTAGTTAGCGATGGCTTGCGGGGCGGGAGTACCTGAATCCGAGGAAGCCTCCTGATTTCCCTGTCACCATCTCCACCCACTTTTCCATGATTTGACGTGAGGAGCTTTTTCTCCCCGTCGACACGTGACTTACGTACCCAGCTTATGGACGGGGCATAAATTAACCATAAATAATTTCTCCCCCTAACACAGTTTCGTAATGCTATGCTGCATAAGCGTATATGTTAACAATACAATTCAATGTATGGTAGAATGCGCTGTTACTTTATGGTAAAAAAAAAGCGCTGCTGTAACTGGCAGCTAGCAAGCTTATCAATCACTTGTGTGGTTTGGAAGTTACGATGGAACCCATATTAGCCGGAGATGCTCCTGCGTGCTCACAGAGACGACTGCGAGCATTTCTGGGGAAGGAAGTAAATGAATGGAAGAGCAGCTAAAGTGCGTGATGAAAATGCGGCCCATGTATGTAAAACATGGTTGTTCTGGAGTGATTTTAAGTGAAGTGACTGGCACTGGGGGAAGAGCATAGAAAATGAGGATGAAAAATGGGACACACGTGAATGAATATATGCAAGAGCGGGAGGGAAAAAGGCAGAAACCGGGGCGGCGAAATGGGCGGAAAGCGGGAATGGAAACAAAGGAGGGACGTGGCGGAGAGGAGAGGAGTGAGGGTGTCATTGGAAATGACTAATGAGGAAGCCACACCAAATGGCGTTGCATGTTGGTGAGGCAGCAGACATATGTCGAGCCAAGGCATCACCTATGAGGAGGCTCTCATGCAACGACTCCCCCACCTTCCCTCCTATTACCATCAAATCCCTGCCGTCCATCATAAGTTTCAACGTTTCCGCTCGGAGGACAAAGCTCAGGCGTGGTATCAATTGGGAGGGCTCCACGTGGACGGCGTCCGGAAGAAGCGGGATGGAGGGATTGGCGGGGCGATCACTCTCGCAGACTCGCAGTAGGCGCCGAAAAGTAGAGGAGATTCTAATGGGGAAATATGGGGGTGTGATGGGGGGTGAAATGGGAATGTAAAAGAGGGGAGGGATACGTGTCGGGGCATAAAGGAGGGGACAGGTGGGGGGGCCGCGTCCAAATCAAAAAGAGAGCGAGAGGGATACGTAGAGGCTTGTGGTTGGACCACGAAACAGAGAGAGAGAGAGTTTCGAGTAATAAAATTAAAATGTGGGTTGAGAATTGAGAATTCAAATTCAAAGCCCCGGCTCCACTCAGGTGCCGTGACCTCCTCCTTGTGTCGTTGTCACCGTTTCATTGGTCCACGCACTCCCCCTCTCTGCACTTCCCTACACACGTGTTCCCTTCCCCAGCAAGCCCTTCCTTTACGCTCTAAACCCGCCCCCCCTCCTCCTCCTATTACTTCCAACTATTTAAATTCAACATTTCACAACATCATTTTTTTTAAATTTCTTTTAAATGTAATTAATTAGTTCTCGTAATCTAAATTATTTATTTTCATTTAAAAATTCACATACCATCCGTCAAGTTCTCTGAGGAAGAAAAATAAATAAATAACCGCACGCCTCTCTCCCCTCCTGGGACGGAGTGGTGCCCGTCGTTGGGAGTCCTTTTATAAGCCACGCACGATCGCGGGCCTTCTCTTCATTTCATTCTGCTAATTTGTTTGGCGGCCCCCCTTTCTCCTCTTCATTACTATCACTACTCACTCCCGTCATTCCCGTATCAAAGCTCCGTACGAGATGAGCCCAGATTGATTGAGACTTCCCATGTGAATCGACGACTCGCTGAGGAGGTTCCGTTCGGCCCTGACTGACAAAAAATGGCGGAGATATGCTGCGGGGTGGTGAGCGAGAGCGATGCCTCGGGTGCGTGTCAGCCGAGCTCGCGTGAAGCCAGAAGGAGGAGAATGGAGATCAGGCGATTTAAGGTGGTGGAAGGCGAGGAGAAACGCCCCAAACTCCGCCTTGCTCCCCACTCCTTGTCTCGGGACTGTGAGAATGCCGTGGAGAACTGCGCTACTGATATAGAGAAAGCCCTCGCGTTTCTATCCCCCAACCCAGGAAAATCAGAGACCCGTGACAAACAAACTTCGGGTGACTCCTTCGACCCAACGTACTCACCAGTTCCTGCGAGTCCGTATCCTAAATTCGGGGTTGCATCGGTGTGTGGAAGGCGAAGAGATATGGAGGATGCTGTGGCTGTCCATCCCTGGTTTTGCGGGGACCATCAAGCCTCTGGTGAATTTCACTACTTTGGAGTCTACGATGGCCACGGCTGCTCTCATGTAAGAGCCAATAGCCTCACCCTCAATAAATAAAATTAATACTCATTTAATCAATCTGTGTGTGAAAGAGGCAAAGAGATGGAAACTTTTAAAGATGATATTATCAAGTTCTTGGATTTGTAAAATTCATGAGACGTTAAAGTGTTTTGTTTTGTTGCATGATGCATGATTGTTTAGGTAGCGGCTAAATGTAAGGACCGATTGCATGAGTTGGTGAAAGAAGAGCTAGAGAAACAGGAGTGGTCGATGTGTTGGGAGGGTGCGATGGAGCGAAGCTTCTCGCGAATGGACCAGGAGGTCATTGCTTGGAATGCTAATGCCTTGGAAGCCGATTGTAGGTGTGAGCTTCAGTCGCCCGAGTGCGACGCCGTTGGATCTACGGCCGTCATTGCTATCTTGACCGCCGACGAGGTTATCGTTGCCAACTGTGGTGATTCAAGGGCCGTGCTCTGCCGCAACGGCAAACCCATCCCTCTCTCCTCCGATCACAAGGTCAGCTTCCTCACTTGGCTTATCAGATAAAATCAAGCATGTTCTGCGATTATAAAAAAAAATCGTATTCTGTCGATCTAATTAGTTATGATGAACGGTGGGATGCAGCCGGATCGTCCGGACGAGCTGAACCGGATCCATGAAGCTGGAGGACGGGTTATATTCTGGGATGGACCACGCGTTCTGGGAATGCTTGCGATGTCAAGAGCCATAGGTAAAGCTAGTTAAGCATTGAATGAGAATGGCGTAGAGCACGCCGACGAACAAGCGATGATTTGATTTTTGCTGATGTGTTTGGCGTTGATCGGTGAAAACTGGTGGCAGGTGACAATTACTTGAAGCCTTACGTGAGCTGCGTGCCGGAGGTGACGATAACGGATCGGACGGCGGAGGACGACTGTTTGATACTGGCAAGTGACGGGTTATGGGACGTGGTGTCGAATGAGACAGCGTGTGGGGTGGCACGTATGTGTCTGCGCGGAAGGAACCACGCGCCACCGAGCCAAGAGGTGGCGTTGGAATGCGAAATGGAAGGGGCTGCGACGGAGACGTCAGACAAAGCGTGCTCTGAGGCGTCAACGTTGCTGACGAAGCTTGCTTTGGCCAGGCACTCCACTGACAACGTCAGCGTAGTGGTGGTGGATCTCAGGACGAGGGCCTGAAATTAATTATCAATTGAAGGACTACCAAAAGAGAAAACAAGAAGGAAGGCAAAAAAGGAAAATGGACTTTTGGCTAACATGATGCACGCTCTCGGCCCAACAAATTAATAGCATTGTCCATTGAATAATGCAATGGACTGATTCACTTGTCAGCGTATAATGCGATAGCTCCGTACTTACTTCAATCATCATTAAAGATCCAAACCCCCAGCACGTTGAGTCGAAAGGAATTTTAACCCCCTCCCTCAAAACTCTGCTCCCCCCACCCGCCGCCCCCTTCCTGGGGTCTGTTAGATCGGGGTAACTTCTGTCAAGGAACTACGACTGTGTTGTGAGAGATCCTTTCGTCCTAACAATGTCATTCAAGTGTTAATGCAGCTGCGTAATAGTATATAGTAATTCTTATTGAGGCTGAATATCTTTGATTTAATGCTCAAACCCAATGTCCAATCTGATCTGATAAATTAGGAATGTGTTTTTCTTAAAACATGTTTCGTGGTATGTCATTGGTCAGCTACATTCAACAAATTTTGCCTACTCATATTTACATATAAAAGATATTGTAATTAAGTGTTTTGCCTCAATTATTTGTAATGGAAGTTAAGAGGAGGATTCTTAATGGAGAGAGGAGAGAATTCATAATTCCTTAATAATTTATTATTTGATTTAAAAGAAAACGAAAGGGGTTTTGATCTTATTCTAGTCTTAAAACCCCAAGACAAGGGGAGGGTAAGAAGCCTCCAACTTTTTGATCCAAATGAAGGCCTCTCCTCTTCTGAAACTCTCCAACCAAACAGCAGATAAGAAATGAATGCATCAAATAAAATGCCGGAGGCAGTCGTGCATAAGAAATAAAAGTCCAGTGTCAGTGATCATTAGGCGAGTAATACAAGGAAATAATCCGAAATTTGAAAAAACTGTATTAGGTCATTTGTCTGAATAACAGGGCAGAAATGCCCAAAGAGCCATGCGAACTATAGACAAGAACAGTAACAAAACACAAACACGCAAGGTGAAAAGACATTTTCCAATTTGTTCTTCAAAACTGACATCTCCGGACCAAAATTTGTTCTACCATTGCTTCCTTTCCTCGCTATTCTCTTCAATTCTCACATTCTTCAACGCTTTCAACTTTCTGTAACCAACATCAGTTCCAAATATCCTAATATGACCCACAAAACATACCTCGTCAGTATTAGTGGTTGAATTTAAACCTTCAAGGAGTCATTAAAGAGAACTGTAGAGCGTGCACGCATTGGAAAACCCATCAACCCATACAAATCTAACAAGTCAGGACGACATCTAATGAGTATAAGAAAAACGCTGACGCTGTAAGTAGATCACGTTCATGTTTGATACTTACCAGTCCATGTAGGTGAAGGTTGATGAGTAGTTTCCGGACTTGGTATGAGGGCCTGTGATTGCAGGACCAACAATAGTAGCAAAGCCAAGGAAAGTATCTCAGCAGGATGAGCGTATTCAGAATAAGTCCAATGGCGTAGCATACCTTCAAAAATATAGGGAAACGTCTTTAAGGTTTAAGAATAGTCATAAACAGGTCTTAGATCACCACGTAATATGTATTTGAAAAAACCACACAATAACAAAGCTAAACATCACTTACTCATGATGAACACTGTGAACATGCTTGTACAACCATTTTGTGTGCAATACCCGATGTCCCCAGTAGAATACAAAATCCTCCAAAATGAAGTAAAAGGTGATTTGCGTTAAAATTACTTTCCTGCAGAATCATAGTTGGATATAGCTAAGTAAGCAAGAAGCGTGGACATGCTTTAAGTGTATAACCCAAAAAGCCCATTATGAAGCTCATATATCCAAAATAATGGCGTACTCTTAAAGAACCAGAAAGTACCAGGATGGCAGTGGAAAACTACTTGCATGCCCATGTATTGAAAAAGGATATGAAAATATCATAACAGGCAGATTGACTCCACAATGATACAGAAATAAGCGAAGAATACATTTCTCCTGAGCTGCAGGGCTGTTAATTTTTGCCTGCATGGAAGTAAACGTTGAAAACAACGCTACATTTATACCCACCAAAAAACCTAGCACACTAGAAGCTTCCAAAGAAGAAAAGGGGCTGCAAGATGGAGGATCCGTTAGCAGCAGGAATTTTAATTACACAACGTCACAAGATGAGTATAAATTTTATACACCAGTAGGCATTGCTAATCCTAGCTACGACACACAAGCAGATAAGGTTGAAATTGAAACATCTTAAAGATTGCAAAGAACTTGCGATAATGTGGATTTTCTGAAGTCCTAAAAGAATTAGCTTCTAGTACCATGAAAAGGGAAGAAGCACATTATTGATATAAAGAAAAAGGAGTCATCAAGCAAACTGCATTTACATACGAATGACTTAAGGAAAAAGATGAATAGTTGAGTTGTGAATGATGTTATTCCAATTCACATTGTTCAAAATGCTTTGAGGGTAGAATGACAGCATAAAGTTGCTCGCCTATAGCCTGGACAACAGAAGAAAATCTTACAGCTTCAAGATAACTATAGTGCTCAATAAAGGTAAACCTGAATCTTGTACTTGCTGAGCCATCCTGCCCTCTCAAGCCATATGAAGGGAAGACCAGATAAGAAGAAAACACTTTCATGGAGAAAGAAACTGCCCAGACACGCCAGTTGAAAGTCGGTGAAGTGTGAGATCAAAAACTGCATCACGGCAGACAGAGAACATTTTGTAAAATATTAGTTTCCAAACATCATAAGTTCAGACTGAGATCTTCCACTCTACAACAAATCACATCTGAAAAGATAAGATAAAATTCCTGAACTAAAGTCCAATTTATGTATTCACCCTGGCGTTCTTCAACTAACAACAGGATCGTTTTAATCGTATTTCCATACAAAAATTGCAGGGATCCCCAGAAATAAGTGAATTCGAAATAAAGAATGCCTTCAAATTCTATGACCCAACAAACAATAATTTTCAGGTTTACTTCGAGATCTTTTTATTTTCATTGTTCTTTCATGTCTTCTTTGGTTAATTCGTTTTTGAATAATTGAAATATGCGTTGTAAATGAAACCGGGAACCAATTCTCCAAGACTCTAACAGAATTGAAGCGCTAATGCACTTGACCACTTCAAGAGGGGAGTAAAAAGACACAAGTTCAGTTCCAAATTTCTTCGTGACGGAGATCTCAAACCATGAGGTTACTAGCAAGAGTAAGCCAACTTCCACTGGAAGCATGATCCAGCTCGTTGTAAGCCAGTCGTAGTCTCGTCAGGACACCCATAACAATGAGTCAAGTAGAAAGTACCGTTTTATTGCTGCTCTCGTCCAAGTATCGTTATTCTTTATAAAATGCAACAACCAAAAAGGGACAATGTGCGTTGATTCCTATCCGTGAAATCCGATACATTTACAGTTGGACCCGCGAATCTTGTATGTTAAATAGTAGTAAGTTAGGAGTACTACATCTTGACATCCAATCCTCGTTCAGGTAATACGAAATTTAAAAACAAAATAAAGATTCTAATAATCATAGCAGAACGAAGTTGAAAACAAGAACCGGAGTTCATGATTCGACCGCGATCATGAAATCCTTTGTTGAAGACGCATATAATAAGTGCAGTGAGCTCCAATGAATGACAATGAGTGACAAAGAGTATTTCCAAATCCAATGCGGGATAAAAGAAACCAAATCTGGGGCGAAAATAATGGGCAAGAAAGGGGCAAGAAAAAGCAAAGTATTAGGAGCGGTGAATGGCGGAGGAGAATGGACCTTCCACGCAGATTCGATTAGGGACGCCATAGCTGCTAGAGGAACGAGGTCGATAAACGCCACAGAGTGAACTGGAGGGAGCAGAGCGAGATTTCTGAAGCACCGTGTTGCCACTTGCCTGAGAGCAAAGGGAATCTGGGCTTTCTACTTTTTGGGCCTCTCTCTCTCTCTCTCTCTCTCTCCACCCTCACTACACACACAAAGTAAAAAACTAGAACTGACTGGGGGGCAGAAAATGTCCACGTCACTCCTCTTCCAAATCTGCCGATTTTTGCAGACATCACTGTCTTGCATGGCTGGGCTCGGCTCGGCTTCGCTTCACATGCAAGCACTAACCATAAACAAAAACGCCCTCTCTTTACCCTGTGATTTTTTTTGGTAGCATAATTACTACTAGTAGTATTATTTTTTGTCATGTGATAACAAAATCTCAACTTTTGCCAATTGCCTGCTTAGGCCTCTCAGTTTGTCCTCTTTGGCTGCTATTATAGATGCACAAGCGTATCATTATTTGACAAATTCATAATCCATGCACTTGATTCTTTATTTAATAAATTTTTATATATTTCGGAGTTAATTAGTTTAACTTGTAAAATTTCTCCCCATTATTAATCTGCATTTAAGATCATTCTAACTAGGAAAGAAATTACAGATGGGGAATTAACCCGAAAGGTAAAAATTTTCTTGGTACATGCATGATGCACAAGCATGTCTTAGAAACGGATGCTCTCATTTTCGGATGACTCAGGCACCCAAAGAGGCGAAAGCATGAAAAAGAATTGCCACAGGTTAGTGATTGACGAATACTGATTAAACACATATTTTGCATTCTGAAGCAGCGAAACTGGTTTGGTGATTTTGAAGTCACATGTCAATAGTGAAGGTTGTAACTGTTTTAACAACAGGCAAAACCGTTGGATGTGTGCAGATCACCTCCCAAAGCGGTTGGTAAGTTATCTCCACCCCCAGCGCACACCAGTGAAGGTGGGGACTGAAGTATTGCAGATAACGGAAGGTGCAACGGTGGAGGCGGCGCAGAGGGGTAGAGAGACCATATCTAATAACAAGAGCAATCCAAATAACAAGTCCGAAGATATTACCTGTGATGCTAAATATAAGAACTAATAGACTAATTTGAATAGATTAAAAAAATAGGTTTAACTCGTTATTTATAATAAGTAAATTTTGTTTTTCTTAAAATATCTTTACTAATCAAGTTTATTAACTAGAACTATAATTATTATGAAGTATTTTTAATAGCCCTGTCTTTTTTTTTTTATTATTGTACAAACCGACTCATCGGGTGCTTAATGTCATGTTCCCCTAATCAAAATGACAAAGAATCACGGAGCACACTGAAGGAATTCTGTAATTAACATCTATATTATGTGACCAACTACATGAAAAAAAACACATTCGAAGTTGATCATTGAGAAGTAATGTAATTTTCAGGGGACTAGTCAGTCGAAAATGAAGATCAGCACCATCGTGCCGAACCTTGCAGGAGCATTCACAATTTCACCTCTCGAGCATCGATAGAAAATCTTTCAACACAGCGCATGTGATGATAGAAACTGGGAAGACAAAAAAAATTCACATCATCGTGTTTGATCAAGATTGGGATCCCAGCATCACTTCTTCCTCAAGGAATCAATTACTAAAAGTAACTGAACTGTAGCAGCAAGTGCCAAAAAAATACTTAGAACCACTCTCATGCCAGTGATTAACCAGGCATAAAATGTGAACGTTATCTTCCAAAATAATTGAAAAAAAAAAAAAAATCTCAACAGGATGTAGAAAATGCATCACTTCGGCTGCAAAATTAGACAGAGATTCACAATATTGTTTCAAAACAGAGGCGATAACACAATTTAGTTTGTCCTCGGGGTGGCCCATTCAACTCTAAGGATGAGATTGTCGTACCCATATCCATTAAGCTTGTTAATAGCTCTCTGTGCATCTTCCCTGTTTACAAAGTTGACAAAGCCAAATCCCCTGCTCATGCCCGTCTTTTGATCGATAGCAACATAGACTCTGCTTACAGCACCAAAAGGACGGAACAGCTCAAGTAAATCGGGCTCTCTTGTGTCTTCTGAGAGATTGGTGACACGTACAGAATTCTCATCATTCCTACGGCGCATTTCTGACCCAGTTCTTTCCGCACCTGCTCTCAGGCCAGGCGGAACATATGCTCCCTTGGCTGGACCAGAAGCAGCAGTTGCAGCTTCAGAAGCTGCAGGCTTATCAACATATCCCTCAACTGGTGGAGCGAGATCTTTGTATGGACACCTTGAAGTCCAGTGGTCACCCTTCTTCCCACAAGTCCTACAGACCATGAGAACAGCACCTTTCTGGAATTGTGCCAACGGGTCTCCAGCAACCTTTGGTTCTTCAGGTTTGCTACCTGTTGACAATGGCATAGTTATGGATACAGCAGAATAACTGCTCTACAAAAGCAGGTCCATAATGAGTAAAAATAAAGACAGCGAAAGAAATTTAGACACCGGAACATACATAAACAAAATAAAAAAAAAAAAAAAAGGAACACCATCATAGCTTGACAGTCTTACTAATAAAAAGAATTACAAAGTCAAAGTAATAATAAATTAGCAATCCTCACTAGCAAAGCCATATGAATGCACTCCAGAAGCATAACTTCAAGGGCTTCGCATTTGAATTTATTTGCCTACAGATTCCCTAGATACCCAGGTTCTCACACTAACAGTGAAACAATTCAAACACAGAGTGAGTGGTCTCCACGGAAATCCCACGAAGCAGGCTAACAATAACAGCTAAACCGTATGGTATACAAATAAATGAGTTTTGTCGTAATGCCTTCCCCTTAAATAAGGACGCGATCACACACTTAAAATAAAGCACAGATTTTACCTTTGACCACCTAATCCAATGTGCAAACTTAAGACTAAAATTGTTGCGAAATAACAATGTGGAAATTAGCAATTGTTATCCTCTTGATCTTTAACTTTTTAACTAAGGGGAGGAAGCTGATTAAGAGAAAGCAGCTCATAAATAACTTCATAAATACCAATGTTTAACAAACTAAAGCACAACGAGGTAGAAACAAACCGGGGGCCCTAGGTCGTTCGAGGAGGATCTCTTCGGTGGATACCATGGTGAGCCTGCTACCAACATCCTCGTGAACAGCATCGCCAAACTTAGCCCAGGATCGCCTCTCGACAGCTCGCTTACTGAGGCGAGCATTAGCAAGCTTTCGAGTCCGGGTGGTGGTCGTAATCTTGACCTTATTGCCATCTTCATTGAATCTGTACTCAATGACCTTCTTTATCCCGTTATCGTCAGGACCTATGACCTGTCGCGGCGGCAGCAGAAAGTCAAGATCCTCCCCATCGTCCTCATCAAGCTCACCCCATCGCAGCTTCGCCGGTTGAGAAGGGTTGTGGACCACTGGAACGGCCCCTGCCGTTTTGGATAACGCCATTCTTCCTTCCCTGACTTTCTCTGCGAGTGGAGGGAGGTCTAGCGTATCGCTGTTGCAATAACGCAATTCGCGAGCAGTCTAGGGCTTCAGTCTGAGAATTGTCTTCTCGTTTTGCCCCCACGTTGAAGCAATACATATAATTTTTTTTGTTTTTAGTGATGCGGGCGCAACGACATAGTTGGGCTCCTCAAAATTCTGGGCCTTTCGTGCTTTCAAATCCTTTTCATAGTTATGGGCTCAAGGAGGCCCAAATTATTAAATATTCTAATTAATGAAGTATTTGGGTGAAAACTAAACCATGATTTTAGAAGTAATTTTACGGTATGCAAAGTAAATATGTAATAAAATTATCTCAATTTGTATGAAATATTTTCTAAAAATGCTTATAGGAGTTACCAAACACTCCCTGAATTACAATCCCATTGAATTCTTTCTGATGAACAAATGTGTGGTAAAAAAGCTTGGAATAACAATTTGAATACATGACGCTATGGCTGACTGAATATGCATGCTTATTAAGCTTTAACCTAATAGCTTTGAATCAATTTACGTTGAATCTATTGAAGGAAAACTCAAAAACAGGAATACCATGAGGAAATATAATCTAGGGTGAAATAATTTTGCCCCTGGCGAAAAGCCATAGTTCAACTTCTGGTCAAACATATTGTACAACCGAGTGTATTTACATGTCGGTCTCTTCTCCCAGTAGAAATACAATGAGAAACAATTATCTCTACAATGAACCTTTTTCCAGCAGACATGTCTCTGCAAAGCAGTTATGATACCTATATGGTTCATTATCTTGAAGCGGCCACCAGCACAAACCTCGACCACTATATGTTGCTCTTGACAGCACTCAGAAATATGCCCATCATTTACCAAGATGCAGCTCTCATGGGCATCAGGGAAGCTACTGCTCTAGATAACAAATTGTAGCTCAAAGTGCTCAACAACTTGCTTTTTCCAAAGGAAGCTCATTTATAGAAAGAATTAGATCAACTTCCTTTCATCGATGATTGCTCAGGGCATATTAAAAACTCGATGCCGCGTAGGAATAAACATCTAATCACCTTTTTTACCCCACATACATGTTGTGAATCGATTAGATGTATGTCGCCAGAATTGTCTTATTCCATCCAAGCTCAAAATCATCCCAAAATTAATCATACGTTCTAATAGCAACCTGTAGTATCTCGTTCTTTTTGCTAATTATTGATACTGATCTTGTCTCTCTACCAGAGACTGAATGAATTCATGACATCTGGCCAACAAGATTCAAGAATTAAATTTAACAAATTTAGTTCTTCGTAGGTGCTAATATAATAGAAAATTTGACAAAAAAATTACTTCTTTAATAAGAACATTATTTATCAACATAAATCACTTCATTTCTACAGAAGAACATATCAAATTGGAAATATCATCGAACTTACACTGATGGATAGCTAAGGGGGCCATCCCCATCCATCATCACTGCGTCAAAAGAATCCAAATATTTTATCTGCGGGTTTAAAGATTTGGAAAGAGCATATTAAGTTTTCATCAACAATCATCATAGCACCGGCATTATCAAATTCGCCACAATAATTGGGTGCAGAGAATATGGTGACAAGCTGTCTGTCAGCAAAAAATTCATATCCATCCTCAACAACCTAGACAAAGAAGAAAAGTAACAGATTAGTAAGCTATTAGGGTCACAGAATGGGGACTAAATGAAATCAAACCAACCTGATGAGCACGGCAGATGAGATCCATGTCATTCTTCATTAAGAATTCAGACACCTTGTCTGCACCAAAGGTGTGGGAGACTCCGCGTTCATTCATTGCCCAGCCTTTTATAGTTTTTCCAGGGTCCGCCCAAAGCAAATCACAGAGCAATCCAGATTCTGGAATCTCAGTAGGCCGAGGTAGGCTTTGACTTTGATCTAAACTTGCCAGCTCAGGAGATATACCCCCATGCATGCAGAAAATTTTCTCATCTATGACCGCAGCAACAGGAAGACAGTTAAAGCAATCAATGAAAGTTTTCCATAGTTTCACATTAAAACGGCGCTTACATTCATCATAGAATCCGTATATACGACTGATTGTAGCACACTCATGATTGCCTCTTAGAATAAAAAAGTTATCTGGGAATTTAATCTTGTAGGCAGACAATAGACAAATTGTTTCCAAACTCTGCTTCCCACGATCCACATAATCTCCTAGGAATAAATAATTAGAATCCGGAGGAAAGCCCCCATGCTCAAATATCCTCAATAGGTCAGAATATTGTCCCTGGATGTCACCTACAGTTTAAATTAGCCATAAAGTTACAAGAGATTATTATGATCAGCATAAAAAACTCCAAGAGTCATCGAAAATAAAACGCTACAATCTAAATTCTCATATACAAAACTTGTCACAAGCATTCCATGGCAAAAAAGCTGAAACTTCCACTAGCATGTAAGATTCAAATTTAATAGTATGAGAAAATGAAAAATACAGGAGAATGACTAAAAATCAAGAAGGTAATCGTATCCCCCTCCCTTCAATGTATTTCACAGATATAAAAATAACTTTTTTCTACTCCGTAAATAAATTTAAATGTACGGTCTTGCCTCAGTAATATCTGGAAGCACATATTTGCCTCTATCGCTCGAAATCAACATGCACATCTCAGGATACAAAATTCTGAATTATATGTTTATTCTATTCAAGATAAAATCACTTATCCGCACACTGACTAGTTTAAACCAACACGAATGTTTGTGGGTGCAGAGTCCATGACCCAGCATGATATAAGCTTCAAAATCTGATTTATTTCTGCTTCCTCTTTCACTTTTCATTCGATTCGCAAACTCAAAGGTTCTATACCTAAACAAAACACATAATTAATCCCCATTTTTGTTATTGAGGCCTCAAACTTTTCTGCTATCCCATTAACACAGATATATTGAAATTCTCCAAATACGAACATCATTTGGATTTGATCAAGCATGGTACTGTATGTCGAGGTCACCAGAACGTGGGCACGGACCCTTTCAAACGAGTGCATAAATATTTCTATCAGAAGCTCGTTAAAACCAAAGCATGTACCATTGAAACGTACCACATATTTTGATAGGTGCCTGGAGCTGAAGAAGAATGGGCTGTCGAAGGAGGACGTCTCTGGAAACATTGCAAAGCTGGCGAATCTCAGCCTCCGCTAGCTGGACTGGTTTGCCAGGCTTGGCGTGTCGTAACTCCAATAGTCGATTGATAATGTCATCCAAAATGGCAGGGTCCCTGGTGCCCTGCCCTTGTTGTGCCATTCAGATTCAGAATGATTCAAAAATCTTATACAAAATCCAAAGACATGAGAATAAGAGAACAATCTCCTTATTCTTTTGGATTATAACAATATATTATTCAATGTTTCGTTCGTTTGAGGGGAGGCACTCCTTTTGAATTGGCGTTGTGATTTACGAGGCGATTGTGATTGTGTATAATAGCTCTTTAATCCCTTAACTCGGTTGTCGAATTTTGAGAGCACGTAGATAAATGATTAAACAAAGAAGAAATGTTGAAGGGGTAAAGTAATGACATAGAGAGAAGACAAGGACCCGCGACCTTGCATTTCTGCCGCCTCAATGTGACGAAGACGCCTCAAGTACGAATTCTACGACCTGCCATTCTGTAAATCCGCACCAAATCCTATTTCAGAGCTTTTCATAAATTTTGGGCACTCAACAGGGATTTAGGTGGTCACTCAACAGAGATTTAGGCAGTCACGTTTTTCTCCTTAACCTTCTTGGAACCACGTTCATATTCTCAGGGTTGCACCCTCCGACTCCGCATGTTGGTTTGAATTTTAACCAATAGGGCCCTGCAAGCCATTGGGTGAAGTTGAATCTTTTCGAGCCACATCCTTACTTTCCCAATCCGCACTTGTAGAACATTGATTGGCAAGCATACACTAAGCAGCAAGTCCTTGACTTTCCTCTATTAAGCTTATTGTGCAGGTTTTTACCCTTCTTCTTTTATTTTTTAGGGGAAAATAAGTTGAACATTTTCTCCTCTTTTTCTCTTGCTTCTCTTTCCATATATGGAAGTTTCAATGTAACTTCTTATAAAGGGTCAGTCGTCTATGATATTGGAACTCGGAAGACCTTGCTTTCTTGGCTTTTTTACTAATGTATTATAAACAGTAAAAAAATATCACCAAAATCCTACAAAGTGGAACTTATTTACTAGAATATTATACTTAAAATTGTTCACGTGAAGAAGGAGTTTAAGATTGTGAGAAAGTCATTCACATGAAGATAAATTTTATCTTTGCTCTTTGTTACGTCATCCTATTAACTTTGACACATACATTTCTTTTAAACAAAAAAGTAAACTTCATCACGCATAGAAACGATTTTGCCTTTCTTTCTCCTCTCTCGTGCAACAGAAATCAAATCGAATACTTGAAAAATTGGTGAACGTGGAATACCTTAAAAAAAAAAAAATACAGTGATGGCTATTTGGAGTAGAGAGACTGATTGATAGAGTTAATGTAAAAAATATGTGGTAGAACAAAATAAACAAATCAAATATACATTCTGTTGATCCTTAATATAAAATCTATTTATCTAATTTAAATAGATTAAATAAACTAAATAAGTTACTTAATCTTAAATATGAGAGATAAAGATAGACAAAGATCTTACACTTATAATCAAAATTCGTTCCAATACTCAGTTACACATTTAGGATGGGAGGAGCATATTGTATGAAAAAATGTAAAAGTATTTTTTTCCCCTTAAGTGTAAGGGCTTTATCTATCTTAATTCTCATATTTATCTTTTTTTCTAAATATAAGGTATTTATCTATCTTATCTCTCATATTTATAATTTTTTTCTAAATATAAGACCTTTATATATCTTATCTCTCTTGTTTATAATTTTTTTCAAACTAAAATACTTTTACATTTTTTGATATAATATACTCCTCCCGTCCTAAATGTGGGACTTAGTCTGAGGGTGAATTTTAGTCATAAGTGTTACACCTTTATTTACATTACTCCTCATATTTATTATTTTTTCTAAACTAATTTGTTTAATTTATAAATTGACATATAATCTAACGTTATATAAAAGTATTTTAGAGAGAGATCATATTATATATGTTATAATCTAGTAATTTATTTAGTTTCTTTAATCTATTTAAATTAAATAAATAGATATGACATTAAGGATCAGTGGGGCGTATATTTGATTTGCCTATGTTGCTCTACCACATATTTTCTACATTAACTCTATCAATAATTTTTTCTCCCCCAAATAGCCATCACCGCATTTTTTTAAACAACTCCACACTCATCAATTTTTCAAGTATTCAATTTGATTCGAGAGGGGAGAGGAAGGCAAAATCGTTCCATCCATGATGAAGTTTACATTCTTATTCACAAGAAATGTATGAGTCAAAGTTGATAGGATAATGTGATAAAGAGTAAAAAAAAAATTTATCTTCATTTAAATGACTTTCTCACAACCTTAAAGTCGTTTTTTATGTGAACAATTTTAAGTATATTATTCTAGTAAATAATTTTCATGGCGTAGGATTTTAGTGATATTTTTTACTCTTTACAGTACATTAGTAAAAAAAAAAAAAAAAAAACCCTGCCTTCTCCTCTTTTTTTATTTTTCAGGGGAAATTTAACTGCTCAACCCCCTCTGGCCTTTTGCGATCTTTTAAAAGGGGAAAAGAGTGAATTGCAACGCCATGGTCATTCAGGAAGCCTTGGCAGTAAAATTTTATGAGCATAAGTCTGTGGTCTTTAGAGGTAAGGCGTTTATAAATTTGAGGCTTCCGCATAACCTGTCCAAAAATGTGCTTCCGGGGACTATGATAGTTACAGCCACATTTTTCGCTTCGCTGTCATCCGTTTTCCATCTTTCAAACCTTGTATCCTTTCATACATGGTATAAAACTATAAGATCATAATTTGTCAATCAATGTTTACCTGAAGTTTATACAAGGTATAAAATTATAAGGCATAATTTTTTTTCGTCCTCCTTATCAAAAAGAATAAATATTTTTACTCTTACCAACAAAATAGAAAATTATCTCAAGAAAATATTCCAATCATAAATAGTTAGATTTACAATTTATCTTTAATGCGCTCTCCAAACCTAAATACAATAGTTAAATAAAAGGTCTGCTTCAGTTTTAAACATAATATGTCAATACATTTTATTTTTTAAATTTGTAAATAGTTTTTAATTTATTTTTATTGATTATATATATCAAGAAGTTTACGTCGAAAATAATTTTTAACTTTCATGTGACTAATTCTAATGAAATTAACCCGGAAGTCATCTAACCACCGGAGGGAGTGTAAAAAATATGTGCGCGTAAAGGCGCCATTATTTTCGCAGTCGTATTTGGGGTGGAAGCCCGTACCGTCTCTCATTTCATTACCATTTTGGCCGCCGCTGTCGGTGTGAGAAGGGAAGAATCGAGCAAAAATGAAGAAGGAAGACACTGTGAAGCTCATCAGCGCTGAGGGATTCGAATTTGTGGTCGATAAAGAAGCAGCTATGGTTTCACAGACAATACATAACATGCTCACCTCTCCGGGTCTGTTAATTCTTCGCTACCTCATTTACGGATTTATTGTTTTGTTTTTCTCAAGGATAATTAGGGTTTCAATTTTCTGTATAAATTTTCAAAATAGTAGAGGTCTGATGGAGGGATTTCCTTAACAGGTAGTTTTGCCGAGAGGCAGCACGGTGAGGTGACTTTCCCTGAGATCAGCACCACCATTCTCGAGAAGATTTGTCAGTATTTCTATTGGCATCTGCAATTCGCTAGGTGCTCATCGACTGCGCTTCTGTTACGTTGCTTCTGCAGGCTAATTATTTTTGTCGGTGCTCTGGCAAGAATTTATCTTTGATGTGTTATCTTTTTTTAACATTACCGTGTTAATCACTGCGTAATCTATTTGCTTTTCGCTATCAACATAGACTATTATGCCTTCTTGGTTTCTGTATTAATTAATTTTAAATAGGAAAGAAGTAGGGATCGGGGAAAGGAGAGGGATAGGGATCCTACCTTCAGATCATGATAGCCTCAATTTTAAACCACAACCCACCCTCAAACGCTGTTAGTTACTTAGTCAACAAGCTTTGTGAGCAGTTCTGTTCTCTCTCTTTTTTATTTTTCCTCTCCTTTATAGTCTGGTTTATAAATTCTCGGAATTTGCTTTTGGGGGACACATGTTGTTGGGTATAATTTCACGTTATATAATGTCTCATGCGAATATTGTTTGTCGAGGGTGTTGTCAAAACCTTCCCCTTGAAACGTACTAGGGAGGTTGGACATGGGAACCGACTAACGCTTCAGTTGTGGTAGTCCTACCCTTGTATTGTCTCGAGCCGTTACCCTGCAAAAGTTGAATATTCTATCAAGTTGAACCTTTTATTTTTTATTTTTTTCCTTAAAATTCAGTAGCTGTTCTTTAGTTTTTGATTGGGATTTTAGACATGTTTTAGTTTTTCTTTTATACCTGGAAGATAATGGTTTGTGTTCTGGATTCTGACCTGGGTTAACAAGGATAAAGTGATAGAGCTTTACGGGATTCAGTGCTTCATTGAGGATACATGGTTTGACATGATGCAGTCATGCCCCTATGTCCTTCTTGTGTCATTTTAGCTCCGAGTCTATTACTGGGCGTCCTGTGATATGTATGATCTTTAGTCTTGTTCCTTCCCATATTATAAATGTTGACGTTTGTTCACATCCTTTTATTATTATCATCTTGGTATACCATATGGTTTCATCATTCATGTGCTTTTAAAGGTTTCTTCGCTGGTCTTACCATCTTTGAGATACCTTCTCCTCCTCCTCCATATATACCAGATTTGCTTGTTTTTAATAGTATGTTCTTCGGACAGTGGAAGCTTCGTACTTTTTACTTTTTACTTTTTAATGATAAATCTCTCTTAGTGAAAACAGAAAAAAAGGGAGAAAATGATTATGTCTAGATATTAACTCTTAATGCAAAGCAATGGGTGGAGAATGCTCTTAAAGGCCCTTTTATTTAATGTTTTATTTGTTTTGGATTTAGATTCAAGCTTTTATAGGTTTAACTTGTGAGAAGACTAATGGCTGCAAGTCATGTTAGGTTGCTCATTAGAGTAAAAATGTGGAATTACCGTTGATAAACAAAGGCAAAATTGCTGATTGGCCCACATTTGTTTCCTTTTTGACTACTGTTGTACAAGAATGGAGAAAAAGGAACTTGCTTCAGCTCTACTATGTTGATTATTGGTGTTACTCTGATATAATCAATTCCTGCTCCAAGTGACAGAGGAACCCCGCATTGTATATTTCGTGTTATGTAATGGAAACTATGTTTATTCATTTTTCAAAGGACCTAGTGTGAGTCTTATGCGTTGTAAAGAAGTTAAATAAATGAACCGTATTGGTTATGGACCATAAATAATGCAGTTTTTATATGGGAGAATTGGAGTAAGGTCTCAAAGAAGGAAAATAACTACTGAAAAGTACCAATAACAAGTGAGTAGTTGAAACTGGTTGTTATTTGTTGCTCTGGAACTTTTTATTATAAACTGCTTACTTGTTATGGGATTTTTTTGCGAATGTGTTCCTATTATTGGACCTTATAGCAGTTCTTCCTTTTTATATTATATATACATACTACAAAACCTCCATCAGAAACTTATAATTTTTATGTCATTCTTGTTTGTTTGTTGTAGTGGGAAGGAGACTGAGTTTCCTATTGAACCCGAATTGACTCTGGAGTTAATGATGGCTGCCAATTACCTGCATACTTGATCGTTTTGACTTCCCAGATGGTAAAAGTTCTCTTCCGGATTATGAGTCGTATTTCCTTGGAAGAATTACAAGTTCACTCTTGATGCTATTTGTTTGCGTGATAACTTGCTATTTTTGGTATTTGTTTGCGCAGACGGAACTGTTCTCAGTAGTCATACATCATTGTTGCAGTTGGAGACTGTATGTTTGCAGCAACTTAGTACATAAGTAGTCTTTGTAATGTACCTCAGCTACCCCGTAACCATGAATGAATTGACTGCTGTCGGATGACGATATTTGTGTAGACAACTGATTCAAAGGTGCTAGACTCTCTATCGCTCCCCTACCCACTTTTCTCTCCAAAAGGAAAGTTAATTTAGAGCGAAAACTGTGTTTAGCTTAAAGAATGACGACAACTTTTTGACGAACTCTGCCATACTTATGGAGAGCACACTCGCGCGGACTTATCCTCTGTATTAATGGGATTCCTGTTTTATTTTAACTTTTTTGTTAAGAGGACAGGGTTTTCGTTCGTCGACTAATCTTCTCTGGATTTATCTACAGCCAGATTGAAGTATTTTCGGGTTTCGCCAACGTGACAACGTTTGGCACAAGTTATTTTGAATCCAATGCACAAGTTATTTTATTTTAAATCATAAAACAAACGATTGAAGTACCTTCGGGTTTTGCCAACATGAGAGAATGTATGGCGCCTAAATTATCAGCCCATATTCAATATCGTGATCGGATGTGCCTGTGCCCAATGCTTTGAGTATGAAACCGAATCAAACTTCGGTCTTCTGTTTGTGCTTGAAATCGCTCCCAAACAGGAGGCGGTCAAGGTAACCACTAACCAGCAGCTGTTGGTTTCGAGAGGTGAAAATGTTGGTAATCGCATGCTTAGGGTGAGAGGAATGTGAAAATATAAGTTGGAGACTGAATACTTACGGAGAGGAATGTGGAGAGCTCGTGAAGATTTGAAGATCATGGCCTCTTTTGGCCTGGCGGGGAATTTTGGAGGTGGTTCCGAGGAAAAGGCATGGCGATTTGATGAAAAAGGATATCGCAGAAGGTTGATTATTGGTTGATTCAGCTTTCTTCTATTAATGTAATCTATCTATCTATCTATTACATAATAATAGATTCTTAGTATCTTGAAGTTTTCTTACAAATTTCAGTATCGAATATTTGAAAATTAATATTAATAATAAGAATAATAAGTAACAAAACTTGCAATAAAAGCTTATGTATACATATTGTTCGTGCATACTGTTCTTATACTGATCGAGGCAGTTGGCATTTTATTTATATTAAAATCCGGTTCTGGAAGAACCAGAGATGCTTTACATATTGATAAGAAAGGAACCCACAGGAAATGAATCATCATGAAGCCATGAAAACCCCTAGCTATTCTTGTTTAATGAAAAGAAACGATCTTTTGGGGCGATTCCCAACTTCTCTCTCATCCCTGAGATTCCCAATATGGAAGCAGCGAGAGCGAGTTACGACTCACGAGATCTCACTGCATCCCTACGAGTCGATTACTAATTACTATTGGTTAATCACTGGTGTGATCGGTTAATTAAGCAGGTATCCAACAGGAAAGAGCATGAATAATACGGCCTTTCCATCCCAGCAAAGCCCATTTGCCGTTTTCCTCCACCACAAAATCTTTATGGTATTCCGTCTTCACAAATTCTGCTGCTTTCTTGAGCTGTTCAGCATCCAAGCAGATCTGCTTGAATCCAGCTCTCCGGTTCCTAACCTGCCACTGCTTGTATGTCTCTGGCCTTTCAACCCTCTCTGCCTCCTCACATGCTATCACATTCATCGCATCCCTCCCCAACACCCTCTCAACCATCATCCTCTGCGGATCTTCACGTCCCACGTTGGCCTCAAGAATATCGTACAATGTCGAGAAGTGAAACAGTGCCTCCTTGAACCGAGTTAGGAAAAATGGCGCATTATAAGTGCCATTGGCAATTCCATGCATGAAGATGCTTGGTTTAATCTTTCTGACGATCTTCAAAACAGCATCTCTCGGACAGTCCACTCCCACAGTCTCATCGGGCAGGTTCTTCATTCTGTACATGCAGTTCACAACCGTTACTTCAGTTGGGTCTATCTTGAGATCCTTGAGTTGTATGTCTTCCCATTTCTGCGCAACGCATTTGTACTCAAATGGCACATTGAACCTTCTGCTATATTTAGCCAAACGCCTGCCTGTCTCCTCAAGCCTCTCAGCGGGGCGAAATCCCGGTTGAGGAAAATCGATTCCTGTTATCCGAATCTTGACGGGTCCTCCTGATCTGGTTGAAAGACGATGCAAAAGGCAAGGCCACTGGAAACCGTAATTAATCCCAAAATCAATGATATGAAGGCTTCGTCCGTCCTCCACTTGCTTCAGGATCATTCCGTTGGTCATGAAATTGGTGACTCTCTGGAAAGGGGATGCTGTGATGTATAGCTTGCAAGCTCTTAACATATCAGCAGCAGTAGCCACATCGGAATGGAGTGGCACATACGATGGCTTCCAGGCAGCCAAACGCGCCTCCAGTCCGTTGGCAAAGTAATGAGACAAACGCTCAATCCCATCCCCAAAAGGAGAAGAGTGCTGCCTTATCTGCTTCAGAAGCTCATTTGCATTCCTTTGGTCGTAGTTTCCCACTGCCTGTGCACATTGAGTCAGTAGAGTCCATAAATCTACTGCAACCCCTTTATTTGCCCCTTTCTTGGAACGATTTGCCTTGGGAGATCCTTCCGAGTCCATACTCCCCTTTTGAGCCATGCCCTCCCCTGTTTCACGCAGGTAAAGGAGTAGCTCATCAAACACCGCTGATTGCTCCGAATCCTCCGAGTGCGCCGCCGGAATCTTACTTCCTCTTCCCTCTTCCTCGTTTGTAATATCATCTATCTCATGGCTCCTCTTTTCCCTCCATCCGCTGGGTGCTGAAATGTGCAACCCTCCTTCTGCGTGTTGAGTCGTCCCTGTTAAAGAATCAGGGGCCACCTCATCAGGACATAAATAACAAGACCAATCGGCCTCATTCGTATGATCGGTACTGGTGTAGCCGCCGCTGTTCCCTAAACTACTTGCCGCTGGGCTGTGATGAGGCGATGCGGAAGTAGCACTAAGGACATCGTAGAATGATTTTTCAGCAGCTTGGAGTGCTGCACAATGCTGCAACATGCAGGGCTTACTCTCCAGCTCGTCTTCTTCATCCATCAGGATGTCGCTTATGTATCTCAGAATATCATTGGAATATTTGTTAGGTTCCGCAAATTCTTCATTGGAACTGGTGCCGGAATGAATGGGAGATTCTGCGTTCGTCGGAAAAACGGAAGACGAGTGAACGAATTTATCACCAAAAATAAGCCCGTTGACTGAGGTACGATTTGGTAACGAGGAGGGAGGTGGATTCTCTCCGTCAAGGTAGCCACCAAAGTTTTCGAGAAGGGCGTCCCCGGAGATCATATTGCTGCCAAAACCGGAAGAGGGATCATAGAACTCTGAGTGGCTGCACTTGCCGAAACCAAGCTTAAATAAAATTCAGAATCTTGGACATCCAACTGATGCTTGTCGCATTCATTATAATAATCCTAACATAGTAGCAGTAGGTGCCATGTCACCGTCGGGCTAGAGTTCGGGGGTGGTACTGTTTACGGACGATCTGTGCGAGGAAGACGAAGAAGGGTCAAACTATGGAGATGGCAGGAAAATGGAGAACCTGGAAATGACTCCGCTAAATTCTTTATTAAATTCTGCCTCCAATGTGAATGATTGCACCCTCATCCACTCGCGTCCCGTGTGCTATAATAATAATCAATCATTGTCCAACATTTTCCTTTTCTGTTTATTTAATGAAGTCTGTCAAAAGGCCATATGGTCAAGGGTTTGACGCCAAACTGGATGGAATATTCAATTCGGCAGAAGCATCTTACAATGTCGCAACATTGAGTGAGAGTCAAGAAAATTCATTTTTCAAAATAAGACGGAGGGGATTAGCTCCTTATTGGATGTGACATTAGCCCAGATACATTCCCCTAATCCAGCTTTATGTCCACTAAGGTCTTGTTTTTATTCCCCTCTTCGATGTAAATGTTGATCCGATTAAAATAAACGAACGTTCCTGGATCTTGATTAACATATCTTTTCTCCATGTGCTAATTGTTGTCAATAAATTATTTCAACGCTAAAGAATGATTAAAACAACGGTGGTGCATTGCCGACGGCTGAGTGCTAGTTTTTCCTTTCGCGTAAAAAGCTTCTACAAGATAATGCTACAAGGGGTGAAAAGACTCTTCAAGAGGTGACGATATAAACAACATCGTGAAAGTTAAAGTCAGGAATAGTTTGTCAATTGCATGAGTATTTACATGAAAATTATCGAAAGGTTTAACACAGATTATTATATTTTTAACTTCAATCTAGCATGCATTTGTGTGCAATCAAAGGAACTTGTAGTTGTAGTTGAGCTGACCGAGAAAACAAATGCCGATTGATGCAACCTGGCGGCGAGAGATGAAGTTAACCCCGCCACCAAGAAAGAAACGAAAGAGATAAAGCGACAATGAATGTTATTATTAAGAATTATGAAGCCCGATTCAGACTTGGCCTCCTCCTGCACACATCAATATGCAATCACTTTGGATTTTTGTCTCTCTTTTCTTTTATAAAGAAATAAAATAAAATATTTTATTGGACAAGGCACACTGTACTGTTAACAGCAACCGAATCAAGTCTCATTGGTGAACACTTGATTTGTTTCCCGACCCAAAACACACCCTAACTAGTAACTACTACAAATGACCGGTCAAAGGTTTACCCATTACTCTGTATCTAATTTCCAAACAAAACAGAGTAATTAGCCCGAATCTCGTGTAGCCTTCAGGATTGACAACATCTGTGTGTAATATAAAAACTCTAACAAATCATATGTGGTTTACTTTTTATATCCCTCACTAATTATACTTTTTATTTTTTATTTTTTTGAACAGGACATGGCGGCTGTTGTTAAGGAGGTTTATGGTGAGGGTGACGACTTTATGTACCGAATGTGGCCCTCGTAAAAATTGATTTTTAAATATCACGCTTATTGAGAGACTACCTTTGCGATGAAGGTGATTGATCATAATGTTAGGACGGAAGTTTAAAGCCAATATGGAGAAAGAAAAAGGCGTGGGGCCATTTGGTTCATCGCAAATTGTCCACTCTGTTTAATTAAATATGCAGAGATTTGCGCACCATCGTTCATCCAGTAGAGTGATGAAATGTTCACACTCGATTGCTGAATAATGCAAGAAACAAGTACGCTCCACTCCATCATATCCATCAGATCAGATCGAGGCGGTTTTGGAGACAAGCCAGCACAAGAAACAATGAGCAAAGCATGACACTTTAAAAATCAGAATGAAATGTAGGACCCTAGATCGAGTCTGCTTTCTCATTTCTTGAGACTGCTATTATCTGAGTGGATTCTGATTCATAATGCAACAACTTATTCTCTGTTCTCCCCTGCACATCTTTTTGACAAATAAGATCGAAAGCGAAGGTCTTGTATTCATATGTCACTTCACTTCTCCTTTGGAGTAGAATATGGCAACAAAGATTCAGTCCCGTTAGATGCTTCCCATCAGTGTGTGGATTGTATCCGGGCTTTTATCAATAATCAATCACAGAGGTAAAAAGTAAAATTACTACTTTTTTGGTCCTCCATGAATTTTCTCCATTGCTACTGTCTAACAACTTGATAATTAATTTTAACAAAATGAGCATCCAAAAAGGAAAATAAATCGATCGAGTTGTTAACGAACATTTTGCGTTTAATTTCTTGGCAATCTGCGAGATAAAAGAATCGTGGATGACTGACGACTAAAAGCTGTAGGGCAAATTATTTCTACATTGATTGATGATTTTACGCAGACAAACTCTAGGGCTTCGCGTAGAAGAGAAATTTCTCACTTCGAGTACATCCCATTTTACGGAACCGCAGGAAAATTGCCGTGAGGTTCTTTTTTGCAATTTCAGGGCGTTATGTTTCATCTAACAAAGAAAAAAAGGCGTAACGTGGTAGAGCATCAGACCAAGTCTCAAAACACAGCCAAGTCTGGTAAGGACATGTAAAATTACAAGTTATCTTACAGTCAAAATTGGATACAGAGTACTTAAAAATGACAGACTTGGACGCTGCCAACTATTCAAAGGCTAATTTTAATGGCCCATATTCCTCCAAACATGTTAAACGGGCAACCCCTGCTCACAAGGGAGTTGCCCACCTTCTTTTTTATATCCATACATAGAGGATTTTTGCATTACATCCCAAAAATCTCACTTCTTCGACAACGACTCTTACAATCTTACCACCCAATGCATTAACGATCCCAACTTGTGTTGAAATTTCATCAAGACTCATGGTCAAGTGAGCTGGATATAAATAAAAAGATTTATCATGACCTGAAACCACGAGGAAAAAAAAGCTTGTTAACTAATGAAGTTCTCCATGCAGCGCGTTATGCTTGCAACATAAACTGCAGTAACCACCAAGTTTTATAGCATAAAACTTCAACAGAACTATGAATGTGGAGTGATAGGATATACCTGATAGTCTGTTACATGAGTTGTGACACAAGTTCAGACCAGGGCCACACCGCATTATGCTGGGACCCAACAAGTGGAAGCGTACAAAATGCGTCCCTTCCAGCCCTGAAGCATCCAGTTGTTGTCTTCATCGAACACAAAATCTTTGTGGTACCATGCCGCCATCTTTTCCCTGAACTTGGCCATGAGCTCCTTATTCAGTGGGAGCTGCTTGAAACCTGCCCTTACAACTCTTGCCTGCCATTGTTTGTATGTCTCAGGCCTCTCAACCCTTTCTAGTCCTTCACATGCCACCACGTTCATAGCCTCCCGACCATAAATTTCTTTCTCAAGCATCAACCTCCATGGGTTTTCACGGGGTATCAAAGTATCAAACATATCATATAACGCAGAGAAATGGAACAGTGCCTCCCTGAACCGTGTAACGAAGAAAGGGGCATTGTAGGATCCATTAAGAATGGTTTGAACAAAGAGATCCGGTTTCATTTTCCTTATTAGATTTAGAGTTGCATTCCTAGGACTGTTCACTTCAATGGTCTCATCCAGTAAATTCTTAAACCTCACCAAACAGTTCACAGCAAGTACCTCATTCCTTTCAATCTTAAGGTCTTCAATTTGGATGGTTTCCCAGTTTTGTGATGCCATAGCTTTGTACTCAAAGGGAACATTAAAACGACTGCAATAGTTAGCAAGACGACGACCGGTTTCCTCAATTCTCTCTGCTGGACGAAAGCCAGGTTGGGGAAATTCTATTCCTGTGATGCGTAGCTTGGGAGGTCCACCAGCTCTATTTGAAAGAAATTTGATAAGCATCGGCCACTGGAAACCATATAGGATACCAAAATCAACAATATGGAGGGTTTCTGCCTTTTCGACTGCTTTTAAAATCATCTTTATTGCAAAGAAATGTGCGAACTTCTTAAAAGGTGCGGCAGATATTGAAACTTGATAAGCTTTCAAGATCTCAGCAGCAGAGATTCTCTTGGAGCTCAGAGAAGTATAAAATAGCTGGGTTCCAGCACCATCACCTACCAAACGTGCCTCAAGGCCATTGGCAAAATAATGAGCCACCCTCTGAGATGCATCCCCCAAGTGTGAAGAATGTTGCCTGATCTGTTTTAGCAATTCATGAGCAGTCCTTCTATCGTTGGAAGACACGGCTTGTGCACATAACACCAAAAGTGTCCTCAAATCCACCGTTTCCTTCTTACTGCCTTGTTTCTTAGAGCGTGTCTTCCCTCCATCAGATGATTCCACAGCCTGCTCACTTGGCGGCATGTCTTTCGCTGATCCACCGTGCGAGCTTTCGTACTCAGCACAGAATGGAACATTCTCAACACTCAGCAACACTTTGTCGAACATCTCCGATAATTCACTCTCATCGACATACACTGCTGATTGCTTGTTGCTTCTCCCTTCTTCTTCATCAACACTACCGTCACGGTCATGATTCTTTCTACCCTTTAACCCATGCGAATTCTCCCTAGCATCTTTCTCTATTTTCAGCGCCGCCTTTTCTCCCAGCCCCTTTGACTGTACAGACACTGTGGTGCTCTCCAGACCAGTGACGAGTTGAGCTCCTCTGGGAAGAAATTTGCTAGCTTCCTCTAAACCTCTATTGAATTGCGAGACAGATTCTGCATCACTAAAGATATTTTGAGCCAAAAGCTGAGTAATAGAAGAATCCAAATTCAGGAGTCCGTCACTGATATTAAGTGAAGTATTTGGAGGTTGTGAGGGCCGCTGAGATATGGATTGCGATTTGAACTGGAAAGCATAATCCCCCAAAACAGCGTTCTCTGGCGAAGAGGGCCTTAATTCTAAGTCGTTGGTGCTTGTGCTGGTGCTGGTGCCGCCACCGCCGGCGCTAGAATCAGTACCAGTTCCAGAGGAATGAGCATCTGGGCTCTCAACAATGTCAAGGAGAGGGTGCTCATTAGGAGAGAGAGGTTGGTTGTATCGAAGGGCATCATAAAATGATTTCTCAGTGAGTTTTAGACTGAGTGGATCATAAAACATGCACGGCTTCTGTTCCAAGTTCTCCTCCATAAGAACTTGGCTCATGTACTTGATGGTTTCTGAAAAATCGTAATCTTCTAGAGAAGGATCCGGAGCCGAAGTCGCGGCTGAATACGGGACATCTGGCACACCTTCCACGGGACTCGCACTCCAGGATTGATTCGGCGGTGCTCCTTCAGAAATCAAGCTTGTGTGCGGAGCATAACTAAGTGGGTCCACATGAGGTTGATGAAAAATATCACGGTAGAAATTAAGAACGGTCTGGTGGTCTTCGTCAGGATTCCATTCATCTTCCAGATTTCTGTGTTGATTTGTATCAGAGAAGACGGTGCCATCAGCCAGTTGATGTCCGTTCAGGGAATTACGAATCGCAGGCAAATTTGGATCCATGAATACACTGCAGCAGCAAAGTCAGACTTGGAAGCGTAAAGTTGCAGCTACTGGCCACACAAGATCCCTCGCAGTCGCAGATCCTATCCCTCGCAGTCGCAGATCCTAAAGCCGATAAGCAACCGAAAACGGGGATTGGACGAAAGGCAAAAAGGGATGACGAAAGTAACAAATATAAACGCCGAGGATGATTAGAACGAAATATGGAACGAGCACAGAAGGGATGAATCGAGGGCGAATCCAACTAGCCAGAGCCACGGGATTGATGGGTAGAAATCTAAAGTTGGATGGAAGTCCGGAGAGAGAGTAAAAGTGATAGGGGAGGAGCAGGGAGATGAAGCTGGCAGTCTGTTGTTGTGAGGTTCAGCTCAGTTATCTAAGAAGTACAGAGAGGAACAGCTCCGCCTCATGAGGGTTGTTTTCATCTGGAGAGCAGAATTTTCAAAGAACATGGCTCTGTGGAGGGGGATAAATGCGATGTGGATGAAACTTCAAAGTCAGAGGTTTGACCGCGGGGACAGCTGAGCCTCAGCCTCTCCACTCCTATTGGTAATGGTAGGTATAATTTCAATCTCTCTTTTCTCTTCTCTTGTCGTTCGTTTCTTTTTCTGTCTTTCCGTCCTTTTTGGCCAGCGTCGTTCATTTCATCGTTAACGTATTGGAAATTTTTTTTAATACTCAAGTAGTATAACATAATGTTAAAAAAAAAAAAAAACAACCGTTAGGAATGAACAGCGCCGTCTCCCAGTATGGTTAAGAAGAACAGTGAGTACAGGATTGAGGCGGCTGGGCTGATCTGTTCATGTAAGGATATATTTGGATAGAAATCAAATAATGGTTTCAGAAGTGTTTTTACAGTTTATAAAATAAATATATGAAAAAATTTATCTCATTTTATAAAAAAATACTTCTAAAAAATATTTTTGAGGGTTACCAAACGCCCCATAATCGTCTAATTTTGTTTGTCTTCAGAGAATCAGAACCATTGGGAAGGGAAGTTTATAAATCCGTATCGCCCCTGCAAGGCTGCCACCCGTCTTACCGCTGAGGGAGGTTGATGTTTTACATACATTTTTCTTCCGTCATCGTTTTCTTTGGGATGGATTCCCCAGTCACCATTGCAAAAGCCATATGCCTATATAAAAATACATTTAATTTTTTTAGCTTTTTCTCTCATGATCCCTTCTCCAGTCTTGTATTAAAAAAAAAAAGAATAGTTGAGATGTAATAATGTCTTATAAAATATTATTAAAATATAAATAAAATAAAAAATTCAATCTAGACTGCTCACAGTATAAAAAAATTAATTTATCAAATATCGCATCTGAATTATTAATCTTTTAATTTAAGATTAGAAAAGAAATTTTAAAAATGAAAAGAAAAATGCAGTTCCTCTGGGGCAATGAATAGAAACCACCCCCCCCCCCCAAAAAAAGAGGCTGAAAGAGTATCAACTCGATAACATAATTAATCACTTTTGTTTAAGGGTCGACATGAAATTGCTTGGTCGCCAAGCCTTCTTACTTCTCTCCACCCGTCGTGGCAAAATAATTAAACTTGAACATTTTACGTTATTTCAATTGAATGGACGAGAACTATTTTTCCAATAATTTAAAAAAAAGTAAAAACAGATATTCCAGTATCTACTAGGAATATTATTTTCTAGCCAAATACAAAATATCCTTTCTTCTTCATGGTATGCTAAATATATATATATATATCTAACTCTATCAAATCTTATCCTCATTTTCGTTTGGGTTAATTAATCAGCAAGTCCTTATAGTTTCAACGAATTTTGAATTAGGTCCCTATAGTTTTTTTTCTTTTTATTAGGTCCTTATACTTTTACCTTTTTTTAATTAGGTCCTTGTATTTATTTTTCTTTTAATTAAGTCCTTATAATTTCACTAAATTTTTAATCAGGTCCATGTAGTTTTAATTTTTTATTTATTAATTAAATATAAGCTTAATTAAATAGATTAATACTGAAATATAAAATATTAATAATTAAATTAAATTAATAGTTATGTAATAAAAAAGTAATAGAATTAATTAATTCAGGAAAATTTTTTAGAACAATTAATTTTTTTTGCTGAAAAAATTAAAATCATTATAATACTTCAATATCTTTAGAATATTATTGTTTATAAACTAATATTAAATAATATATACTATTTTATGTTTATATAATAGTACTATTAGAATTTATAAAATAAAGAATAAAAAATTCAGGGATTTAATTAAAAATAAGATAAACTTATAAGGACCTGATAAAAAGAAAAATAAATACAAGAACCCAATTAAAAACATGTGAAAGTATAAGAATTTGATAAAAAGAAAAAAAAACTATAAAGACCTGATTCAAAATTAGTTGAAACTATAAAGAGCTGTGGATTAATTATCTCTTTTCATTTCTATTGGCACTCTTACTCATTTCCATTCGGAGCAAAATATTTCACAATCCAACGGGCGCAAACGGTCGCTTGGTTTCCCCATATATTCTCTTTAAGAGCAGAAACGAAGACCTGTTGGTCAAATCTTAGACATAGAATGCAATTTAAAACTTAAAAACACAACCTGGACGATTCCACGCAGACTGGTACGAAAATATACTCACCTGCCACCAAACAGTATTGAACATTCCAAGACGACGCGGTTCATAAAATATTTTACGGTGACATCAGCTGTGACTGAGCAAATGCCTTCATTCTACTCAACTCTTCTTTCAAAAGAAAAGTGCCTCTTCTAAAAGGCAAAACATTGGCACAGCATGCTGCCTCCAAAAATTGAAGACGTGGTGATCAATAAATCATGAAATAAATTTAATTTTAGGCGGACAAATCATCAAAGAGGAATTATATACTTCAGAAAATGAGATAAACTAGTAAATGTCAGTTTGTCACTATCAGTGTCTTGCGCGGAACGGTCTATACAATGACAAGCGAGGAAACACACATCAACGATGCACATAGAAAAACTGTACATTCAAGTAAGTTTTCAATACTCAGCTCATGGTTCAACAGAAACAAAGTTGTGAGGCAAGAGTATTCATATATATATATATATAAAATGAAGATTCAGAATAGTGTTAGGGAGGATCTTGAAAACCTAATATCACAAGATCGCGTTGGTTACGAGAAAGTCGATCAGACTACGCTGGCACCCTCTGCTAAAAAGCCGGGGGGGGGGGGGGAATCCTATGCTGGCGACCAGCAGGAGGAAGCACAAATAATTCGGCCCTTCCAACCTTGGAGCATCCAATTGCCGTCTTCATCAAGCATGAAGTCACTGTGGAACACTTCTCTCAACTTGCCTCTTAATTTACTGACGAAATAGCGATCCAAGGGCAGCGGCCTGAACCCTGCCTTCATGTTCCGGACCTGCCATTGCTTGTAAGTCTCAGGCCTCTCGGTCCTCTCAAAACCCTCACAAGCTATGATATTCGTTACCTCTTGTCCAAGAAACTCCTTTTCAAACATCAACCTCATTGGATCTTCACTATCAGCATTTGTGTCGAGCATATCAAACATTGAAGAGTAATGGAAAAGAGCCTCCCGGAAACGCGTCACAAAGAATGGTGCGTTATAGCACCCGTTGACGATAGTCTGCAAAAACATACTTGGGTTTGCCTTCCTAATTAACTTTAAAACGGTGTCTCTAGGACTGTTCACCACGACGGTCTCGTCAAGAAGATTCTTAAGTCGCTTCAGACAACTCACAACCACAAGTTCATCTTTCTTTATCTTCAGGTCTTCAAGCCTAATGGTTTCCCATTTCTGTGCAATAGCGTTATACTCAAACGGAACATTGTAGCGCTCACAATACCTCGCAAGGCGCCGGCCTGTCTCTTGGACTCTCTCTGCCGGCCTCAAACCGGGTCGTGGGAGATCAATACCTGTAATGCGCAGCTTGGGGGGTCCGCCAGTTCGTTTGGAGAGACGAAAGATAAAGGGAGGCCATTGGAAGCCATAACGAATGCCAAAATCTATAAGGTGAAGCGTTTCTGCCTCACTGGAGAGATGCAAAATTGTGTGGTTTGCAAAGATCACGGCAATCTTCCGGAATGGACAAGCTGTAATATACATTTGGTATGCTTTTATCATGTCTGCAGCAGAAGTTCTTTTGGAGGATAAAGCAGTGTAAATCTGAGAGCCAGTGCCAGCCAAGCGCGCTTCAAGGGCATTTGCAAAGCAGTGGGCCAACCTCTGAGATCCACTGCCCGTCGAGGAAGAATGCTGCCTAATCTGCCGCAATAAATTATAAGCAGTCCCACGATCATCAGACGATACTGCCTGTGCACATTGAATAAGCAATGCCCTTAGATCCACCACTTCGTTGTAGTTGTTATAACCCTGTCTTCTGACACGGCTCTTCCCATCACTAGTAGACTTGTTTGGCACTTCCTTTTTCTGCACGCTCGTCTTTGCTCCATGATTACAATTTTCATGGCAAATACACATGGGAGGTGGTTCTTTTCCCCAGCCTGTGCCAAGAAGCACCTTATCAAATAATTCCGATAGCTCACTCTCATCTGTGTAAATTGCAGGCTGCTTCCTGCTTCTCCTGTCCTCTAAATCTATCTCATATTCCCGTTCATGATTCTTCCTTCCTCTTGATCCGGCGGATACGTGCTCCATTTCATATCTCTCCGGCTTGACTAGAGCCTCTAGAGTCTTTCCGAAGGGGGGAGAAATGATGTTGGACCCTACGTCAATAATTAAATGATCGTCCTTGGGCAAAAACTTACTGGCTTCCTCCACACCTCTCTCAAATTGAAACAGAGACTCGTTCTTGCTAAGCAATGTAGAATCTGAGAAGCCAGTCCAGGTATTGTAATTCACGACGAACCCATTATATTTATGGCTAGTATGCCCGGAGGTGCTCATATTGTTGGTGGAAAGTTGTGCTGCCGATGTTGAAGGAGACTGGAAAACGAAATCTACAGGAAACGTGGCTTGCAGTAGAGAAGGTTTGTACTCTGTGAAGTCCAAGTTACTCCACTGGGATTCAGCAGAGTTAGTACCATTAACTGCATAACTTCCACTACTACTATGATCACTGATGTTCCCCGCGACACTTTCCTCGGAGGTCTCCACACGGTGATAGTCGGGAAGAGGATGTTGAACAGAGGAACTGGAAGAGTATTTCTTCCCAATAACCTCGTATAACGATTCCTCGGTCGCCTGAAGAGCCAAGGAGTCATGAAACATGCTGGGCTTGTCGCCCATGTCCTCTTCCATTAGCATTTGGCTTATGTACCCAAGCACAGGGCCAGAGAAGTCGGTCTCGTCTAAGGGAAAGTCTACATTCGCACTAACGGAAGCCAGAGAAGCAGGATTCCCGGCAAAGTTTGTATCCACAGATCCAAAGTTCATGGACGGGTCGGGCATCTGAATTCCATTGAAGGGATCAGTATACTGATCATAATTGAGCGTAACAGGTGTTTGTTTGGATTGGCATCCGCGGATGAAACTGGAGATGCAATCGGAATCCATGAAAAATATATGCTACCCGAATCCACCTACTCTGTACCAAGACTAAATGGAAAAGAATTCTGTCAATTAACAGTTCATGACCCGAGGAACACGAAAGTCCAAAACTAGCACAGGTACGGAGCCTGAAGTGGCAAAGAGTTATCTTCGGTAAACAAATTCGAAGGGGGAAATCAGGGGATGGGCATAAACCCTAGGAAGTGATGAATTTTCATGGACATATGGGAAAATAAAGGAAGTAAAGGAAATGGAAGGATATTAAAGTACCTGAAAGGAATGTGATTGACAGCAGAGGGAGGTAGACTCCAAAAAATGCAGGAGGAGGAGGAAGAGATAAATTTCTCGTCCTCTGGAATAAGACAGCAGCAGAGCATTGTTGGAACGAAGACGGGAGGTCACAATGTCATAGACCTATGTGGTTCACTTTCTAGGAAGTCGGGGTTTCAACGATGATGGGTCCCTTGAGAGAACATAAGGCCCTGAATTGCGCGTGAAAGCAGAGCAACTTCCCTTTCACACTGTCGCCCGGGGGGGGGGGGGTTGGAAGAGAATAACGTTAATGCAGATAGTTAGCTCAAGTGCCACGCAAGTGTGGCGGGCATTCCCACGGAGCACGTGCAACTTTGGTTTTCAGGGAAATAGTTAGAGCATCCATCCTCTGTTTGCTCCAAAAGATTCCGTCGAATTTCATCTCCAAACAGGAAGAAACAGGTCTCATTTTTAAGTTTTGTGGTATTTATTTAATTTTAAAGCAGCTCCGGAAACACAAGTCACTGGCTCCTCCTGGAATTCCATCCATCACGAGCCAAGTTGATTGGATACATTTTGAGAGTCATGAGGTTTGCTGCCGGATAATTCTGGGTGTTGACACCTGATATAAGTACATATGTGATTTCTGGAATCCTTGGGGAAAGCTGTAGTTTTCAGTGAGTCAAAGGAAGAGGATAATTTTCATCTGTTTCTCTAGAAGAAAGGTCTAGCTAAGGTCGTCTAGCTAATAGATATTGTTTTGCTTTTGTCTTTATTTCAAGTCAAAACCGCGTCCTCTGACCCTGGCTACCAGTGCCACCTTTTGTCTTTTTCCCCCCGGCCTTTAGTTCTTACTATTCATCTTCCCTCCGCTTTTGTTTTCTTTTTCTTACAAACAAAATTCAGCACTGACTAATCAGTTGCCGCGGGCCGTCCAAAACCAGTCATCAAATGATTGTCCTATGATGGTCATCTATCCTTCGTCTGCGCCTCCCTTCTCCCTTCTCCCTTCTGATTTTATGAATAATAATTCATTTAAATTCATTTCTACGAACTAATCTATTTTTATCTTTCTCCAAATTTCATCCCGACTGTATGTGTTCAGTTACATGAACGGTTTAAATGAATTAATGCCATCATGTGAAAAAATTACATTTAAATAATGTTAAGTTATTTATTTTTGCATGCATCGCAATGCATTATTCAACATATACGGTATTTATGATTGGATCCAAGGTGTCTTGAAGTCTAAGATAAATTTTGTGCAATGTCAAACAAAAATATAAAATAGAAAAGTTGAGAACATGTGGAACCTGTTGCAATCAAGGAGCATTCGCGTGTGGTGTTCCTGGTAAGCGAAAATGAAAAACTTGAGCCTATTCTCGGCTGCTCACAGAAACAGAAGTCTTTTTCCTTTTACTACCGAAAAATTGTTTAGGACTTGGACAAGTCGTGAGCTTGACTGAGCCTGAAGTCCTGAACGCTGACGAGTTGAAGGCCCATTCCCCCGTGCCTGTTAATGATCACTTTGTTTTTTCAGCTGAACTGTTAATAATCTGTTTCACTGACAAAGAACACAGAAAATAATAGGTCCCTTTGGGCTAAAAACGATATCCGGTAGAAAAAAAGCATGGGATAAGCGTTGCGTAGGAAGACAAAGGAAAGTTGAGAAACAATTATTAGAAAGGGAGCAGATACGCACCACCAACGAAATAGGAAAACACGTGAAACCTACACTGATTACATTTGAGAAGATATGAACAACTTAATATGAGGCTTGAAAATGTGCGAAAGTCCTGATGACAAGATTAGTCATGAATTTTTGCCTCGACAATGTTTCTGTTAGACGGATGTGAGTTGCCCTTTCTGTTATTTTTTCGGGTCATAAATATAGAAATGAAAGTGCTAATGTTACTCACCAGAAAACAAGAACGCGCTCGGTTTTATCCATTCCGTGTTTTTAAGGGGGAAAGGAGAGGATTTGATGATAAAGCACTACACGAGGGAGCTCGAATGGTGTATATATTACATATAAATGGAATCTGAGCAGCAGGCTGTAATAAGTTTTATCCCACTGTCCCGCCCACAGGTAAAAATCCGGCGTCCATTCTTGTTAGAGGCGCACCAAAACACCAAGGTTTGGCATGTTGGCAGGCCTCGGTTGGTGTTTGCAGTGTGTCCATGCTTTGGGCGTTCTTTCCAAAAGATAAATGTTACATAAGAGGAACGGGTGAGAAAACATGCATCTGCATTGTTGGGTTGCATTCCCCGACGTTATTGCAAGTTTTATTCTCAAAATATGCATTGAAAAAGGGCACAAACAGCTCTAGCTCGACACCATCGCATATATACCAGGCACCATGAAAGACGTTCCACATGTACAGTCAAGATACTAGGATCACTTGAGATAGAATAATGAGCTGTGAATAAAATGTACACAAGATAAGCGACATCAGATTCTCCCCACTTCTTTATAGTTACTTGCACTAACAGCAACATTCAAGAAATCAAAACAAATTGGTACCACCTCAGTTTGTGGCTTGACTACCATACTGCCAGGGATTGAATTCTATTGATTTAACATCAACATCATCAGAGCTGCCTGAACCATCTATAGCTACCCGATGCTCAGTGTATTTCCCATTATATTTGTAGATTTCCAAATCACCCCAGGGGGTAGATGTCACTTCTTCAGTTAGATCAAACCACCTTGGTGTAAAGTTATGCCCTTCAGTCTCTCGAGTTCTCTTCTCGGCACGTTGCCTCTCCTCCAAACTGTCAACAAACAAACAACATATAAATACACCAGAAAACATACAAGTGCTAGCATTTCTTCAGCCGCAAGATGAAAGAAAGCTAAAGGGACCTGCTTTTTTCTGCCCCAGCTTTGGATAAATCACCCATCTCAAGCGCATATCTATCTGGGCGCAGACGAGAGTCTGATGCCAACAACTTGCGAGGGGCAGTGTCAAAGCTGTTGATTTTGTGTGCAAAATAGGTATACTGGAATTTATCATTCTGTGGAACATCAGCAACATGCCAAACCTGCAGAATATCCGAAAGAAATGTCAATGCAGTTGATAAGTTAACTTTGTAATTTTTCTTACTAAACAGTTAAAGCAAGAGAGCAGAACTCAAAAAAGCATGGACACTTTTATGATGAAGTGCCATACCAAAGTCTTGACACCGAAATATGCTATCAGTTGTTTGCACATGCAGAGGACAGCAATGCATTACAAATCATCAAAAGGCAATTTAAAGTATTCTATATCTTGTTAAGAAAAATTTTGAACTGATTCGTGCCCATTCCATTCCTATTTTTAAAAAAATAATTGAAGTGCTTTGCTATACCACTTGCAGGAATGGAAGGATGAAAAAACATAAGGAAACAAATTTTTCTCTTCCCATGATACTTATCCTGCAACAATTGCGCATTGGAAAATAGAAAATGGTTTTGGCCATCTCTGACAGTCTCTAAACGACTCTATCCTACCAACTGTGCCAGAATGGAGTCACGTTGACATCAAACAGTGAACAAAACAACAGCAACAATGGTTGTATTTGCAACATGTGATCCAACAGTTGACTATTCCATGTAATCACTCTGAAGGTTGAAAGAAACTAACCTCTTGCAGTTCTGTATTTGGAAGAGGCTCTCCATCCAAATCACAAGGTTGATAACTCAACGATTCATTCCACTTCCCTGTCATCAATATTTTAGGCTCTTCTGAAGAATTATAAACATATCCGTCCACTTCATAGCGACCAGCTCTGTGGCATAAGCAAGTTTCAGTAAGCTACCATCATAAACCATGCAAAGCATATTCAGGAATATAATGAAGGTATATAACAAGAAAACCATAACTAAAAATGTTTATAGATGAACCGAATGGACAGAGATGAAGTAAAATATAAATAAAACATAGATGAATAGGAAATAATTGTACAACACCACAGTGACCAAATTCTATTTATACAACTCAGTTTCAAAATGCACACAATGCTAAATCATTGATTGATCAAAACTACTAACCAAGGAAATACTGCAATCCACTAAATTGGTTTCATCAGAAATCAAAGTCCAGAAGATAATAACAGTGAAAAATAACCCCGCATAGCAATAGTACAAACCTCATAGAGGTGCATATGATGGTTTTGAAAATAATGCTAAAAGATTGAAGTTACATACCCAAACCATCCACATGGTTGAAAGTACAGCACAACTTTGTCTCCAGTTGTCAAATTTGTCATTATCATTTCTCCAGGTGAATCGACCCAAGTCCGGCCAAATATTAGGTTGTTTACCTTTGTAGGAGGTGGAACCAAATCTAGAACTACACCACTCCTCTTGAGGGTCACACGGGTTCTGCAGGTCATGATCAACAAAGGCACCGCATATAATTTTCTTTTTCATTAAGTGCATATAATTACTCCCCACTCCCAGCTAGAAAATGACAACAAAACAACAATAATGATCTCAAGAATTCTACTGAGAACAGAGGAGGGCAAATTAATACAAAACTTGTAAACTAACCAGAATAGTATACAGAGTGAGCACGATAAAAACCATTTATGAAGTTTCTTTGCGAAACAGAAAATGTTGATCTCCTAGATAGATGGCTAGAATTCATAAGGCATTATATTTAGATTGAAACCAACATGGAAATAAACCAAGAATAGACACCACCCTACCCATTAAATTTAAAAGAAATTAGCCTTTAAGAATATGGATGGGAAGCAAATCTTTAAGTCAGATAGTGGCATGCCAATGTGGCAATGAAAAAAGCAATAGAACAACAACATAAGCGGCCTCAAGGATACAATGAAAAAACAGAGGTAATTGACCCAAAAAAAAGGCCAGAGCATACAGAATACCTTCCAACAGGGTAAACATCAACAGAGTTTCCCAAAAACTTGGTTTTTAACTTTGAGGTCACATCATATGTAAAATGCTCATTCTCTGCATGCCCAGCGCTCATTGGGGGATGGTGGCTTACCTGAATTTACCAAAAAGAAGAAGTCTAAATACACAATAAAATATATATTTACATATAATATAAAATTCATACAAAGTCACCCTATTCATAAGCCATAAACATCATAAACATCATGGTTCACCTCATAATCTGTGCAAAGCACAGGACCCGTATTCTAGTTCAGAAGAAATAAAATATTAAAGGAGGCAAGAAATTCTACCAAATCCTCACATGCGTTACTTAGGAAACAAGTATTGTAAAGTGGAAGAGTTTAATTAGAATCACATACTCAATAAAAATACCTGTTCTGCGAGAAATGTAATTCCACCATGGTTAGCCATTTCATAAGTCTCTCCTAGAATGGGATTAAAAGGCTTCCAGGTTCGTTGATATGCAAAGTACACAGATACAGCCCACGATGCTGTGATAATTATTAGATATCAGAAAATAAAGGGATAAGCGTCATAAATAATTCAATGAAATTCAGGAATAATAACTACTACACCAAGGTTTAGCCAAAAATATCTGAGTCAATAATGCAAATTTTTAATGACAATTATTGGATGGTTTTATATTGCGTCCCTTTTACCCTTCACTCCATCTTAAACTTTGCCCATTGCTCAACCTAAGATAACTATTCAATTCAATCGAATGGAAGGATTGAGACAAAAAATTAAAAAAAGATTCAGATAAGGAGCAAATTGAACTCACAGGCATACACCAATCGCATGTAAGGATCCTCACATTCATCTGCCCGATCCAGCAAGTAGGAGTACTCCATCAACTAGTTCAACCAGTTCAAAACTCAATCAAGTGAGAAGACATAGAATGCAGCATTAAAAATGTAAACATTAATACCTATATATATATATATATATATATATATATAGATATAGATATTAGATATGAAAGTTAGACAGACCTCCGCCATCTTCTGAAGCATGGTCATGGGCTCAAAAATAATAACAGGAAGAGTCACCATCGATGTTACGTCTGACCCTATATATTTGTGCATCATCTTCCAGTAACTCTCTCTTTCCTTCACACAATAAGGGGTAACATTGTTCAGACTGACAGCGCGTATGAGTTAACCCAATATGCATGTGACAAAGACAAAAACAAAAATACAATAATAGCAAATGCAGCATTCTCATGCTCACCATTCGACAAAATATGACTAAATGTCTTGAAGGATGACGAAGAGTGAATTAAAGATAAATTACGTATCAGATGTTCAATGGTTCAAAACAGGGAGTGGGGAATAACGCAACAATTAAAATAAAAAACTAAGAAAGAAAATGCCTTTTTTTCCCAAAGATATCCACAAACAGACAAGCAAATTAAGCACCTCTTTTCTCCATCTTCCCCTCTGAGCTTCCTCTTCCGCATCATCTTTACCTCCCTCAGGATTTATCACTTCAACCCCTTCATATCCTAACAGCCTATGATCAAAGGAGAAACGTATACGTAAGCAAATCAGCTTATAACATTCTTGTCCAAATCAGAAGATTTCATGCTGAGGAAACTGGCGAGAGGCACTGTAAGATATAAAAGACTGAAGGAAAATGGATGAGAACTTCATGGAATGATGTCAGTGAACCAAAATATTGGTATAAGCCTTCCACTGGCGTTCTTGTGAATGACAGCAATTCACAATTTCTATTTAGCTAAAGCATGGCTATTACTTTTCCAGTTCAAACATTTATTAGTCGTTCCCCCAGTGAACACAATGTTGTAGGGTAAATGCAGGAAGGATTTAACATAGGATGTTCATAATCCATTTACATATGCACGAGTCAGCATACAAGCATTGTACAGAGAGAGAGAGAGAGATATATTAGAACTTAGAATGGGAACTATGAGTTAGGAAACACAAACCCGGAGGCGAGGCATTAAGACGCATAAAGAAATCTTCACTTGCAGTCATTTCAATCATTTTAAAAATACCTAGCTCGTCGGAGATATTTGTAATTATTAACATGTCATTTTCTTGTTAAAAGAAAAATACTTACATGGCAATATCAACTTGCCTTTACGGTAACTATAACTGAATGATACATTTAGATTTTAATCTACTTGAAGCTTCAATATGGTCCCCGACAATTTCACTTAGATACGCAACAGAAGAAGATGAACCGCCTACAGATTGCAATCCCAGTGCAAGTTGAAACATGGGAGCAATCCTACACCTAGATTAAAGGTTACCCTATATCCAGCTTCAAGTAATTATTAAGAGCCTAATATCAGCTCCTATCCAAAATCTTCCACTCAAATTCAAAATCTTTTCAACATCACACGAACAACAGGTGATACCAATGGGACCTCCAGCCAGAGAATAGTGACGGAATTGCGTATAATCATTCGAAGTTCTTTTATCCCAGAAAAGAACAGAGGAGTACCCATTGACAGATCGGTGCATAGCATTGCTGAAAATGGAAAGGCTAGAACTCATTGAAGCGAAAAAGCCCTTATTTTCATTCTTCTCGGGGCTACCCATCTCGGAACGAACCCTAATTCAAGGATCAAGGGAACTGCAGACAATCAAAACCGATATAAAAAGGCAATGGTTCCCAGACGCTGCCCAAGAGAAGCAAATTAAACTGTGGAAAGAGAGAGACAGTGAAGCCTTGACGAAGATCAATACATGTATGGGAAAGTGAAACAATTAAGAGAGTGGGTATGATCTATGATTTGAGAAAATTGCGCGAATGAAAGGTGGCGGTTTTCGGGTTATGCTCCGTTACGAGTCCTCAATCGGGTGAGTGTTGAACTTTAATGGTCAACGGAACGCACGCTTCTCTCGAGGCGCGTGGGCCAGTGGGGACGTAGGATTAGGGAGCTTCTAGCTGGGCTGGACATCCCTACTCAGGCCCACTCTCCTTTCTCATTGTTTAGGGCCGCGGCCCATAGCTCCGCAGCTTTGCATCAGTGGCTCAAAAAGTGAAGATCCTTAGACGGCGAGGAAAAGCGCAAATGTGAACTTGGCGATGGGAGCGATGAGGAGCAAGGGCATGACAATGACAAAAGCTAGACAGGGTTGCGTTTGCCGGGAGTCGAACCCGGGTCTATTGCTTGGAAGGCAATTATCCTAACCGTTGGACTACAAACGCTAGGCTGAGCGTTGTGCGAGACGTCTAGATACACATAAATACGAATTAAACTGATAATACAAAAATATTCATGATGATAAGAGGAGCAAAAAAAAAAAAAAAAGGTCTGTTGAATTAGATGACGCTAGTGCTAATGTGGCTCTCCAACAAAGGGAAGGAGGTGGCGGAGTTTGTAAAATGAATGTGAAGCGAGCAAGCAAAGAATGAGAATGTACGGAAGCAGGTTTTGCTTGCAAGCCAATCCTGGAATTGCTTCCCACTGCTTTCCCATTTTCCCAGTTAATGGATGTTGGTCAGGGATATCTTCTAGATAAACATACTAGTATTCAACATTTCACTAAATACCTTATAAATTGGACATTAAACTTATAACAAAATATACTACCTCCGGTCCTAATTATAAGAGCCAGTTGACTAATTTGAGGAGATTAAGGAAGTAAGTTGAGTTAATTATCTGTTCTAAATAGATGTTATCTTTCCTAAAATATCCTTGTTAATCAAGTGTATTAACTAGAACTATAATTATTAGAAGGACTATCTTGAAAAAAATTGAGTAAATATAAGAGATAAAGTGGATTAGGGTCTTATATTTAGGATCAAAATAAAAGTCAAACAGGATTTTATATTAAGGACTGGAGATAGTACCTTATAATTGTAAACAGAGGGAGTACTAATGATTTTGCTATCCAATGCACCTTGCATTTTTGTATTTTAAATGTGGACTCTATGACAAGTTTAAAATTACTGCAAAAATTATTACGATAAATGTGCCTGTGTATCTAAATCATTATAAATTATAAAATTTAGTGATAGATATAATATTCATAAACTATAAAGTATATAATTTAGTATAATATATTAAAAGATTTATTTTCAATTTGAAGAATAATTAGAAAGAACTGGCATGCGCTGCAAAGTGCAAACTACCGGTATAAAAATTTGTCGAGGTCAAAAAAATCATCCGGCCCCCACAAAAAAAAAGGGGGGAACAAAAGTCAATGGACTTGCGATTTTGTAGGATGAAGGGGGTGGGATAGAACCAAACCATGGTTTCAGAAGTGCTTTTATGGATTACGAAGTAAATATGTGGAGGAGGTTATCTCGTTTTGCGGAAAAGTGCTTCTGAAACCTAGGTTTTGGACCCCCGAAATCTCTCTGTACGTGGAATTAGTGTTTATCTTTGTGATTAAAAAAAAATTCACTGCGTATTGAGAAGCCGCAACTGTTTTCGTAGCCCTGTTGTTCGTATCCATGGACGCGGCAAAGGAAATAAAGCCAATGGCTAAAAATGTTAAATGAAAAATCAACATAATCGAGAAACAAACCAAATTTACCAACCAGCCTTTGCCGTCACAGTTGGTAAACAATTCCCCTCTAAACCCAGCTAATCAGCTGTGAGCCACATTTTCAGTCTGAAAATCGAGCACTGACCCTTCCTTCTGCTCATCCATCCCTGTTATTCTGTTCAAGTTTTTCTCCGTTTGTTTGGAACCAAACGCGCTTTATTTGAACTTGGGGGTGGAAACCTTCCTATTTTTTATCCCATCGTTGGATTCCCGAAGCTACATTGATCGTACCATATTCTGAATTATGTGTTGAAATCTTTGGGGCTGAATTTTTCGTCTTTGTTATTAAACGGACGATGACGGGACGGGACCCATCTCCTGACCGTGTTGAGATTAAGGTTAATCCACGGCGTGGTGACAGCATAGTCCACCCAGCTGGTGCACTCACTCCCCCGCCGGCGTCGCGAAGGGTCTCTCCGTTGCCGGTTGATCCTAGCGTCCGGGACTCCAGGCCGTTCAAGAAGTGGTTCCCATGGCTGGTACCATGCTTTGTGGCCGCCAATATCGCCATATTCATTGTCACTATGTACGTAAACAATTGTCCCAAGCATTATGTGGGCGATTCTTGCTTTCCTAGTTTTCTGGGCAGATTCTCGTTTCAGCCCCTCAAAGAGAATCCTCTTTTTGGTCCTTCTTCATCAACGTGAGTTTTATTTCTCCCTTAGCTTGCATTTGATGTTGTAAAGAAAAACGACATTCCCACCGATGAAGGTTATTATCAAGGGTCAAATACATGATCCAAAGTTCTCCAACTTGGCGGTGATTTGGACCGTTTGAGGTTTCATGGTGTAGAATCTGCCGAGGACCAATGCTATCATATATTTGCTCAAAGTGGGATGATCTATTTCCACTATTAGGCTATATCTGCTTTGCTTTAGTTTTCAGCTTTCAGTTAGCTCGGTATTTCTAGGATGGTATAGTATTATTATATTACAAATGCCCATTATTTTCTTATGGTGAAGACCATTCTTTCAAAACATGTACTTGTTTAAAAATTCAGAATTCATGGCAGTTTTGTGTCAGTCATTTTAAAATGTGCATAGTAAATTGGATTTACGGCTTTGCAACCTTATCTGTTAGACTTGTTTAATGTCCTACTCAAATCCATGTGTTCCCCAGGTTAGAAAAGATGGGTGCTCTAGAAGTGGACAAAGTGGTTCGTAGACACCAAGCCTGGCGCCTGATCTCTTGTATGTGGTTGCATGCTGGCGTTATCCATGTGCTTGCCAACATGTTGAGTCTTCTCTTTATTGGAATCCGGCTTGAGCAAGAATTTGGGTTTGGTATGATTTTGGTACTCTGCCATGTGTATTCCATGCTTGAATTGTCTCTGATATTTACTGAAGTTTCAATTTCTATATGTTACGTGAATGCTGTGTAAGAGCACAGCAGAAATGTATGATCAGAGCTAACTAATAAATAAAAATTCTGCTTCACAATTTCAGTTTGTAATTTATGATTTTTCTTTTGCAGTTCGAATTGGATTGCTGTATTTAATATCTGGTTTTGGAGGAAGTTTGTTGTCTGCTTTATTCATACAATCAGGTATCTCTGTTGGTGCTTCGGGTGCATTATTTGGCTTACTGGGAGGCATGCTATCAGAGCTTTTAACAAATTGGACGATCTATGCTAATAAGGTGAACGAAGATGTGTGAAATTTTACGGTTATCACTGATAAATAATCTTCTCTGCCGATGCGCCACAGTAGTTTATAGTATTTTGGCCTTTCCCTGTCTGGTTTTGCAGTGTGCAGCGTTGTCAACTCTTATTGTCATCATTATAATCAATTTAGCTGTTGGACTCCTTCCCCATGTGGATAATTTTGCTCATATTGGAGGTTTTATCTCCGGTTTTCTTCTTGGATTTGTCTTTTTGATTCGCCCCCAGTTTAAGTGGGTTAATCGATCTCGTTCTGCCGATGCTGCCCCTTTTCTGAATTCTAAACACAAACCTTATCAGTATGTGCTGTGGGTCATCGCTTTCATACTACTGACTTCTGGGTGAGTTCTCATTCTTTTCCTTTTCTTTGCTCATGAGTGGGACCTACGAATGCTTGTTTTATATACTGTAATGATCTAACATGAAAGAAATTTGAATGGGACAAGTTGTTTTATAGTTGTTGTGTGGGTTTCTGCTTATGAGTACTTTTCTTCTTTCAAAGCTTTTCTTTCTATTTTACAATGACTCCTTGTCCTTTTTTTTCTTATATCATTCCTTGCCCTTACTCTCTTTTTATGCATTTCCTTTCCCTGTTTTTGTGGCCCTCTTTATTTTATCCAAAAGAAAAATGCCGCTAATTTCATTGCTGGAGATTGCTCATACATGTTCCTCTGGAGCAAGATTATTGATTCATGTTAAAATGTGAATGGATCTTAAAATTATTGTTTGTAAGACTAAATATCTTAAACCACGTCAAACATATTGTGTCCCAATGCCTTGCATCGTTATATCAAGACTCACAAATCTGAAAGTTGAATAATTTTGGCAGATTGATAACTGGGCTGGTTCTGCTCCTTCGAGGGGTTAATCTGAACGACTACTGCTCATGGTGTCACTATATGAGTTGCGTCCCCACCTCAAAATGGAGCTGCAAATCTCAACAAGTGTACTGTGAGGTTAGTGATGTTGCTGCTGTTTTCTTGTCTACGTTCCATTACTGCAGCTCCCTAGAGTTGTGAGCTCTAACGTTAGACGTGTTGGTGGTTTGATCGAGTGCAAAGCAAATAGATTTTAAAGTATACTTCTATCCTTCTATTGAGAAAAAAAATAAAAGAGATAATTATACTTGTGTCCTCTCCAGTCTTTTCCCCTTCGATTAATAGTTTGGTCTTCATAACGTAAGGTAACACGATATTATACTGTTCCCAATAGTTTGATCGATAGTCTAGGCCTGAAAATCTAGTTTGGTGGCCTGCGTATAATTTTGGGAGAATTACCAACAGGTCCCAAAGAAGAAATTTAATTACTAAAAAGTTTCAATGATAAGTGACCAGCCTAAACATATTGTTATTTTCTATTCTGAAACTTGTCATTGTTTTTACTCTTCATTTATCAATAGACTTCAAAATAATTAAATCCTTTGTTGGGGACCTGATTGTAATTCTCCCTATAATTTTCCATAGCAAAATCAATAGATGATTTAATGAGGTCCAATATCAAACGTTTGAGGAGACTGTTATGCAGTTATTTTCTTTACCTATCACAGTAATGATCTTGGCGTAATGATGCAGTCAACCCAAATGGGAAATCAACTTAACATGACATGCTTGAGCAATGGAAGAAGTCACATTTATCCGCTGTCAAGTGGTAGTCCTTCCCAAGTTCAACAGCTTTGTTCTCAACTTTGCAGCTGACAGATGCATTCGGGAGATTTATCTGATTCCAGACACTTCTTGGTGCAATTTCATTCAACCTGCATCCGATTTCTTCTTGCTTGGGCAGAGATATTTCCCTATTTTAGCAATGGTGATTGTTATTATCAGTTTATCACCATCATAAGTGTAGTCTTCTTGTTGACACTGTCGCCTCTTGGTTGTGATTTCTATGTGGAAGCATTGCCTTATACCAGGAAGGTGCAGAGTGAGAGTTGTATTAGGTTGAAAAGGCGAAAAGAACTTTTACATATAGGAATTGCTGCCAAAAGGATTTCTTAAAGCAAGGGTCATTGCTTTAGATTCTTTGTTGCGAAGGTTGTACAGTTCAGTTCTTTGTGTAAAACTACGACTAATATGGATGCCTTTTCTTTTCTTTTTGTTCTCTCCTTTTCTTTTCTTTTTTTTGTATGGTGGGGAAAAGGGAGGCGGTGCAAGGCCGCAAGGGAGGAAGCGTATTATTTCTGTGACTGTAGTAATCGAATCTATATTTTATTTAGAGGAGGATTTAGTCTGGCGAAGTAAAGCAGAGCTTTCACCATCTTATAGCCGATTTTCAAAAGCTGCAAAACTGAGTCGACATGAAAATTAACTAACTTTGATTCAAAATTCATTTCTGAAATGTAACTATGAGACGCAAGAGGCGCAGACTAGTTTCCGTCCGTGGTTGGGGGAAAGCCGAGTGTGTCGTAGTCGCCGTGTAGTCTTTTGAGGTTTAGGAAGGCATCACTTGAATATGCATTCCAAGTTATTACATGGTAGCCCTCAAGATTTTGGTGGCTCGTGGAACACGAGATATGCTTATTGAGACTTATATATGCTGAAATGAAGGGATGATTGGAAGGATGATTTGGGCATTGTAGTGGGAAAAGGTGTTTGGAGCATGTTAGCCATCAACTGTTGGTAGAATATCACCTCATAACATCGTAACATCTAATCAATAATGAGTGAAATTGCACCCAAACTTCTATTAAGCAGAACGAAAAAAGCAGCCCATGATTTGTAATTCTATAATTGAAGTTTTAATTTTTAACCAATGAAGTAGGTTGTCTCTCTCACTTCCTTTCACACCACTCCAGCCCATTTTACGTTCCACGCAGTAAAATCTGAATCGTTGGCTTTATGTAATTTTTTTCAACCATGGCACGTTGGCGCTTCTTATTTTAATACCTCTAGGATCAAGGCAGTTTTGCTTAATTTAACATTTAAACTCTTAAAACAGTAGAACAAATAGAATATACAGAGGGAGAGAGGGATTAAAATATTTTAATTATGCCATGTAGGGGTAGTGCCTTCTGATGTCTTCAGGAGAAAGTAAAGTGATTTTCTCTTTAATTTGAATGCGCGGGGGAATCATAGGCACCGAGTAGGCAAGTCATTCTCATGTTATGTATTTGTCAATAGCTGGCTGAAGAGATAGAACCTGTGGGCATGAGCGCTGTCAGTAATCAGATTTCTACATCAAAAGCCCACCTGTTTTGCAGTGATTTACCTGTGCTTGTCTCCAACCATTCATCTCCCTGCAACAACAGTATTCAGCAACCCTTCTGCCCATGTAAACCTAATCTTCACCCTGCTATTAATAGTGTTTGTTGATTTAATACTTTCTCCTTCCCATATGCTAAATTCCAACGACCCTGCTGTGCCATATCACCTCCCATTTCTTAATTTTGCTTCATCAGATTCTATAGGCCCACCAATGCCTTTTGTAAGAGGACGTTAATTCGGTTGTTGCAGTTGTTGGCACCTCATAATATGCTTCAGTGGATGTCCAAAAACAACGCTACAAGGAATGAAATTTCCCTCATTTCCCCTCACCCCAAAAGGAGAAACAGAAGAAAAGGAAAAGAGAAAGTGATGATGCTGCTATCGCATTACAAAACACGAAAGTGTTTCGAGACATGTGGCAGCAATTTGCTTGCTTGAGGGTAACGTTTTTCTTTATCTCTTTTTTTTCCCCCTTTTTGAATTTCCCCTTTCTTTTTTTTTTTTTTTGATACACTGAATTTCCCCTTTCTCTCAAGGCTGAATTATAATGATAAAACTCTGTCGGGAAGTTGGGATGCAAAATGCCGATGAAATAGGATCCATGATATGGCATAATGGTCCAAAGAAGGAAGAATATAATGCTGCATGCTGCCTATATTGCATCTATTCCACGGCATCCTCATAATCTCAAGATACAGCAATTCAGCATTTGATGCTTCACTTTTTTCTTTTTTTTTTGGGTACCACTAAAGTGAGGTGCAAAATCTGCAAAATCTTACTGACACTGTTTTTCGCAATAATGGTTGAGTTGGAGTTGCCTTGGTCATAGAATCACAAATACGTTCCGGCTCCCATTCCTTCAATCAGAAGCCTGCCATTTCAGGTCGTTTATTTGTTACCACATGTAGCCCCATTTGGCAGAGCAGTGAAAATCTCTTATAAGCATGTTTTATGTGAGTCGAGATAAAACCCCTCTTGTATACTTGTCTCGTATTCCGTAAATCACTATTAAAAAGTAGTTTATAAGCTACTTATAAGCTATTCTAAACGAGTCTTATAGCTAGGAATTCACGAACCAATATATTAACTCTCTGCAAAATTATTAGGTAGACATTGGTTGGGCACAGTAGCCCAATAAATGAGTGAGATTTCAGATGGCCTCGCTTTGATCTTAATATAGAACAGCATACATGGAACTAAATGCTCACACATTAATGAACATTATTCAGCCTTGCCAACTTTGGGTGAAAGTTATGATTACGAGTGCTTACTCTTCCAGGGTAAACCTTGGCAGCAATGATCTTTTCAACTCACACCCATTCCGGAATTATCTGAACGAATCCCAGAGGCATTGCCAAATGTTATGTTGGGTATGGTTTCGCATATATACATATATATATGTATGTATTTGAAATTCATGATCCACGATTACAAGCATGCGTTGTTCTTCTTTTTCTCTTCCCTTTTTTTTTATTGGGTTTAGACTTTAGACTGAAGAGAGTAATGAGTTTGCCGTTTTGCCTGACAAGCTTGTCCCTCGACTATGTGCTTTTATCTTTGCCAGAACTCCAGCCATTCCCAAATGAAGGACCCTGTTTCAGAAAATTAACCATTGTCTAATTTAGAACCCTGCATTCGAAAGCTTCAGCAATCTCAAAATGCCGTCTCGTACGAGCTCTGTATTTCAGGTTATATTCAACTGCTGATCACTCCACCGCATACTGAACAATAGCCAGAACAGAGCACGCACCAGGCTGTGTTTCTATTTCTCTCCCTTGAAAGAATTTATGTTAGCGTGGATGTGGGTGGGCCCCACGCTCTCAGAATTTGACAAACAAGGAGCATTCAAGGCTTTATTGAATGGATTTTTATGTGAAGAAAAAACAGACGGACGCAAGATCACAGAAAAGGATGGGACTGGATGAATTGGAAAACAAAATATATGGTGGGGCATGTCACCCAGTTGATGTTGCCAAAGGATATTGCTGCTCACATGCCGCTGCTTTGTGTTTATCTTGGCCATCACTTATCACCCACATGCAATCTCACGACTGCTTTTTTGTGACAGGGCATGTGACGGATATGGTTCTTCTACGGCCAGCCGCTCTCACATACACTCTCATGTATGTGATGGGATATAGTTCGTATAGTCAGTTAATCCATTTATATTTTTAATGTTTAAAAAGGTTAAAGGGAATGCAAGATGCAGAGCAGTTTGGTTGAATGAATAGAAAGTGCGAAACCATTTTTTAAACAAAATGAAAGCGGAAGAGGTGTTTGATCCAAGGCTCAAGAAAAAGCATGCCACTGGATATATATATATATATATATATATATATATATAAGAATATGAGTCGCAGCAATCAAGGGCTGAATAAGCGGCACTGAATGAAACCGGCACAGTGCAGTACATGTTGTGTCCTCGCCGGTGCTAGGGTTGGTGTGGAAAGAGTCGCCAAATCTTTAGTTTCTGCGTTGAAAACATATATATAAATTATTCGAAGTCATATGGCACTAAAGAATGAGAAGGAATGAAGTAATGTTTAGCAGAGGGTGGAGACAACAGATGATATAAAGTAGCTATCTGGGAATTCAAACATTAAAGTAATGAGAAGGAATCAAGTGAAGGAGTTGAATTTAAAACAAGGCGGCCTGGTTGACTCCTAACTCAATCCGAAAGCTGCAGCATCACATGAGATGGATGAGGTGAGGGATGGTGAAAGCGAATACAGACGGGGACGTGGGTGAAGAAGCACATGGTGAATGGGAATGGAAAGGGACGGGGACGTGGCTGAAGAAGCACATGGTGGTTGATTCGGTCACAACAGCCACTCCCCCCCTAACTCACAACACACCACCCCCCCCCTTTCCCTCTCACCTCTCTAGCTACTTTACAGTGCCCTCCTTCTTTCCTTGCAATTTCCTCTCTTTCCACATTTTCTCTCACATTCTACTCAAACTGATACTCACTCTCTCTCTCTCTCTCTGTCCTCTTTTCAGCTAGACGTGGATTCTGTGCTTCATTCTTCACTCCTGCTGTCGGCTTGTTAAAGATGCAGAAAGCCACGTTGCACCATTTTGTAATAATAATGCAACACACTTCACATATCCTTTTTTTTTTATATTCTTAAGATTATATTTATACAGTGATTCTCGTTTTTAAAATAAAAGTTGGTACGGTTAGTAAAATGGGGAGGAGAGCAACAAAAGAGAAGCGGAAACAGCGTGAGGGGGTCAAGTGGGAAAAGAGATTAGGTTTGAAGTTTCCTCGAGCATGAAGGCCGTAGCTGTTTGTTGGGCGGGTGTGGCTCGAGGGGGAAGGTCGGGCTAATAACGGGGCCCACTTACATGGAAACCACCTTGGGACCGCCCTCTAAGGCCCGATGATTACGGCTGCTGGGACCCACCACGCTCCCCTTCCCTCAGTGTTCATGGTGTCTCATATTATTCCCCATTCTTTTGTTCATGTCTTTAATTCTTTTTCTTTTTAAGTATTTATATTCACTGATGGATAAATTTTACCCTCACCCGCATGATCTATTTTTCCTTAATTGTTTTACCCTCTGCTCCTTTCGCTCGGGTTTGTTTTCTTTTCGAAACCACGCGGGCCACGATACTTTCCCATGAAATAAAAGTACAGTTTCGAGCACCAGCGGAAATGTGGAGTGTCCCTTGCTGCCCTGTGAGATTTGTTTCATTTACTTGTCCCCATCAACATTATCTCCTCTTATTTCTGCCCTTTTTATTTTATCATATGATAGGAGCATACATTTTCGGTATTCCCATTATGCCATTGCGGGTTGGCTTCGAGGGGAGGCAGAGCGAAGAAAAGTGGAGAGATGCTGCACCGCGAGCACTCGCTTTTAAGAGCGTAACCGAAAACGCCCAACGGCGATGTAGCTCCCGCGCAGACTCACCCAACGGGATGGCGTTCCTTTCAACATGGCGAATTGAATTGGATGCGCATGGAAGGTGTGGGATACGCGCCATGGGATAGAGTGGGAGGTGTGAGTTCGGGGAAATGAAAGAGAGAGAAGGTGACATTTATAATTTGTTTAATTTAACAAACTGAAAGAGAAGTTTGAAGATTCCAAAATTTGCCCCCGCAGCCCTTCCCCTCGGCTCCTCCATAAGTAGTCCGCCCTCTTCTTCCCCCAAGCCACAGATAGCCAGTCGTCTCTCATCCCCAGATCTCTCTCTCCCGCTTCACTTGCAGTTACTTGGCTATGGCTCCTCTGGTCTTCATTGCATTTCTTATCTCCTTCGCCTTAACGGTCGAGGCCAGAATCCCAGGGGTTTACACCGGCGGCCCCTGGCAGAGTGCTCATGCTACCTTCTACGGAGGATCCGATGCTTCCGGCACCATGGGTGTGCATCTCCTCTGTCATCGACGCTTTTTCTTTAGTAATGTGCCTTACATTTCTGCTTAATCACTTGAGATTGTGGGTGTTGAGCAGGTGGAGCTTGCGGATACGGTAACCTCTACAGCCAAGGGTACGGCGTGAACACGGCGGCGCTGAGCACCGCATTATTCAACAATGGGCTGAGCTGCGGAGCGTGCTTTGAGATAAAGTGCGCAAATGACAAACAATGGTGTCACTCGGGGAGCCCATCCATCTTCATCACGGCCACTAACTTCTGTCCGCCCAACTACGCTCTTCCCAACGACAATGGCGGCTGGTGCAACCCTCCTCGCCCCCACTTTGACCTCGCCATGCCCATGTTCCTCAAGATTGCCGAGTACCGTGCCGGCATCGTCCCCGTCGCCTACCGCAGGTAACCCCTTTGTTTTATTTTAAGTAAATAAACGCAAATATTCACGAATCAGTACTTTTCGATGAGAAGAGATAAAAAAGTTTTGGGCAGGGTAAGTCCGTGGGAAAACGGAATACTAATGTGGACAGAGCTAAGAGTGTGTTTGACCCAGGTCCCATTTTGGGCACGGTAGAGCGGGGCTGCTGCCTCGGTATTGGCTGGAGTTTCATTATGGCTTTAAGGTTACTTTACCAATATACCCATGTTGCATTGTCCAAGTTACCACACAAATGGGGCTGTTTTTGCCTATAACCAGGAACCCCCGTCAGTTTAGTTAGCCGGTTTTATTAAGAATTTAGGCGGGGCCAAATCTGGCGAGTAGGACTGTCAGTCGGGGTGCTCCCTTCTTCCCCCATGATATTAAGTACGAGTAGTATCAATTAATGATCAGTGGTGTTAGTAACTCACTCTTAATGGAATATGTGAACGTGGGGTGCACGCAGGGTTCCATGCAGAAAGGAGGGAGGAATGAGGTTCACCATCAACGGCTTTCGTTACTTCAATCTGGTGCTAATCTCCAACGTGGCAGGCGCCGGGGATATAGTGCGGGCATACGTGAAGGGATCCAGGACCGAGTGGATGCCCCTGAGCCGAAACTGGGGTCAAAATTGGCAGTCAAACGCAGTATTGGTGGGACAGTCATTGTCGTTCAGGGTCACGGGCAGCGACAGGCGCACTTCCACCTCTCGGAACATCGTCCCCTCCAACTGGCAATTCGGTCAAACTTTCACCGGCAAGAACTTCCGAGTTTAAAACGACAGTAATTCCATACGAGAAGGTCGTTGGAGTGCGCTTGTTGATTGTACTTTGTTTATGGTAAATTGTAGGGAATGCTGAAGCGGCTATCAAAGGGTAGCCCGCGGCTGATTAGTGGCTCATACAATTTCGATATAATATATTTATATATAGTTCAATTAATATATGTAAGCAACTGTATTGGGGTTAATGGTGACCGGTTGGTCTGTTTGAATCAAATGGTTTATTTTCCGTCTCTTATGTGATATTTATGCTTTATTTTCCCATATTTTGGGGGGGGGGTGGTCGGGGTCGCCTGATATAGCTCACGAAAGAGAGTATGTTGGAGGAAGTCGACGCGCATGTGAGTTTGGGCCCAGCAATGAATGCGCCACGTAAGCATTCCCAGCTACTACTATTGGAGTTCTATTGAAAGCGAGACCGGAGCAAGTGGCTGGACCCTGGGGTTGAGAATCCATTCCATCCAATCTCCCAAGAGATCATTTGGTTCAGGGAATGTATCAAGTGATAGGTTGGGATGAGAAAACTTCCGGTCATGAAAGTAAGAATGAGGGATTTTTTAAAAAAAAGAAAAAGAAAAAAATAAAACATAAAAAATAAAAGTTAATACAAACTTTGATATTTCAACTGTTCTTTTATTTTGATTTTAGTTTCTCAAATTGTAAACTATAGTTTTAATCTTCAATTCTTTTTTAAATATTAGTCTCTATTATCTAATAAAAACTTGAATTATTTTGCTTGTTGAAAACTCAAAACTTATAATTTAAAACTTAATAGACTAAAACTAAAATAAAAACAAATTTAAAAGATCAAATATTATATTATTCCTAGAAAATATCCTCATTTGCCCTCTTTGGGAAAACACCCCATCCTCATCGCTCCACAGTTAGGAGCAACAGTATCCAAAAAAGCCAAGGTGAAGGGTCGCGAGTGGAGAGCGGAGAAGGTGGGATGGCGGAAAGGGTCTTAGGATACTTGCCCAGCACAGAAAAGCAGGGACTTTGGATGCCCTTTCCTTCCTCTCTTTTTAGATCATGCCTGCCTCACAGGCCTTGTGTATGACTTTTGCCCTCCCTTGTCAATCACTATGCCCTCAATTTCTCGTGATTTGCGTCCTGTCTTTCTTATGCTCTCTTTTGACACCATTTTCAACATCTTTTCTCAGGAAAAATAATAAAACGTTAAAGGAATATAATTCACATCCATAATCCCATCCGTCTATTTCAAAATTTTATGTCCATTCCCTCACTCCACTAGCCTAACCATCTTACTCATCCCTTTTTTCTTTTTTAAATTATAGGATAATTAATATGTAAATTCTTATAGTTTCAACTGATTTTTAATCAGGTTCCTATAATTTTTTTTTTTTTATCAGGTCCTTATACTTTTACATATTTTTAATCAAGTCCTTATAATTTTTTTTCTTTTTATCAGGTCCTTATTGTTTTACTTTGTTTTTAATTAGGTGCTTGTAGTTTTTATTCTTTATTTTACAAATAATAACATTTTAAAAATAATAAATCATTGTAACAATCTTATGTTAATATTCTTTTAAATTTTTAGTTAAACAAATATATTATTTATTTTCAATTCAAATTTTTATAATTATAAAATTCAAATTATAATAATAAATTTTTCTAAAATTAAAATATGATTATAAATAATTTATATTTAAGTATATATTATTCTGATTATTTATTAATTACTAAATTATTATATTAATTATTTTTTCTAATTATATAATTATTAATTTAAAAATAAAATTAATTTTAAAGAATAAAGTTAATAAATAATTTTTTAAAAACTACAAAGCACCTAATTAAAAAATAAGTAAAACTATAAGGATCTGATAAAAAGAAAAAAAATAGAATGACCTAATTAAAAATACACGAAAGTAAAAGGATCTGATAAAAAGAAAAAATTTTATAAGAACCTCATTAAAAATCAGATGAAACTATAAGGAGTTGGAGATTAATTATCCCTTAAATATTGTAAACAACAATTATCATTCTCTTTTTATTTTTAAATATAAATAAAATTTATAAGTTTTTTTTATATTTTGTAGCAAATTTCTTATGTTGTCCCTATGAATTAATTATTTTAATATTTAATATATTTATTATTTTATTTTTCAAACAATCATCTTTCTCTATTACAATTCTCTTTATTATACTAGACAGTAGTAGTAATTTTTTTATTCTCTTTCCTGTACTCTCTCCTTAATGAAAAAGGATATTTTTTAAAAAAATTAATTTTTACATATTTATTGTCTTTAATCAATTTTAACTCATTCTTTAATCTAAGACTATTTATAAAAAGAAACTGAGAGAGTATTTCCTAGCCTTCTTGTTCGCTTCCAATTTCATCGTCACGCATCAAGTGGCGCACATCACTTCTGTAAACCGAGCTCCTTCCCTTCTTCCTCCTTTCCGATCTCACGCATTTTTCCCCTTCATTTCGTGTCCGGCGGGCTTTTTTTCTCTTCGTTTTGCTTCCATCCTCCCCCCAGTATTTGTCAAGTTATGGCCCAGCAGTTTTAATGGATTTTAAAGACGTCATTCTCTGCCCACTGCCCATTTCCCCTGTTTGCTATCCACTTTTCATGTCACCCATTTGTTTAAATATTTTAAAATTTGAAAGTATGATCTGAATTTTTTAAAATATTTTATGATGTGAATTTTTCCAACCTTTTCCACCGCAGTTCCAGATCTTTAAATTAAATCTCAATTTCATATTTAATTAACAGTTTTAAATAAAAGAAATTAAACCATGCTGCTTTAATCAGATGACACTTGTGAATTGAGATGTGACGTGTGAGATGAAAAGGAAGGGAAGCGGAAAGGCTCCTTTCTTTGAAGATTCTTGCAGGCACGACCTTATTTATTTAATCATTTATTCACTAAAAGAGAAAAAACGTTAGTTACATATTTTCCTTGAAAAGGACCGCAGATATATTATTCTGACAATCCATTGCTCATTCGGCGCTTCCCCGAAAAGAGAACCCCATTCCCCGCTTAGAGTGCATCCGGCTCTTCCAAAACGATGTGCAAGATACTCTTGTTATCAGGTCCCTGAATCAGCACTCGCCAGCATCTTTTATATGCCATATTAAATCACAATGTGCGCCAACATTATTTTTTCAGATTCTTCCTTGTCTTTCATCAGTGGATTCCTTCTCTCTTGCGGTCGCAGGCAACCGGGGAGGGAAAATAAACAGAACGGAAGAACAGTGGAAGTGGAATAGAAAAGAGATCAACACATAAGGAAGCTCGATCGATCCTGCGTGTCTCTGTGTGCGCGAGCGTGGAGGAAGTAACAAACTAAGGCAGTCCACTGATCTTCTATGCTTAACCCTTCTGTGAACGCTTGTAGTCCCTCATTACATAGAAATGACAGAGATATTAATTGATAAACTTATTATTATATCCAATCTAATTTATTTGATTAGCTCTGCTGCATATAAAGTCTCGTTATTAGAGTTAAATTGATCAACCAAGACAGATGCAAAAGGACCTGGACGAAGCAAGGATGACAGGATTTGAAGCCTGTGTAAGCCTTCTAGTGCTTTACCGGACACAATGGAACATCATATGAAATTATTTGGGACGATGGAATTTGCATGGAGTTTCAGAGAGTCCACAAGCCCAGTTAATCAAATCACGCGGGGAAGGAGTAGTGTAAATAATACTACCTCCGTTTCTTGATATATATTAGCTAGTTGACTAATTTGAGTAAATTAAAAAAATTAGTTATTTATAATAAATAGATATCATAGAAGTATTTTTTAAAATATTCTTTCTAATTAAATGTATTGGCTACGACGACTATTATTATAAGGACTATATTGAGAAAAAAGTGAATAAATATAAGAAATAAAGTGGATTGAGATCTTATATTTTAGATCAAAACAAAAATCAAATAAGCTCTTATATTGAGATAAATTAGAAGAAGAACTAAAAGCAACGCCTAATCAGAGTTAAATACGTCCAATCAAATTAAAGTAATATTCATAAGGGATAGCTTGTTTAATAGAATTTGTGAGCTGTGTGCGTGTTAAAGTATGATCTTTAGTTTGCATTACAGGGCAATTCGGAAAACACTGAATTTAAAAAAATATTTTTATATAAATTGAGATAAAAAAATGTTTATATATTTATCCCGAGCATTATATTTAAAAAGTTAATCCAAACACCTTATTAATCAAATAAGTTATGTGGGTCACCCATATAAATTTTTTTCTTAATGACTATTATATTATGCATTACTTTTGTTTTTTAAATATAAAATCTCATTTGATTTTTATTTTGATCCTAAATATAAGAACCTAATTTATTTTGTCTTTCGTATTTATGTATTTTTCTAATATAATCTTTATAATAATAGTAATTCTAACCAATACACTTGATTAGTAAAGATATTTTAGAAAAGACAACATATATTTATTACAAACAACTAATTTAATTTATTTTTTTAACATCTTCAAATTAATAAAGACAAGAAGAAGTATGAAATAGGCAAACATAGATATAGATGCACGGTTGCAGAATGCACTAGAACACAAGTAAATTCTGCTAAAACGTTGCATAGATCACTTCAATTTTGAGGAAGAGGAAGTGTATGGGCAATGCAATCTAAAATGTGTTGGATAGAACCGACGCGATTAATATGCGCGACCATTGGGTAAAGTTGCATAGCGCAGCGAGTCACAAGTATGATCTGTTGTTTACACGGCTTCTTACCCACTTATGCACTTTGCAGAGACGTCCATGTCAGTGGATCTTACATGACACCCCCTCGTCTCATACAAACATCACGCGTCATCTCTCTCCTTCCCCCCTCATAATAAATCAAAGCCTCTCATTCTTACCTCCCACACAAACGCACAACGGCACAAGGACGTGGGATTAATCAGCAGCAGTGGGAGCAACCCGTTCATCTGGCCGGGGGGATAATGTCGGGAGTGTGGGTGTTTGACAAGAAAGGCGTGGCCAGACTCATCTCCAACCCAACCAGAGAATCCTTCGAGCTGAAAGAGCCGCCACATGCCGGAGCCGGCACGGCCACTGCCCCCGGTGCTCGTCCCAGAGTGCTGGTCTATCTCCCAACCAACGACGTCATACGCTCATTCTCTGAACTGGAGCAACGTCTCCTGGAACTGGGCTGGACTCGCTACCATAACAGCAAGAATCGCAGCCCACACCTAGTTCAGTTCCACCGCTCTCACTCCTCCCCCCACCTCATCTCCCTCCCTTCCAACTTCCGCAACTTGAAGCACTTCCACTTGTACGACATCGTCGTTAAGAACCCTTGCTTCTTCCAAGTTCGCGATCCCTCCGCGTAATATCAGCCCCATCCCCACAATGCATTTCACCTCTCTTCTCTTCTCTCCTTCCTTCATCATCTAATGTTCTCTCACATCATTAGCTTCTTCGAATGCAGCACCCCACTGTAGTACACGCACCGCATGCACAAGAGCACCGCCCTAATCAATTATTTGTGTACTCTACCTACTGCTTTGTTCTGGTTTTTATCAAGAATGAAAATCTCGTTTGCCAACCTTTCTAACGTGCGTTTCTATTACAGTTTTTTTTTTTTATTTTGTGTTCTGGGATTGGGTTTGGGCGCTTGTTTATCATGCCTACCTCTTTTTACATTTCTTTGCCTCCTTAGTTTCTTAGTGGTTAGTGCATACGCTAGCTGCGTGCATGTAGGGCTGGCTGACGGAGTGATATTCCTCGGTTGGAATTCTGAATGAGTTGATGAATGAAGCATCTAGTTTCGTTGCACGGTTCAATAGCAACTAGCTAGTTAAGACTGTTTGAGTCTGGCATGAACCCGGTGCAGTGGCGCAGTTGTAAATAGGTGAAAAGTTGAGCGTGTTAGCGGAATTACGTAGCTGCGATTTTATGGCGTTTCCATGTTTTGGCGTGCGTATGCTTTGCTTTGGTGAATGGCGTAGCTGACAATTAGTTGTTAAAAGCTGAGAGGCAACAGAAATCCACCTCCCTCAGCTGCCACGTCAGTGTACTTTTGTACCATCCTTTATAACTTTGCATCGCACCCCATCATTTAGGGTCTAGAAAGTCTGTACCAAAGAGATGGCTAGCAGCTAGTGGCTAGGGTTCATGAGACGGCAGGGAAGAAGAGACGAAATGATGAAAATGAAATCGTCAACCGGGCAGAACCACGGATAATGGGTGGTCCCCTGGTCCCTGAACTACACAGAGAAGGAGTTTTGTTTTCGTGAAGTCACTGAATTATGCAGAGAAGTGGTTTTGCTTTCGTGCTGGAAGGTTTTGGGAAGTGAAAGAGATTGGCAACGGCGGAGTAGGGAGGGAGGGAGGAGCGAGCCGAGAAAGCGAAATGAATGAGGGTCACTGATTGGACACAGCTAGTGGCCCATACAGTGCGCGCGCCATTGCCTGCTGTATCGTACACATCACCATCCTCTGCTTCAAGGCGTTCTTCTCTCAGCAATAAGGTGTCGTAAGAGATGGGGAGACTGAGAGGAGGATGTTAGGTTAGGGCTACCGGGCTATTGCTGAGCTGAGACAGCTTATAGGGCCACGTGAGAATCTGGAGAGGATATGGATGAGCTGGCACGGTGTTCCACGGGTGTGTGCAAGTGATAATCTGACGCGACATAAAGCATAAATCTTTTACTTATTTCATATGACTTGGATTTGATTTTGATCCCTCGTCTTCAGCCGGCTGGTGCATGTGGGAATATTTTATGATGTTGAGGGATGTTTTGTAACAATAACTTCAGATGGCCCAGGAGCACAGGCCCACGCGTGTGACCTGCATGCGGCATTAATAATGAATTGTTAGTCACCACTGGTGATGATCATCTGGTGCGTTAGTTATTGTGTGGATCATCCGGGCTTTGTCGAATGTGGTGTAGAAATTCTAGTGTTGGTTATTACGTGAGTGCGTGCGTGCCCGCGCATTTCAGACACCAGTTTGATGTCCACATCAACTTCTTTCGCCCCAATTTTGTCCATCAGGTTTGGGTGGACACGCCTCCAGGTTTTCCCCATTACGGTTCCACCTCCATTAATTCCCCCTAATCATTTTGGTATTCTATCAGCTTAATGTGTGCTTGGGTTTTTTTTTTTTTTTAAGGGAGATAATCGATCTGATTTTTTTTGTGTTCAATATAAATTACTATTTTTTAAAAAAAAATGGATTACGTGGAGTTAATAACGATGTTGTGTTTGCGCATCAATACGGTTGTTGATGTTATCATCAAAGTGGAAGAAAAATAACATAAATAAAAAAAGGATTTAGCACATATGCGTAAACATTAATTGTTAGGATAATCAAAGGGCATTCTTCAAATGCCCAGCTATTTGATTCGGCCTGCTTGAATCGGGGTTCAAATAAATATTAAAGTACAGTTGCTCAAGTAATGCGATGGCTTCAGAGTGAAGAGGAGGAGGAAGGAACTAGAGGAAGGAAGGGGAAGAAGAGCATGGGTGGGGATAGCGAAAGCGGCGTAAAAGGGGATCGGAAAGGAAAATGTGAGGGGGATTTGGCGGCTTACGTGTCAGGGGAGGCCCACACATGTCCTGTCCCTTGCAACTTGACGCCAATGTTTGCCACACGCTGGGTACAGTGTCATGGGAATAGTCTGAATTGTTAAAGGGCGATATTAATTATTAATATAATAATTAAAATAAAGCAAATAAAGGGGTTTAAGCTACAGTGACAAATATAACCGTATAAGCAATCCGCTTGTAAAGACAAATGGGACGTGCCATCTGAGCTGACGACGCAGATTTGGTGTAACCGCCTCATTCACTAGCTATCACCTCCTAAACCTAATCCAATTCCATCCCCATCCATCATTTTTGTTAAAAAATAACAACAACAAAAAGTGAAAATTACCAGATGTTAAGAAAAGTTTGCTGTTGTTTACAAATTCATTTGAGATTTAGTAATTTTCAACTTTTTTTTAAAATCATTTTCTCTTATTTTAACTCTTATTTTTAGTTCTTTCAAATTCAAAACAATCATGAAACCTTTATTCTGTTTTAATTTAATTCCACCTAACGTTTTACTTTATATGTCTGTCTCTAAATGAATGCTTGATGAGGAAAGAAGGCACTCACTTATTAGACCTCACTGGTTTATTCTTAGAATGGACGCATCATCAAGTATACTACCGGGTCAATCATACCATACCATACCATACCCGTCTTCTCACACGCCTACCAAACCTCTACAGTCCTTTCAATACCGACCTGTTCATTGTTGTTATTTTCTGACGCCAAGTGTTCATCCATTAACATCGTGCGTGTTATTGTTTTTATCTATAAATTACGATAATCACCGCTACTGCCTGCTCCAGACCAACTAATGACTCTGGTTATCATACTGAGAGGTTGCTTCGGAAACAATAATTAACGAGATCAGAGTGCGATGCATGGTCGCATTATGTTGCTTGGTTATAGCTTTCAACGAAAGCGTGTTTCCCCTGGGAGCAAGGAGCCCAATCACGATCCAGTATAATGGATGCTCCACCTCAACATCTCAACTTTTTTGATAATTCATTAACCGGCTCAGTACTGGTATTCAGTATTATTATAGTATTTATTATATTATTATTATTATTATTATTATTATAGCTGCATTCAAAATTCATTTCATAAACACTGGCATAGCTTGCGCAATTTTCTCGGATGGTGGAAACTTAAGTCGCATAAAACAATCAGACTAAGGACATATAAAATAGTTAGTTCGGTGTTCATTTCTATGATTTTCTTTAAAAAATGTAATAAACAATAGTTTTTTGGCCATCGACGCAATAAACAACATAAAAATTACTATGGGGTAAATACTATATTTTTAAATATAAATAATATATCCAAAAGACGCAACTGACACTCCTTTTTTTTTTGGTCGAAGTAAAAAAAAAAAAAACCTTTGACTGCCGAGTTTTGATAGTATCGAATGCCAGTATGATCACACTTGATCGGATTTTCTAGAAAAGGTTACCCGCCCTAATATAATTTTTGTCCAAGTATGTAATTCTCTTTTCTTAATTTCTTTTCGTACAAATCGAAAACTACGCCTTTTAAGTTTTTTTTCCCCAAATTCTTACGGTCTTATCAGGTCTGTTCGCAAAGATAAAATGATTAGATATCACGAGGTCAAATATTAAATTCCTCAAGGACTTTGCAGGCTGAAGCTGCCAGGGTATGACCCACAGATTGCTGTCCGAAAATAATGGGCAGCAAGCAACTGATATGGAGCAGACTTGAGGAATACTTTTTCGGTTTCTGATAAGATTTATAATGCAGTAGATATTTTTCCTTGAGAAATAATAATGCGCTATATAACTTATATTAATATCTTTTTTTTTTGTTTACCAAGAACTTATATTAATATCTAATACCAATCATTCGGACGGGAATGAATTTATCAGATTATACTGTGACTGAAAAAAAATTCAGGGAAATACGAAAATTTATTGTGGCCGAGGGGCCACCTGATGTACATAAAGAAAGTCCAGACCGTCTCAGAGCGCCATCTTGACCCATTCTTGGAATATGCATCTTTTCAAACTCTTGGAGCGACTTGTTTATACAGTTACAACGACTGCTTCAAATAATTTTTCAAATGCACAACAAAGGAAAAAGGGGAGCTTTTGCTTTCCTCTGTAACGTCAATGGCCGCCTTGTTTTCAAATCCATAATCACTCTTTTTCGCCGTCGTCCTTCTCTCTTTATTCTCTCATACTAGCCATGGTTTCCTCCCTCCCTCCCTCAATTCCTTGACCCATTCTCTTCCCTTCGCAATGAAGTGCTTCCATTTCTCAAACGCGGGAGGAGAACCCCGTGAAGACGATGACTCGGTTACCTCTAAGGTTTCCAAGCTCTCCTGGGCTCGCTCGCTCAGCGTTGCTTCTTCTACCTTGGGCTCGAGGAGGTCTGAATTTGATTCTGAATTAAAGGACTTCTCCGATGCAGTTGAGTTCCATAAATTCTTGTCTCAGAGGCGTGCTAATGATCTGCGCGTGTTTTCCTTCTCTGAGCTCAAATTGGCAACTCGTGGGTTCAGCAGAGCCCTCTTGATTGGAGAGGGGGGGTTTGGTTGTGTCTACAAAGGAGTTGTCAAGGTACCCAACGAGCATGCAAATGACGGTTGTCTTTCCAATATGGATGTTGCGATCAAGCAATTGAACCGTAATGGACCCCAGGCATGCCCCGTCTTTCTTTCTCTTCTACAGAGCCTGCGCATCTAATTTTCTTTCCAGTAATTTTGTTTGGGTTTTCTCTGCATGGATTTCCATTTCCAGTTCTTTATGCCAAAACCTGCCAGTCATGGCTGCTTGTAGTTTATTTTCTGAAGGGTAATTCCATAGAGAGTCGGAGCTATGTGGAGGTTGAATTGACTTCGCATGAAGAGAGAATCACGTATTGCTGATTTATTTTTCTTCTGGAAAAAATAGTACTGATTTATTTGTTTTATCAACACAAAGCTCAAGATGCACCTGTGGTGGAGAAGGTTAAGTTTTTATAGTTCCATATCTTCATAGAATACTGAATGTACTTGCATTTCTTGTCTTCAGGGGCACAGGGAATGGATCAATGAAGTAAACTTGTTGGGTGTAATTAAGCATCCAAATCTTGTGAAGTTAGTGGGATATTGCGCTGAAGATGATGAAAGGGGAATTCAGCGGCTTCTGGTCTATGAGCTCATGCGGAATAAGAGCTTGGAAGATCATCTTTTGGGTAGAGTTCCATCAGCACTTACATGGATAGCTAGATTAAAAATCGCTCAAGATGCCGCCCGTGGATTGGCATATCTGCATGAAGAAATGGATTTTCAGGTAATGATTGTTTTTATGCTTTGGAGAGTATTCTTATTGAGCCAAATATTTTGTTGACAGCATTCCTGAACTTCGCATGTTTGGTAGCCATATTGCAACTTCAAATATCATGCTCAAGCTTATATGCATAAGTGTACGGTCATTAAATGTCTCAGAAAGACACATGATCTATTTTCTTTCCATCGACAGAATCATCAAAATTATATACTTGTCTCCTTAACTTTGCTGTGTGGTCTTTGCTTTTTGAAAGTTTGTGTGGACTAGACCACCGTCCTCCTGTACTTCTTGATTGTATTTTTCAAGTTTTCTGGGTGGCTTCTAACCCGGATGTAGCTTGCCGCATCAGCTTTCGTTTGTAAATCATTCTTACATGAAATTCCCATTCTGACTTGTGCAGCTTATTTTTCGGGATTTTAAGACATCCAATGTCCTGCTGGATGAGGACCTAAGTGCAAAGCTTTCTGATTTCGGACTTGCTAGGCAAGGACCCTCAGAAGGATTTGGCCATGTTTCAACATCTGTAAGAAAGTGTTTATCTTCTGGAGAAAATTCTTAAGATTGTGCTTCTAAAATTGCCTTTTCAAAATCTGACAAAATTGCATGTAAATGGTGGAATAATTTGCCTTCCGGCAGCTCATTGGAACATATTAGAGTACCTCTTTTTCACCCCTTTCATTGATGAAATTTTCTAGTTGTGTGAAATCATAACGATGGATTAAACCTTTCTTTCTTCTGCATGACAATAATGCTAGACTATATGTGGAATGAATAACGGACCTTCTTCTTTGCAAAGGTTGTGGGGACTATCGGTTATGCTGCACCGGAGTATGTTCATACTGGTAAGTTAACTGCCAAGAGTGATGTTTGGAGCTTTGGTGTGGTTCTTTTTGAACTCATCACTGGGAGGCGAGCTGTTGAGAGAAACCTACCGAGAAATGAACAGAAGCTTTTGGAATGGGTGAGACATTTTGTCTCTGACCCTAGAAAGTTCCATCTTCTGGTAGACCCACGACTTGAGGGACAATATTGCATTAAATCAGTTCAAAAACTTGCAGCCCTGGCAAACAGGTGTCTTGTGAAGCACCCGAAGTACCGCCCTAAAATGAGTGAAGTGGTCGAAATACTTGGAGGCATAATTAACGACGCAGTTTCTCAATTTGAATGCCCTCTTCAAGCTGTTGTAAGTGAAGAAGAAAAAGAAGAGAAGTTGTCTGAAGAGGACACTGAATCTGGGGCGGCTAAACAAGGGAATAATTATCTGAAGAAGGTCGTGGACTTCAGAGAAATGATGAGTTTAAGAAACAAGTCCATTAGAAGGTTGGATTGGAAAAATTGGGCGCCTGGTCTGGTACGAACTTGATGATAGCCGATCATCTACGCTCCTGGCAATGTTACGGGGTCGCATCAATTCCGGTCAATGAGAAATCAACAATGTCACGCAGAGATGCTTCGATGAACACATTTGCCCAATTCTGTATTTCTTATTCTTGGTAGTTTAATGTACAGATCATGAAGCAAGCCTCATTTTTATGGGTAATCGGGCTTTCTCGAGTACACATTTTTAGGCAGACACGTAGGTTTCAATTTTTGGCCTCTCTAAAATTTTCACTTGTGTTCCCTCTTTTTTGTATAAATGAGACAACATGTGAACATGTCTACCCATGCTGGCAATGTTTTTATCTGGAGAGCATATCAGCTCCACTAAATTGAGTACTACTTTCAATGTTTAATATAAGGTAACTAATTTATGAATATTAAAAAAATTAGTTGAATTAATTATTTATAATAAATGAGTGTTATTTTTAAAAAAATTATTTTTATTAATTATATGCATTAGAACAAAAACTTCTTAACATGTAAAGACTAATGAATAAATATAGAAGACAAGAGATATTATAATATTATATTTAGGGCTAAACTGAACTTTTAAAATAGAATTGAAAGAAGTATTTAATTGTGTAATTTGACTCTACTAACTTCATGCCAAATGGATTTGACATTTACAGGGGATGGTTTAATATCATATCATGAAATTTTAATTGGACGTGGATCCCGTGATGTGCACAAAATTGAAAGTAGGCTGTATCATTCATGGTCCATGATTATTGTGACTTTTTTAAAACGAAATTAATATGGATTTTCTATTGATACTCAGAGGTCAGTTTCTCTTCTACTTATTTCTGCCATCACACAACCACGCGCACCAAACAAGTTAGCACCCGCATCTGATCACGATGAGTCGTGCCCAGTCAAGACTCACGGGTCAAGAGTTCTCTCAATTTTCATTGGCAAGTTTTTCTTTCTTCTTTTCGTTTTTGTGGGGTGTCTCTTTTCTGGGGGCAAAGAGTGCCGCGTGAGATGCTAGCACACATGTGGAGAAATTTTGTACCATTAGTACTATCATGATCCAATCTTAGGTTGGACCATTGACCTTCAGTCACATCCATCCAATGGCCTGTGTCTTTGGATTTTGTTCTTTCTTCTTCTTCTGTGTTCTGGTGGGGACACGGGCCGTGTTCCGGAACGAGAATTGAGAATACACGACTGTGCTAAACCAACTAACTGTTATAGCACCCATGAGATGAACCTCTTTTGCGGCTGGGTTGTCAGATTTAATCCCCACAATATTAATTTTGCTTTCGCTCTGTAAACCTCTCATAAGGATTTGAAGATTATTATTAAACTCCCAAAATATCATTTATAGGCCGAAGAAAAAAAAAACAATCTTGATCATACAAAAGCAAATGCGTTACATTCTGGCTGCTTTCCCAACTATTTTTGTAATGGTTAACTGTTAACAAACACATGATAGGATGCAGGATACATATGCCGATCTCAAACAGAATGTCTACCAGCTGAATATAAGATTATGTACAATCTAAATAGACGGTCACCAAAACATGTATGACAGTTTGCTGAGGAACAAGATTGTGCTGTCAAGCGTAGAGGGGAGAAGCAGAGGGCCTGGGATAAGCCCTCCGACCGTTAAAGTCATCGGCGCTTCTTCTGCGGCCACGAGGCCGAGGGTTGTGACGGGTTCCATTTTCATCGGCGGAGACTTGGAGCTGCTCCAGAGCTTTGACAACCTCATCCATGTCAGGCCTTATTTTGGGCTCGCCGGAGAGGCACCGCAGCGCCAGCATTGCTGTCTTATGAGCCTCATCGATTGAATACTGACCTTCTAGACGACAGTCCATAATGCGAAAGATCTTTCGTTTGTTTGCCAGACATGGCTTAGCCCATTCCACCAAATTGTGCTGACCACATGGCCTGTTCTTATCAACAGCTCGTCGCCCCGATAACATTTCCAGCAGCACAACTCCAAAACTATACACATCGCTCTTGGCTGTGAGGTGGCCTAAATTATAAAAGAACCTTTTGGTTATTATGACATGCATGAGGAGGACATGATCCAAGCATATTGTTACCTGTGGCTAGATATTCAGGAGCTGCATATCCATAGGTTCCCATGACCCTGGTGGAGACGTGACTCCTGTCGCCCGTTGGTCCATCTTTTGCCAGCCCGAAATCAGAGAGTTTTGCATTATGTTTCTGTCATCAATTCACCCGGGGTTTAACTTTCAAATAAATGAATGAATGAACATTGATTCTGTTAACTGAGAATAGCAATAGAAGAAGTAGAAGGCCACATACTGAATCTAGTAGGACATTCGAAGTCTTGAAATCCCGGTATATCACTTTTATGTTGCTGCTGTGAAGAAACGCGAGGCCTTTGGCAGCACCAAGAGCAACCTTCATCCGGAGGCTCCAGGAGAGAGGCTGGAAATATGAACCTCCTGTTACAAATTGCCGCAAGATATACCGTTGAGGTCAGAACACAACTCTTTGAATTCACGCATTGCAAAATATGGGACGCCGAGACCTTACTTCTGAACAAATGGTTCTCCAGGCTGCCTCGAGGCATGAATTCATAGACCAAAAGACGATGTTCATCTTCCAGGCAATAACCAATTAATTTCACGAGATGAGGATGAGAAAGCTGTCCAAGGTAATTCACTTCCGCCTGCAATACAAACAAGAAAAACAAAGGAACTCGTTTACTGGTGTGACAGGCTTCGTAGTTTTTGGAACCATTATTATAATTATTGCTAGTTCTTGCACTTTCTGTTTTTTTTTTCCTCTACTAAAAAGCAAAAGCAGACAAATATTGGAACTCACCAACCACTCCTTGTGACCTTGTAAACCATCTTGATTAAGTCTCTTGACAGCAATAACCATGCCAGTCCCGGGTTTGGCAGGGATCAGAGTGTGCTCATCGATCCACCCTTTGTACACTGATCCAAAGCCACCTTCTCCTAACACACTATCTGGTCGGAAATTTCTGGTGGCCGTCTTCAACTCTGCTAAAGTGAAACTCTTTAAATTGGATAACTGCAAGATCTCTCCCTCACTCCTTGGAGTCTGAGGAACCGACACTGCTGACATATTGCTGCCTGCGCTGCTAGCACCCTTTCCGTCACCGCTCACATATTTCGAATTTAACCCTGCCAATAAAGATTATATATCACTAGGTTTTGACTTGGATCTTGAAGCTCATATAAGGTTACGAAACACATTGGTTCATTTGCGGAGAACAGAGACGAAAGCCTTAAAGGATTATCGCTGGATAAAAATCACTGATTGAGCAACAAAAAATCTTCAGTATTTAGGGACAGGCTAATTAGCAGAATCACCGGATTTCATCCCTCGTCGAGAGGGAAGCGGCAGAGCAGAGGTGGATTTGCAGATATAACGCATTCAAAAGATGGAAGAGAAGCAAAAGGTTCTAGGGAGGAAGCTTAAAAAGCTGTAGCAGAGAAGAGAAGAATTTGCAGAAAGAATCCGTTCTCAGAAGGAAAAGAAAAGGCTCAGATTGAATGACGTACACTACGGATTTAGATGAGTATAAATTTTCGAAAAAGTTACAGGCCGGAAAACAGCGAACCAACAACATACATGGACATGCATCAAAACTGAACTGCATATTTGGAATACCTGTGTTGCATGGGCTCTCTGCTTTAATTTGGGCGCTCAAACAAACACCCATCCCGGAAACGAGATTTAATGCCTTCCCCTTGTTGCCTATATATTACAAAAAGCAAAGCACATGTTCCGGAGGCGAGAAGAAAGATCAGGGGTTGAAGACAGAGAAGAAAATGGCAAAGAATTGAAGAGACGAGCCTTTATCAGGGAAGAAGAAGCCAAAGAAGGAGAGAGAAGGCTTAGGGAGAGAGAGTATAGAAAAGGGAGGGCAAGTTGACTGATTAGGTTAAAGCTCAAAAAAAAAAGTTAGTGAAGGGACGCATTCATGGTGGAGATGGACCCGTCCTTGTTTAGATGGTCCCGCTTCAAGCTGGACACCGCCCCTTCCCTGTATTCATGGCATCTGAATTCTGCGCTATTAATACAACGGTGCCATTCAATTCATTTTGTTTTCAAAAAACTGTTCATGCACATTCCTTAGCATATATTTATAATATTAAAATTATTCTAGAAATTTATCATTACCAAATATTAATGTGTAATGTACGTATAATTACAATCCCATGCTCCCTCATTCGTGGTTTTACAAAACAGTCAATTCCCCCGGTCAAAGCAAGGCACGTAAATGTGGCTATGCGCTGGTTAACTATCATTATCTTGCATGTCTAACAAATGTAGCAGATTTATTTATGGAATTAGTGAAAATAAGTGGGTTCCATATTATGAAAAGACTAGTATGAAAAGACTAGTACTCGCGGTTTGCATGTTTGGCCAGATTAGCTTATATTAATATTTATATAATACCTCGTTAATTGTAACAAGGTCTTATAAGTAAGACATAGTTATTATGAAGCCCCATGTGGGTAATTGGTAATGACGCGCATTCTCAGGTTGCTTTCCTGGGGCCAATTAATGCAATCGCAATCCTCTTAACATCCCATGAATTCGATGATAGATGCTTAAGCCTAGCTCCTGATTTAGCAGGCTTTCATCTCATGAGAACACTACTTCTAGTGTTTAATATAAAAATTAGTTTGGCTTTTAATTTGATCATAAATATAGGACTTTAATCTATTTTTGGTCACAAATATAGGACTTCAATTTATTTTGTCTTTTATATTTATCTATTTTTTTAACGTAGTTTTTGTAGTAGTTGCATATGTTAAAGATTTCTTTAAATGACAGTTTTAACTGATACACATAATAATAAAAATATTTTAGGAAAGACAACATCTATTTATTATAATTAACTAATTCTCTAATTTACTCAAATTAGTTAACTGATTTTATATTATGTACAGAAAATAGTAGATAAATAAAAGAAATTAAAGCAATGTTGGGAGGGTGTGGGAGAGCATGATATATTTTAAGCAATGAACAAAAACTGGATCAAACCGGCCGATTTAACTGGAAAACTAATGAACTGACCAGTGATCTGATTTAGTTTAAGTACTGAAGCAGTGACAAATCAAACCGGTGGCAAATCGATCAAATCGAGGGTGAACTGGACTGAGTGAAACCAGTAAAAACTGGTTGGATAATATTATATTGTCATTTATCATATTTTTTCTCATTTCGCTCCTAATATAGTAGTCATTATGGATTTAATAATTTTAACGATGATTTTGGTACTAACGATTATTAATTTTAGTTATTAAGAAACCATAAAGATTAAAATTCTCAATATTATTATACTTTGTTATTGTTTATGGAAATATTGTTATATTTTATTGTATTTTGTTATTAGTGATTATTATTGTTGTATTTTGTTATTTTTAATTAAATTATATTATTTTAATATGACGTTTTGATCTGATTGGATCTAATTCTGATCTACCGACTTTTAAATTACTATCACAATTGATTTAATATTTGGCTTAGTTTTTGTTTCCTAATTTTAAGACGAGGAGTTCAGTGTACGTGGGGTGATTGAACCGGAATGCACCTTGGCAGGCAGGCACCACTTGTTTTATACTTGCGTTAACATTCAGGGTACAGGGCACACAGGAACGCCCCCGCCTGTGCCTCTCACGTTTCAGCATTTCTCTTTTTTGGCAACTTGGCCTTTTATTTTTTCGCCCTTCACGGGTGCGATCATTATGATCCCGTTTCCCCATCTGTACTTTCCAGATATACAATCCGTGAATTGTGGGATTAATAATATTCACAAGCTCCGCATCATGAAAATGAGTACATCCATCGCCATCCATTCCAAGTTCTAACCTTAATGTCAAAGAAATAAGAAATTATACAATCATTTTTTTTTTATCTTGTCTGTAATTTTTCATCGACAATAGCTTGATCCCCATCCGATTCAAAATATAAAATAAACTTTATCCATTTACATTTATCTAAAAATTAGTTAAAATCAGTTTACAATAATAAATACACCAAGACGTGTATTTTTTAAAAATATAAATTTATTAATAAAGAGAATAAGTAAATAATGCAACAAATAAATTAAAAAGGAAAGAAAATGTATGTTATAAAATAAATTGGAAAAGTCATTAAATAGCTAGTAGACAAAAATGAATATTATTTTATAAAAAAATTAAACTCCTTGACAAAATTTATCTATATTTTGAATATTTTGAATAGAATGGAGTATTCAAAAACAAGTTATGTAGAGAGAGAGAGGGAGTCATCAGCGTACGAGTTACCTCTACGTGCAAATGCATCCAATCCATATACAAAAAGAATGGGAAGGAGTGAGAGAGGAGGCCAGTCGGACTTGGATGGGACGGAAGCGGCTGATTAGAACGTGTAATAAATTGAGGAGGACCATTTATTTAAAGACGGACAAGAACATGAGCAAAGTGTCACGCGCCGCGTGGCGACACCCCTCAACCTCATTTCTCCGAGTTTCAACATGTCGCCAAGCCTCCTTCCCTTAATTCTCACTTATCCGCCGCCACTCCAAATATATTACTCTCCGATCCTAATTATAAGACCCAATTAACTTATTTGAGGGATTAAGGAAGTAAGTTAAGTTGGCTATTTATAATAAATAAGTGTTTCATTCCTAAAATATCCTTACTAATTAAGTATATTGGTTAAAACTATCATTATTACAAGAATTATCTTGGGAAAAATGCATAAATATAAGAGACAAATGGATTGGGATCTTATAATTATGACCAAATAAAAAATCAAATGGGATCTATAATAGGACCGGAGGAGAGTAATATTTTCCTATTTTACATTCAAATACTTCAGCTGATTTTGTCAGTATACATGTTAATACTTATCCTTCTGCGCACATTGTCGCATTACAGAATTGACGCACGTCCTTGGGCCACTTTGCCGACTTATAATTAGTTAATCACTACCTACGAGTGATTCCATAAGTGATCAAGCTTACGTGGTTCATGGCATTGATTAGGTGCCCAAGACAGCCTCCATAACACCGACATATTATATCCGTCATCAATCCGGGGTCGGTCTTCTTTCCCATTCATGTTCTTCAACACAACCCCCCCCCCCAAAACCAAAAAAAAAAAACCCCGCGGGCCAAAGGAAAAAAAAATGCGCGCATATAAGTGATCCGATCAAAACCCTTCATGAAAAACTACTAGGAATTCTTATCCCAGTACTGTCATACACTCAAGATAAAATTATTAGGCAGAATACCAGTAAACCGATATGCTTAAGTATCCCATGACAATGGGCATCATAACAAGTTGGGGCAAATAATTACCCTACACAGTTTTTGCACGACGAAACACAAGACATTAAACAAAGCCTATCTGATGGCTTGAGGATGGTGGCGAAAGCAAATCGCAATTATTTGGGTGCTGTGTTCACCCCAGCCAAGTTCCAAGCCCAGCACCATACCATTTCCCACCTACGAAATTCAATTCTTCACAGTGGCAGACTTGATAATGTCAACGAACTCCGGCTGCATACACCAAGTATTAAGATAAAAATCAGTTACAGAGAACACGCAAATCACGAACCACGCAAGAACATTGAATGTAGCCCCACTTCTAACTTTATCCTGTTTCGATTTCACCCCTTAATTGTACTCCCATCATTCAAACTTTATTTGTTTCATGCATGCTAGTTTTATCTTAGTTTTACTTTCTTCCATTCATTTCACTGTGTTATAATTCGACATTTCATGAAATTAATGGACCAAATGGAAAGAAAATAATCACCTTCAATGAAGCACCGCCGACCAAAAAACCATCAACATCTGGCTGCCCAGCCAGTTCTTTGCAGTTTGCTCCATTAACAGAACCTGCGGTTAATATGTGGCAGTTGAATACGAAATTTATTACACGCAGGGGAAAACGCCATGATATGCAGATAAAGTGAAAAAGCATAACAATTAAAACCTCAACTTTAGTTTTTTCTTTCTCAAAAAAAGTATGATCTGGTAATTTTCTTCTTTAGCTTCCTCTAAAGCCTTAAATTAAAACTCATAAATAAAGCATGCCTGCGCATGTACATCTGACAAAGGCAGGGGGTAAATTGCAATAAGGAATACCTCCATAGATAATTCTGACAGATGAAGCGACTTCAGCACTGACGTTGCTGTGAATCCATTTCCTTAATTCGGCATGGACCTGGTACAAACAAACGTCCAATAAACCAAATCAGGCAAAACAGCCTTGACCCAAAAGGGTTCATTCTCCTTCACCAGGAGACCTTGTGCAGCTGTGCTAAGAGTAATGTTATTTAGACACACTTACCGCCTGAGCTTGAGCAGGAGTTGCAACCTTTCCTGTCCCAATGGCCCATACTGGCTCGTAGGCCAAAACAACGTTATCCCAGTTGATACTTTAGCTGCAAACACAATTAAGGTCCGTGGTCAACACTTTGATTGACAGAGGACTAACAACAAATGAAGTGATGACCCACACTCCTAATGCAACCAGAACAGCAAAACGTTCACCCACAACAAATAGCTAAGTAATATTTAGGATGTTAAATCCTTGTGTAAGGAGGGTGGAGGAAAAGGTACCTGCAATCGCTTTTGTTTGCTCAGCTACAACAGCCATTGTTGAACCTGCCTCACGTTGCTCAAGAGTCTCCCCAACGCAAGCAATAACTTTCAAACCTTGAGAAAGCGCATAAGCAACTTTATCGGCCACAAACTGTGATGGACAACGCAGACGTAGAAAGCAACATATAATTAGCAAATGTTAAATCTGGTTGCTAATACAAGTTGGTCTGAGAAGTAGATTAGCGCAAGACACAACAAATTGTAACATGAAGAAAAATATTTATGACAGACCATAAACAA